TGATAGCGGTAATCAAAACAGTGGCTCCGATAATTCATGTTGTTAATGTTAACTAAATTTAATGAAACAGGCTTATGCAAATTAACGAAATAATCTTAGGGATGGTTCACTAGTAGACTAGGTTATTGTGGATGGACCCTTTTAACGCTAATTACATTTTAACGAACAGTTGTGTTTTGTTCCAAATAATTATAACTAAGTGTTGTACAGCTTGAAAATTTTAATATTTTTCCCATGTGATTGCACATCATGGCATGTCAAAATACAGCGACAACTGAACAATTCAACATGCACTGCGTTAACCAATGAAGATCTTCATATTTTTTTATAGTATTTTTTTTTAATTTAACTGCTAACTCGTAGTTATGTATTTTATTTATACGAGTATAAACTATACGCACAAACATATGCATATCTATATCTATACTAATATATAAAGCTGAGGAGTTTGTTTGTGTGAACGCGCTAATCTTAGGAACTACGTGTTTGAATCGAAACATTATTTTTGTGTTAGTAAGAGCATTTATTGAGGAAGGCTAAAACATCCCTTTGTGTCTAATACAGGCGAAGATACAGCGGGAAATGTGAAAAAAATTGGGAAAATTATTAAAGATAAAAGGGTTTGCAAAAACGAGTTTGGATTCCCAAAATTAATATTCTTAGCGGACTAAGTCGCTGGCATAATTATAGGTATATAGATCATATATTACTATACCTTTAATTAGGATTATTGCATCGGATAGTCTGTGGAATTCAGCTAACTTGGATTATCTGGAAATAGCAATGACAAACAGACACGTTTGACGATTTATCGGTCAGTAGAAAATTCCAGTAGAACACCTGTATAATCTGTATAATAATGTGGCAGGAAACTTTTACGCGCCAAGAATGAGCTATATCGATTACTAAGTTCAAATAATCATGTAAATAACATTCTAGTTATGTCTTGATAATTATTAAACCATTTAATTATGTTATGTTTTCTTATTAATTGCTTGCATTTAATATATTTTAAAACTTATATAATTTCCATGTTTTTATTAAACTACTAGCTGTGAGAGCGACTTCGTCCGCATAGAATAGTTATTTTGGGCATCCAAATTTGTTTTTGCAAACCTCCTCTTCGTCTTTACAAATAAACTGCGGTCCGATTTCGACATAGGACACGTCCCGTCGCTCGCGACCTATCGTTCTTGCAAGTTGATCTTCAAAGATAGACATACATATGGTGTCGCTGCCATTTTTTTTAGATAATTTAACAAGGAATCATTCTTTCATACACATTTTTGGTTATCTTTAACCGATTTCGCAACAGACACTGCTCTAGAAAAAGGCGGGGAAAATTATACATCTTTGACGTTTTCCGAATTATTGATTTTCCTAATTTTATCACTATATATATTCGGTTAAAGCCATCCTTGATAAATATTCCACCAACACAAAAATCATTTCTCAAATCGAACTAGTAGTTTCTGAGATTACCTCGTTCAAACAAACACTTCAGCTTTATAATATCCGTATAGATTAAATTGAGAAGACAAAACGACAAATCGAAATGAATGTAAACAAACAAGCAAGATAAGTTAGCTTTCCCATTATTTACGCTTCGTACAGTTTTCTGGAACACTTCCTCAACCCATAATAGGGGTGTCGTAAAAAATTAAAGATATTTCCGCCGAGTTATCATAAATTACCCTGTCAATCCGATGTTCACGAGATCCTAAATGAGAAAGATATTCGCAAACGCGATCTCAAAACAAGCGGGAAAAGGTTTTTTCGGAAAAGTAATAATTGTATCTACTAATTTATCTACGAGTAGTAGTAACCTTGTGTCTTAGTGGTTAAACACGTCACCAAGTATGTATGTTATGTATAGGAGGGCTTCAAAACCCGTAAAAAAGAAATATTTCGGTCGAGCAAAGCACAGGACACTATTTACTTGCTTGTATGTAAAAATCCATCTAAAGACATAGAAATGATCATATAATGACAAAATTTATATAATCTTGCTTTATAATGAAGCACAAAATATGTTATGTTTTATATTATTCAACTACGGCCCGACGGTTTGGATTCTGTGGCGACGGGGTCAAATCTATTCACTATCGCCATCTCTATCGTCGTTGGTAATTGGAGAAATGGAAAACATCCGAAACGTGGGTGGTAGTTAAAACAAATTAACTAATATATTTCGCGTTTTAAATCGTTAAAATTGTACTACTCGCGTGAACTACAGACAATACCTAATCAAGCTTCTTTATTAGTAATATAAGAAACATTTAAATAGATTTTTCAGCGCTGTTACTCTAGGTAGAGCTATGCAAGCTACTAAGAAAATATACTGTTTCGTCTGTGGCTTACGTGAACCTTGCCTCGATTTTAAAATTCAGTCTACTGTCATATCCTGTCACCCCTTTGTATAAAGTACACGAAGCTATGTTTAGCATCTGCTACAGAAAGTCGAACACAGCATAAATATATGTTGCCTGGTAAACAGAGCTGCAGAAAACCCTCAAACCGGCACAAAGGCTCCTCTGCCGAGAAAACGCTCCGATTTTCTATTTTAATGATGTGGTTTCCACGTTTTAAGCGAACATGTAAAATATGTGAATACAAAATCAAGTTCGTGTTGGACAGCCTACCTTTTGTTTAAAGGCTTACGATTTCAAACTGTACCGAAACCTGATACGATGTAACGAATTCACTTAATTAGGTATTGTTTGTAGTTTACGTATCGCGTTTAACAGTTTAAAACGCGCTATTATTAGGTAACTCATCGTCGTTAAATAGTCGGCCCGTAGTTAAGGTAACTAATGCATTTCTCGTTTTAAACCGTTCAAAGTGCTTTATTTAAATTTCTAAGTTTACTTTTACGATTACTAGTACAATTAACTCTTAATCCAAACAAAGGAGATGGCTACAAGAACTAAAGGAAATCGACTTGGACATTAAAAACAAAAGAAAACTCGCGAACAAAACTATTTGCAATCCTTTAAAAGCTCTACTATTAAAAACTGTCTATAGTTTACACGATTAATACACATTTAAATGAAACACTTTAACGGTTTAAAACGTGAAATACATAAGAGATGTCTCCCCGTGACCACGGCTGCTGCAAAGCATCCGAAACGTCGGGCCGAAGTTAAAAATCATTTTCAATAAGTTTAACTAATATATCGCGTTTTAAACAGTTAAAGTGTTTTATTTAAAAGCTCTACTATTTTCGCGAGATGGCATTATATTAATGACAAATTGACGATACGAGCGGTGTATCCATTTTTTAATTATAATTAGGTATTATTAAGAAGGTTTAGTTACTTTTATTCGTGGATTATGGTCTACTCTAAAAAAGCTAAAGTGGATATGAACTGGATACTTGTAATGGGACACGATTGTAATTGTGAACAACAATTAAAATTTATAAAGCTAAGGAGGCTGTTTGCTCAAGATACTATAAATGATTATTTTTTATTAAAAAACCCTGAATACTGGTACACTGGTACACATTTGTCCGGTTAACTTTTGGCCTGGAACACAAAGACTAGGCAATCTCCTCTGAAATGTTCGTGAAGTCTTCGATATCTCGGATTTCCAGCGACTATACAAGATACTGTACACAGTTTCGCACAGATAACAAATGACGGTCTGAGGAACCCTAAAACCGTGGCACAAACAAAAGATAACAACAGACTGACGCATCCGTACTAAACTTGGATCATCTGTCATTTGATTCGGATATTGGGTAACTTCGATACCGTCTTTACTTAATCAGAGTTTCTCTATCAACATAGGTACCTTTATAGTACACTAGTTGTGCCAGCGACTTCGTCCGCGTTGAATAGATATTTTGGGCATCAAAATTTGTTTCTGCAAACCTCTTCATCATTATAAGCTTAAGCTGTTACCCACGACGCCGGTCGCGTCCCTTCCCGTCGTTCTTGTGAATCATTCTTTCATACATATTTCTGTGCGCCTTGAACTTACGCCTATAACGTAATGATGAATATTTTTTCAATATGTCTCGCTGTATCTTCGCTCGTAGTTGGCGATGGCGATTCACAAGGCGATGTTTTATAGCCTTCGTCGATAAATGCTTTAACCGACACAAAAATAATTTTTCAATTTGAAAAAGTAGTTCCTGAGATTAGAGCGTTCAACAAACAAACTTCAGCTATATATTAGTATAAATAGATGAAGGTTGAAAATAGTCTTCTTTGTACAATAGAAATATTTTCTTATATTGTTTTGAATTGGTTTTTTAGCAACTCAAAATTATTGATTTGAGCTGTTTTGAGACAAAACTTATCTTAATCTTCCGAATATCTTAAGTTAAAATAAATTCATAGAGCAAATATTTAAATAAATTGTATGTAATGGTACGCTTATTTGTACTTATTGACACAGTCCACGGACTCCATACTATCGATTTCCCTCGTTGATAGTGTACACGCGGCGGTAGTCCAATAAAACCCTACTATAGAAAATTCTTCTATGTACTACACGTAGTAGAATTTTTAACCGGGCGCTCGGAATAAAATTTAAAGGTTCATTAGTATCCAAAAATTATATACTGATAGAATAACTAATTATACTAAAAAACATTGGCTGGTAAGAAATACAATAACTGTTAAAAAAAGCAAATTTAAATAAAACACTTTTTTTAAAACGGGAGATATATTAGTCAACTTTACTTAACGTACTTAGATTGTAAATAACTGATATTTTTCGTGTTTTAAACTGTTCAGTGTTTTTTAATGTGTAAACTACAGACAATACTTAAATAAAGCAGGCTGTAAATTGAAATTCGCATTGAAGCCTTTTATGATAATTATAGTGCATTTAAAATACTATAATCTATCAAGCAATTAATGTGCCAATCGAGAATTTCTTATTTACCTGTTTTGCCTGACGAATGACTACTTCACTTGGTGTTTGGGACTAGTCGAAAGAGCGTGTATATAAAATCAGATAAAATGTTCAATCCATTGCGTATTTTTAGGATGAAAAGCAATTTGCCTAGTCTAGTAGAAACAATGTCACAATTCTTGCGACTACTCGTACTTAACATCGACAAAAGAAATACTAAAAGTTGGTACAATACTATTTACTTAATCTATTTCTCGTCCATTATACCGACTTTAAATTTGAAAGGACTCGCCGGTTCAATGCGGTGTAGGTTTGAATCCCAATTTGAACATTTTTTTTGTTAATAAGGTAAGGTTGTTAGGAATATGGAATTCTCAAGCGTGTTACAAACCACAAATTGAATAGTGTATATTCGCATTTCTGTTGCATTCTGTGGATTTTCGAATATAGGTTATAAACCCAAAATAGGACGACAGCACATGATACTTATTTTGTATAGAGCATTCCACGAGTCATCTAAAACACTGTCATAAATAAATCGGGTCAATTCACTTTTTAAACCTATTTGTTTAAGTATTCAGTGTGTATGTTAGCAGCTGTGTTCTGGGGTGCCCCTGTAAAGTATCCGAAACGTCGGATCGTAATTGTAAATAAGTTAAGGAATACATTTCGCGTTTTAAACCGTTTGGGTTTAACTATTTTTTCTTGCAGAAATCCCTTTAATATCGTACATAGTGACAGTGTCTACTTCACTGTCGTATATCTACGTGTATTTTGTGTCAGTCATCTGGTTCGTATTCTGGCACTGTGCGGAGACTGGTGAAAAAATAACAGCGATCGTGGTCTTCTCACTCGGAGTGGCAAGTGAAATAGCGGCGTATAAATTGATCTTTATGTATCTCTACAGGTAAGGAGACCAGTGTAGCCAAATGATATGAGTTGCACTGCATTGGGCTGCAATTCCGGAGAAATATTAAATTGTTTCGGTCGAGCAGAGTACAGTGTCATCAACCCTTTAAAAAAAACTTGTAAATATTTATATTAGTGGAAAAGAATAACAAAATGTGTACGCCCCATGCCTCACGGGAGAAAAGCGCTTTACAGGTAAGATTTAAAATGTAACCATTTATTTATTATGTGATTTATGTATTATGATTTAAACCATGGTATTCGAACCGAAGACCCCAAGGTCTCGTGTCGTTGCTCTAACAGATCTATGAATCTTCTCATATTTCGACAATTATTTTATAATTAAACGACATCCACAGCGTTCTGTGCTGTTACTCTGGATCTGTCGCGGTTTCAGTCTATAATTGATTTTATAATTTACAATTACATTTTAGTGACGCCATACAGGATATAGTCGAAGACTGTCTACTTCTAGACGCTGAAATATCTCCCGCGAGTCGTATGGCTTCAAATTTCGAGAAGCACTTAAGTATAGTTAAACGACGGGCCACGATTTTCTGGTGCTTTATTTGTTGTAATGGCATACTTTATGTTGGAGAACCGATTCTTCTACCAGGGCGACATCTTATGGAAGATGATTTTATTCTATTTGGTAAGAGATTTAGATATATGTGTACCATAACCATACCGCCAACAGTACAGTACAGTACACAAAAGTAGTACGTTAGTCAGGTTGATCACTCCTGAAGCCAAACAACGTTTAACGTGTTGCCTAGTTAGTCGTAAGAGGTTCTGGGTTTGAATCCTAAGAAAATAATAGATAAGTTCATACAGGCGGGGCACAGAACTCAGATCAAGTACTTGTCTGTAACAGAACCGATCGGTGAAACGGACATAGAAACTTTGCCCCATGGGCCAGGGGGGGAACAGAATTTCACGGCCTTACTTATGTGTCTAGCGAATGAAACGATCGGCCAACTGCCAAGTTCTGGTGCCTATATGCCTAAATAGGTGCTAAATAAGTATGGGCTATTAAAATTTCCGAATATTCCATGAAACTTAGATTTAAGATACTCTATTTTGCATGGCACTAGGTAAAATATTCCAGCTATATAACATCCAAAGAAATTGCGCTGGCGACCGTTTTTTGAAATTCAGACTGAAAACGAAAAACGGTTACACTTTCGGGCTATTTTTCTGTAAAGATCGTTAGATACGATTTCGATATTCCTACCATCATATATCTTTACACGAAGTTGAAAATATTTCAGAAGATTATAAATTGATTTGAAACCCGATGGGAATCGAACAAGTTGGTCATTAGCACCATACCTACATTACATAGTTTTACATATTTTCAGGTCTAGATCCAATATTTGAATCACCGAACTACGAAATAGCCTTCACAGCTTGCGCCCTGGGCGTCTTCTTTACTTGTTATTTAACGTCAAACATCAGTATGTTTTTCGTTGTTATGACCGGCTATATAGAAGCGCAGCTCTTAAGCCTTAGCGAGGAACTTACTAACATATGGGACGATGCCAAAGAAGAGATGACCGGCAACTGCAGCCTAACCCTAGAAGATAACCGAGCCATCGACCAATTTATCCAAAACCGTCTCATAGACATTTTTAAAAGCCACACAGCTTGTGTCGATCTAGCGAAACGGGTAGACGCAGTCCTGAACCGTTCAATTGGTACGGAATTTCTTCTTTTAGTCATAAGCCTGATAGCAGAACTACTCGGAGGCTTGGAAAATACGTATCTAGAACTACCCTTCGCGTTAATTCAAGTCACCATGGACTGTATAATGGGGCAGAGACTTATAGACGCCTGCGATGCCTTCAGCGACGCTGTATACTTTTGCAAGTGGGAGAATTTTAATGCGAAGAACTCTAAAATAGTACTCCTGATGTTAACGAACGCTCAGAAGACGTTATCTCTGTCAGCTGGGGGTATCGCTACCCTCAGTTTTGTATGTTTAATGTCTGTATTGCGGTCTATCTTTTCAGCGTATACGACATTGGGGACTGTCGTGCACTAATCTTATCCATATGTATTGTAGAATACGACATAGCTGATATAATTAAAGTTTTCCTGTCTTTAAGGATTTATTTATTTGCAATTGCTGCGCCTGCACTTTTATATAAGCAAATACGACGCCATTTGCAACTTGTATTATACGACTGAATCCAGTTACTTAACAAATTTATAATTATGTGACTTTATTTGAATTGCTCATGTATGTTTCGGTTGGAGCATTAATTTTATTTAAATATCATGCTACGACTAATGGGAGCGAAGAAACAGCGCGAAATACGGATAAAATGGGTCTCAGATGCGTGCGCTGCGAACACTACAAGATACTCCAAAATATATAAAAAATAATTATTCCTCTTTAAGTAATGTAAAAACTTTCCGCCATACGTATGCCTATGTTTTAAGATTAACTCACAAGAACCGTTTTTATATATCATAATACTTTATATGGCAAAATAACGTTTCGCTAGTGTTATTATATAATTTCATTTCATGCTCTTTATTCATGGATAAATAATATGATAAAAAATATAATAATTGTTAACACAAAAACTAAATTATTTGTAGAATTCAGTTATGTAGCTTCGAGCGAAGTTAATTCCGTCGTCGAATTTTTATCAAATTCCCATCCACGGGCCTCAACGCCAAATCAATCCTAAAACTGGTCTGCTTAAAGCCTTCGTCAGTCGTGAATTCATAATTTCGGACGCAGTTCGCGACCACTGTCTTCAGGAACGCCATCGCGTACTTCTTTCCTGAAAAATATTTAACATTAGCTAATAATAACTTAGTTTCAAATAGAGATACATATACGTACCAATACATGCTCGCTTTCCCGTACTGAATGGAAGGTGAGCATTCGTACAAGGAACATTTGGTGGCAGCCATCTGTCAGGGTCAAACTCAGGAGCGCTTGTCCCCCACCATCGTTCTGATCTCCCGGCACCCCAAAAGTTCAAAATCACTGTTGTACCTTTTACTACAGTGCAGTTGCCTGGAAATACAGTCTAATTAAATAAAACATTTTGATGGCTTCAAACGCGAAATATAGTGGTTTAACTTATTTAAAAACCATTTTCTCTATGGCTCCACGCTTCGGTGGCTTTTCAGCAGCCATGGTCACGGACAGAATATAGATGGAGGGTGTCTCTAATGTCAAAGTAAATACTGCTACGCTAGCGCCATCTGTTCTGTCTTAGTTCGCCAAATACGGACTCTCCGTGATTACATCTGCTGTAAAGCATCCGAAACGTCGGGCCGTAGTTAAAATATTTTTTAAATAAGTTTAACTAATATATATCGCGTTTTAAACTGTAAAAGTGTTTTATTTAGAAAGACATTTATATTTAACTTAATATCGACGCCATCTTTCAAGTTCTTATCGAAAGTCGTGGGTACGGTCACTTTCATCGCTTTGTTGTAATTTATTAAATTAGAAAAAGCTTCCATTTCAAAAGTCTCTGCTAGTACAATTTAACTATTGTACTAGCAGAGACGTCATAAAAAAAAGTCAATGATATCCTCAAGGACAACCCTTACTTAGCTTCAAGTCGCGATCAGCAGATCTTAGAACTCCAACTGCTGGCGGATACAAACGCATCGTTTCGTTAAGTACTGCTTCACAGTATACAAGTTTGTGAAGGTCTTCTTTTTCGACATCTCGATCCCCAAGAACATTTTTTATCCTAGAAATTATTAAATTGAATTTTTCTTATTTTATTTTTAACGATAGGGAAGGACAGACACTTGATGGGAGGTGAAATACCCCATGTAACATCTAAAGACGATGCGCTGTCGACCCATTTTGGCTTTGGATTTGCGATTAAACTTCACGACTTTTTCATCTGTTCACGGTGGTTCGTGTCCGGGCGGAATTTTATCCTACCAGATTTCCAGACGAAGTCAAACATGTTTCAATTAGAAATGGGGATCGAAGCCACGACATAACCTAATTGCTACCATTAGACCAACCAGCCCGTCACAAATTCCACTATAATTTTGGTTGTTCTTTTAGTACTAGTAAGCATTTTAAACGTATTTTATATGAGAGATTTTTTCTTACTCAGTATATAGTTTGTCCTGAACATCCTTCCTGGTACCGATCACAAGGAAAATGAAGAAGAGGGTATTCGCCACAGTCTCTTGTCCACCCACGATAACGGTGGCGGTTTCAGATAAAATTTGCTTTTCCGTTAGGTGAGGATCGGTCTCACTCAAATCCAGCATCAAATCCAAAAAAGCCTTGGACTTCTCTAAAAGTTAATAACTCGGTCAGTGAAAATGCTCCAGCGCCGATGCAAACGTGCAAACAATACTGACCGGTTTCTTTTATATCGCTCTTTCCCAAATTGCGATCTTGTTTCTTTTTCCTTAATCTCTAGACAATAAACAATATTTTATGTATTATTGATATAATTTAGATATTAATGAAAATGTAAAGTAAACACTATTTGTAGTTAACGCAAGTAGAACACATAAAAAAACTTAAACGGTATTAAACGGGGTATATGCCATTGTCATGGCTGCTACAAAGCATCCAAAACGTGGGGCCGTAGTTAAAATAATTTCCAAATAGGTTGCACTAATATACAAGGTTATTCTTTGTTGATACTAAAGCTAAAATACGCCAAACGTCTTTTTATTCGCAGAATCAGAATAAAAAATCAAAATTAAAAAATAATGAAAAATCACGAAGTTATAAATTTTTCCATGTTATTGTTTATCCCGCATTATCATGGTCACTGAGCAGGCGTCGACGCAGCGCGCTATCTCGCACCCTCTCCCTCTCACCGCTCCGAGTCCTGCACCTTACACTACGCGATTCACTACTTTTATGTACCTATTGTCCGCTAACAGAATGTATTGAGAACTTTTGGCAATAACATTTCCCATCACACTTACAGGCTTTAGACTGTCAGAATGGTTAAACGACATGTAAGTCTAGCGTTAATTATTGAAAGACAAAATGTTAATCACCATTATTTACAGTAATTTATCGAATCTTTGGGCTTTATCATTTTCGAGCAGATCTTGTGCTCGTCTAAAATGATAAAGGTATTGGTGGTCATTCTTTGAAGTCCACCACACGTAAGACTGATTTACGTTGAATAATCTCCTCGCCTCAAGCTGCAACTGGTCTGAACTGGGAATGGTCTCGTAAGCGCTGCGTAACGCCCAGCATTGTGTTCCATGATGCCAAGATGCCAAATTGTTCATGATAACGTCTCACTGCTTCGGCAACGTTATAACCACACAAAGCGAGTGTTGGCACCATTTCCACATATTGTACACTGGTATAATTGTAAGACATGTTTGTCTCGAGACGCCCGTGGAATGCGCAATCGCTTGCTTGCAATTCGGAAGAAAGTTGTTACGTAATCACCGCGAAAGGGTTATGCACGTGTTAGATTATTCTGATAATTTAAGTTCTTTTGTTACACTAAGTTATGTTTTAATCTCAATTTGTCTCTAAAGTCATACAGATATTCTATAAATATTACAAAATTGTATTAAGACAAATGTAAATGTAACCGTTTAATTATTATAACTATATAACAACTTATTAACATGTGAAACCGAATTAGTACATTATAAATACAGTGTCCTGTTTAAGACATACAATTATAACTTATTTTGAATCATGTATTTTATGTAAAGCTTTTCTTTATAAATAAGACGATTTAGTTACTGATAAAACGATTGTTCAACCAAATTTATAATTTTACTATTTAATTTTTGTATAAATGTATTATGTTAGTTTTACGTTGAAATGATGCAACATCAATATGGAATTGCATCACCGATATGACGTCACTGGGCCCATAGAATGGCGCCCCAGCATTCCCGCCCCGCACACTCACTCCCGCGAAGCCACAGCGGACGGACCTAAATCGAGGAAAACCCTACACAGAAGTGAAATGACGCAACATCAATATGGAATTGCATCATCCGATATGACGTGACTGGCCCCATATAATGGCGCCTAAATTGAGAAAAACCCTACACAGAAGCGAGATGCCATACCAAACGGACTTAAGTTAAGTGAGCCCTAGCTTGTCTTTAGTTTATGTGTCTATTGTTATTTTCGCGATAGTAAAAGTAAGTGTATATTTGTTTAACGCTCACTGTATATAAATTAAAGCAATATTGTTTCAACCATATTCATGTCTTCTTATTTATGTATCAGTTTACAATTTTTAATTAAAAGAGTTTTATATACAAATCATATTTGATATATATAGCCGACCAACTACAATTAATAATATTAAATTTTTAATTAATCTTTTATCAGAAGCGGGAAACGAATCAATACAGTGAATAAAATACCTCACGCCATGTTTGCTCGTCTAGTTATATATATATTTTTTTTCTTCTTATTATGTCACATTGTTTTTTTTTCTCGTTTTGTTTTTTTTTTTGAAATAAAGATATTAACGTGTACTTTAAGTACTTATAAAGGGGTGTGACACGTAATTTGTTAAATATATTGAAAGATTTTGATGATGCAAATGGATTATAAGTTTCTAAAAAGAAATCAGCGACGTATTCAGATACTAGCAATAGATTTTGTGCTTAATTTTGTTACGAATCGTAATACGTAAAAATAAAAAGCCCTCACTTTGGATGAATAATTGAGATAAGTATCCAAACTAATACATCAAGTATGAGTTTCAGAGAATTATGGACGATCAGCGAGAACATCTGCAACATAGCCGGGACTGCTTAAGGCGTGATGAAGTGGCACATGGCCATCAAACACTACTCCTTCGCCAGACAAGGAGCCCTGAGAATTATGGACGATCAGCAAAAACATCTTTAACGACGCCGGGACTGATCGAGACGTGATGAACTGACACACGGCCTTCGAACACTACTCCATTATCAGACAAGAAGCCCTGGTGAGAACGTGAAAGAATGATCTTTAACGGAGACATACAAAAGGACTTTAAGAAATAGTTTCCTTGCTACTAAACGATCTTTTTTTTTTCTGTTATTATGACCGTCTATTTTTTTTTAACGTACTGCCCTGATATTAGTTCTATCTATGATCTTAGTTGATTATTATTTATTTTATTTTATTTGGAAAAGGTTATGATCGTTTAATGTACTGCTGGTCGGTCACTGCCCTGATATCAGTCTGAAATTCATGCGCAGCAGGTGATAGGGCTGATATGTCAAGGCCAGAGGCTATTTATTGTTTAACTGCTGGTCAGTCACTGCCCTGATGTCAGTCTGAAATTCATGCGCAGCAGGTGATAGGACTGATATGTCAAGGCCAGAGGCTATTGTATAAATTACTGTGCGATCACAGCCCCGATATTAGTTTGATGATTCAGGAGCAGCTAATGATAGAACTGATATGTCAAGGCCAGAGGCTATTGTATGAATTACTGTGCGATCACAGCCCCGATATTAGTTTGATGATTCAGGAGCAGCTAATGAATAATGATAGAACTAATATGACAAGGTCAGAGACTTGTTTTTTTTTATGAATATAAAAATGCGATTTGAAGGTACTTCGAGAGCGAAGTACTAATCAGTCTGGCCGTGTTAGATTATTCTGATAATTTAAGTTCTTTTGTTACACTAAGTTATGTTTTAATCTCAATTTGTCTCTAAAGTCATACAGATATTCTATAAATATTACAAAATTGTATTAAGACAAATGTAAATGTAACCGTTTAATTATTATAACTATATAACAACTTATTAACATGTGAAACCGAATTAGTACATTATAAATACAGTGTCCTGTTTAAGACATACAATTATAACTTATTTTGAATCATGTATTTTATGTAAAGCTTTTCTTTATAAATAAGACGATTTAGTTACTGATAAAACGATTGTTCAACCAAATTTATAATTTTACTATTTAATTTTTGTATAAATGTATTATGTTAGTTTTACGTTGAAATGATGCAACATCAATATGGAATTGCATCACCGATATGACGTCACTGGGCCCATAGAATGGCGCCCCAGCATTCCCGCCCCGCACACTCACTCCCGCGAAGCCACAGCGGACGGACCTAAATCGAGGAAAACCCTACACAGAAGTGAAATGACGCAACATCAATATGGAATTGCATCATCCGATATGACGTGACTGGCCCCATATAATGGCGCCTAAATTGAGAAAAACCCTACACAGAAGCGAGATGCCATACCAAACGGACTTAAGTTAAGTGAGCCCTAGCTTGTCTTTAGTTTATGTGTCTATTGTTATTTTCGCGATAGTAAAAGTAAGTGTATATTTGTTTAACGCTCACTGTATATAAATTAAAGCAATATTGTTTCAACCATATTCATGTCTTCTTATTTATGTATCAGTTTACAATTTTTAATTAAAAGAGTTTTATATACAAATTATATTTTATATACATATATAACCGACTATCCTACAGGTATAATATCAAAATTTTTAATAATCTTTTACACGCACTGACCGTGTTGCCAGTTAGGACTATCTATTGTTATAGGAGTGCGGGGTGGCGCGCGTGCGCAGAAGCGATTAGTACAAAGCGACGAGCCGCCGCCGCGGATTCCCCGAATTTTTAGACCTATTTAGTTATACTTATGTAGGTATTTATTTATCGAACGGTGTCCAACATTTCAAAAAATTCATGTAATTTTGACAAAAAATATAACGTGGTATAAAAACTATTGCAATGGATTCTGCTATTGATTCTGAGCAAACTACTTTCAGGTTTCGCATGAAGTAAGAATAACCTTGTATATCGCGTTTTATACCATTAAAGGGTTTTATTTAGATGAGATTTTTTTTAATAACTTATAGTGTATAAAAGCTTTTGTTTACTTACAGTTACAGTAAAGTAAGTCGTGTAAGATAGCCACAGACTCCGAGAGCTTCTTAAATCCGGGTGTCAACCTGTATATCCATTCTAGATGCAGGCATATATTTGTAACCCTCGCCAAAATTAGATCCAGTGCTTGATTTAAAGCAGCATAGTATTTTTCAGAGTTAAAAGTTTTTGACCCGCCGAAACTTACCTCTATGTAAAAAAAAATGTTTTTGAACAGTTAATAGTCTTATCTAAAAAAAAATAACAATATGCCTGCTATTGTTTATTTTTTCCTTCTTAGTAATTTCAAACTCATTCTTTCCGGGTGTCACTTTAAATAGGATGGTATTTACTTGGCATAACTAAAAATTAAGTTGAAATTAACCTAAAAATACAGCATACACAAAAAAAGTTCGTGTGTGTATTAATTGTAACCCATTTTTTTATATTCATTGTACAATTTCTATTTTTGTGTACGGGTACTTTGGTGTGGACTAAATTGTTTGAACTTGATTATTCAAATCAATAGAATTCCCTTTTTAAAGCAGCCATCTGTAATAGTTCCATAGAGAGTTTTTATTTTCGGCCAACCCCTTTAGCCAGTTGAATGAATCGGTTTAAAATGCGATATATATTAGTTAAACTTATTTTAACTATGGCCCGAAGTTTCAAATAAGTTCAACTAATAAATAATGGGTTTTAAATCGTTAGTGTTTTTTTATTGATATTATATGAAACATACGTTTTAAATATGCTATTACTTACGACAAATGGTTTCCAAAGAAGACAGAGAGACGTAATGTAACGGATCAAAGAAGTCTCCATTCGCTTCTTGTTCTAGGTTTCGAACTAGTTTGTGCGCCTGTTCGTTAAACAAATCTTGGTACTGTTCAACAGCTGACCCGATAAAGGCGGAAGCCACTTTCTTTATATTCTTCTTCCATAACCAGCCTGAACCACATTTTTACTAAGCTTTTCAACAGCATTTGTAAGCCACGGAAACAAAATATTAATCGCGAGAAAAAAGAATGTTGTTGTTTTTTTGATGGCAGCGTAAATGTTTTACCCATACTATACTATTTTCGACTACTTATAATATTACCCGTTAAACCTACTCTAATTACAGGTCAAGAGTTGACTTTATTAACTTAAAACTGTTCAAGTACGGTAATTTTGACGGCGCTTCCTCCAATATCCTTTTAGCTAATTATCGGTTCGATTCCCACCACACTCGGTTTTCCATGTATGAAATCAATATTTTTCTGAAACTTGTGGTTTGGTGTTAGGAATATCGAAATTCCGGGTCACAAACAACCGCCTACAGATGTAAAATCCGTTCATCATCGCGCTTTTCACTCAGTTGTTGATTTTCAAAAGTCCAAAATAAAATTAATCAACAACGCACCTTGCCTAAAGTGGTTTAAGGTGTTGTAAAAGTGTTCACCTCCCTTCAAGTGAACCATCATGTCTGTACGTACCTGGTGCAAGTAGCACCCCATTCCCAAGCCAGATTTTAGCAAAATTGTAGTAAAAAAGGCTTCTCCAGAAATGTGTTCGCCGCTGCCTTTATGTCATCCGGATTACTTAAGACTGAAATGTTTAAACTGTAGAGTAAATTACTGGTAGAGAAGCAAACTAGAGTTAAAAATCGATTATAAATTGAAAAAAAAAATACGACATAGGCAGGATTTGAACCGGCATCCACAGGGTTCCGTAATGTTGCTCTAACCAATTGACGCCGGTACAAGTCCTGCTCGAGTCGTATTTTTTTCTTTTTTTATAATCAATTTTTAATTTATATAGTGCCATCATGTATGTAAAAAAATATTAAAGGTTTCAAACTAGTGTTGTATAAATAAACTTGTATATAGCTCTACCTATAGATAAGTAACTATACTTATTACCATAGATTATAGTATATTACATAATTATGAAATTCATCACTCATTAATAGATAAACAGTACTTGTTGAGCTCTGTATTTAGGCTTATTACAAATAGATAGTAGGGTTGGAATAGGTATTTATTATTAAAATACTGTCCGCAGTTTATGCGAGGAGTAAAAATTTAAATAAAACACTTTAACGGTTTAAAGCGCGATATATATATTAGTTAAACTTATTAGGAAATTATTTTAACTACAGCCTAACTTTTCGGATGCTTTGCACCAGTCGTGGTCTTCCTGTTACCGTGTCTGCTAATATACATCGCGTTTGAAACCGTTTTATTTAAAAGTGTTTGTTATTTATTTCGTTTACAATTGGAGATTACATATAGATAGCTCACCTAAGACTGGTAACGGTCCCGCCCATAAAATATATGGTTTGTTGGTCGTTTCAGCCATCTTCGTAATCTCTTCATAGTAGAGAAACAGGTCTAGGAAAAGTAGTAAGCATTCATTCATTGTTAATTTAAGTCGAATAACGCATCATTCTCCATCAAGGCTCGTCGCTCCAATCGTGAGCGACGAGCCTTGCTCAATAAGCTATTTGACTGATTTTTAAAATATACTTCATATTCTTTGATAGATATTTAAAAAACCTTAAAAAACATATATCAAATTAAAAATGCACATTTGAATTGCGCACCTAAACGCTAATTTTGCGGAATAACGTCGCCCACGCAGTGACGTCAGGGCCTTATATTGGCCATTGGTGTACGTCGATGATGTACGATCTACATTCAACATGCAAGCTAACATTTACATTTCAAAAGTGATTGAAGTAATTAAATGAGCTAAATTTATTTATCTAATAATACAGGAAATAGAACAGTGGTTTCAGCCCTCATTATAAGCAAGTGACGTCGTCAAAACCCCGACCAATCAGGAGCGTTTTGTGTCACGTGACAAGTGTTTATAATAGTAAATTTGTTTTTCCGGTTTTTTACTATTTCTAAACTTATACTTAACACTAATAACAGTAATGGAATCTATATTTTCGCCAGATAGCCCATTCCCAACTTGGGATCATGTTTCAAAAAATCTATGTATAATATTTACTCAATCGCCTAACAATAATTTATTTCGCCTAATTCGTAAAGTGCATAAGCCCGATCATAAGAGACATCCAAGGTTATACTCATTTACACAATACTAAAAATTTGCAAGTATGTTAAAACACTACATTATACAATTTGTCCAAATTTTCGATTAACGAGCGGGCATACTCAAGGTCAAAAGTGGCAAACATCTTTTCTTCTTGTTGGTTAAAGTCGAAAATATTAGTCCAATACGTATGTCTGGTGAAAGAATAAACCTACCTTTTTTTATGTGACCGAAACCAAAAAAATCTAGTGATTATGTATGTAGTCATTGATTTTTTGTTTTTCAAGTTTGTCGACTGGGCTAATTGCAATTTCTAAACGCAGTATTTATAGCAATCTTAAGTGTTTGCAATTTTAAGTATTCGTGTTTATTAACTCTATGTAAATTACTGGTATGGTCTGAGCATCAGCACGAAACGCTGTGGTCGTGGGTTCAAGTCCCGACCGTGACGTATTTTTAATTTATCTATGTAAATGTAAATATACTCACTGTGAGAATCCCCGAATATTTTATAGGCATTCCCTATGAACGGCCACTGCGGGTGCGAAGGTAAGTGAGCATAATTCTTCCTCGCCCGCCAACTCACCACGTAAGTTGCCAAGAACGCTAACAGTAGAACTATCAAACCTATTATCCACGGATTCATCTAAAAAAATCTGGAATTATTTGTATGCAAATTGATACTTTCTACTATAGGAATATAGATTATCGCAATAACTTTCTTTGATGCTATCTAGTTTTATTAATATTTAAATATTAATAATGGTTTAGTAGTTTATGTTCACACAAAAGTCCTTCAAAGCAGAAATAAATTTAGAGCTTACGTAAAAAAATCAACATTTAAAAACATAATTTTAAAACTTAATATAATATATTGGGGTTTTTTAAAGCGTTTTCAACTATAAACGTTTTCTTAGAAATTGTCAACATCCCTATTGACGCAACTCAAATCGAATTTAATTGATATAAAATTTTTGTATATTTAAGTATTAAAATAAAATTTAACCGTTGCTAATATTCTGTAAATTACTCTTTTAATTCATTATTATATATTGACTTAATTGTATTTGAAAAACTAAGATGAATTTTAAAACTTTCGTAATCGGATTATAGATGTAGGTACACGTACCACGTGCTATTTTTTAGAGCATATAAATCATATTTGAACGTTAGAAAAAAATCAAAGGACTTACATTCTGACCACAGCCACTGACTCAGCACGAATACTATGTTCCGATTGCTTAAGCCCCTTCGCGGAGACCTGGGTTATATAGCACTCATTGTAATATTAATGCGTTATACAAACACGGACTGCTTTTTTATGTCCATACCGAAAGGTCGGAGTTTATGAACGGAAATAGATATTTGTTTTTTTATCAATTTCAAAGTTCACTTATATTCGTACGTATTTCAGAATTACAAAATATAATTCTTTATTTTATTTTTTACAACACGTTAAAAACGTTCTGCATTGGGCTAAGCGATTTTTTTTGCCTTTTTATTTTTAAGTCGGTTTTTTGTGTGACCACGAAGTTAGGTTTTTATCTGAAACTCGTACCGAGTTTACAAAAAATGTCTCATTTTCAACCTCTGGCTGTAGCTCAAATCTCGATGTACCTATGCAACGTAAGTACGTTAAAAAACTCCTGTCTGCTATGTCTCCATTATAATCGAAGTATTGTCTTCTTCTTGGTGCGATACAAGGCATTACGTCTAATTATGTATTGTCACAAGCTATTACCTGTGTTTACTATTTATTACTTAACTAGCTGTGTCAGCGACTTCGTCCGCGTAGAAGCGTAATCTTGCGGATCCAAATTTGTTTTTGATCATTTAAAGAAAAATCATTCTTCCCTACATAATTTTTGGGTTTGGTTTGGGAACAGGTTTCACAGCGTACGCATTTAAATCTCGCAGGGATTAATAATATTCCCCATCTTTCGCTGTTTCTACGCTCTAATTAGTCACAGCACGATGCTTTAACCTATAGCCTTCCCCGATAAATGCTCTATCTTACCAACATAAAAAGAAATGTTCAACTCGAACCCGTACTTCCTGAATTTAGCGCGTCGAAACATACAAGCAAACAAACTTTTAATATATATTTTTTTATTTATTATAACATCTTTTATTATTATGTTAATGCAGGTTTAAATAAAACACTTTAAAGCCCAAAAGAAATCTACTATACTGATTGAGTTTACTTACAAACAATTACTTGATCAGACTTTTGGATCCTGCCTGGGACTTAAAACTCACCTTAGCAATTATACAACGTTAATCGAACACATTTTTTACGATAAATGATGAACGCAGTCTATTAATCAAATATATCGGGAAAAATAAAATTAACTTGTTTCAAATAAAATTCACCTTAGATTTGATGTCGTCAAAGACACTATACACGTTTCATTCGGTTGTGGTTGCAATGTTGTCATCAACGCGTGTTTGCCGACTGCAATTTTACAAATAGGTAAACAATCAATTATCTCTTAGATAACTATTTGATTCAGAAGATTTAACCATAGGAACGACCCACCTATTCATTTTCTAATTATTTAACATGCATTTAACTTTTTTTAACAATTACATTACTTTATAGGACTGAAGAATTATTTATTTTTTAAATAAAAAAAAAGTACTACACTATAATAATAGAAATCATTTGTCGTCCAAAGTAATATGGCTGTTATTGCTTTAATTTTTAGTACTTATTTTTAAATTAGTTGGCTTAACACTACACGTGTTTGCATTATTAATACCTATTACCTATACATACTTAGTATATACATATGTCATCAAGTATCCTATTCTAGTGTAAGTTATTGTTAATGATTAGTCTTAATTACAACCTTAAAGTAGCAACACGTCTTTTATTAGTATACCATACCATACCTGCCATAGGCTTCTGGTAGCGCGCGGCTGTAGTCGCACAGACGAGGTGGCGGCGGTAAAGATTCTGCCCGAGATCCAGCCCAAATGGTTTGAAATGTGGCAGTGAGTGTAAGGAAACAACGCAAGTGAAGAAAAGGTCTAATTATGAACTTTAAGATTTAGATAACTTCATTTAATTATATTCACGTCTAATTAATTAATTATATTAAGGTATATATGAGGCAATATGTGAGTTTGTGCTATATTTTGTCAAATGTTTATGTTATGGAAATTGATTACTTGACATCTTGTTTAGAGCGATTAAATAATATAAAAAAATACTTATGATGAATGTGTGAGTGACGTTGAAAGGGTATAAACATTGTTACCTCTATAAAATTGGATCATTTGTGTAAGAATGAAAGAAATTCTATTGTAAACATTTGTGGCAAATTTTCTGATATTTTTTGCCTTTCTAATGATAGGTGGACATGTACGAATTTATATGAAAATAAAATTATTTTAAAATGTATACAAAACCTTATCGTTCGCCATTTTCTCAGCGTGAAGAAATTAACAAACAAGTACAAAAAATGTTGGAAGATGATATAATAGAACCTGCGTCAAGTGAATGGTCTAGTTATTAGTCCCTATATTGTTTGTTCCTAAAAAACTTGACTTAGATTTTGGACGGTGAAAGAAACAAAGAGATAATTCTGACATACCTACCAAAAGTGGGACTGATCACCCGAGAATCGTGGATATGTTAAAGATACCAAAAGAGTATTCTGAATTATATTTTTATGAAAGAAGCGATTGGATGAGACTGAAAGGCGATACATTAAGGGAAACTAGGTTTTGCGCGTATATGTCACCGATAAAATATAATATGTTTAAATCCAATGTTTGGTTCACGCAATACACGAGCCGTCTGTGTGAAGGAATTGAGTTTAGAGTTAACTCGATGTATAAATAAATTAATGAAATAACCGGTCCTCGCCTGCATATAATAAGTTGAATTGAGAGAATTAAGAACAATGATACGATAAGATTCGTACTTAATGACTATCACATGCTTCCGACGAGCGGACATGTAGGTGAAACACGTACATTGAATAACATACGAAAAATGACTTTATACAAAAATGCGACAAGTGTCAAAGAGGAAAGTACCTTTTTTAAATATATTCAACAACCTTTAGTAATAACTGATGTAGGTAGGACATAGTGCTTTTGGTAAGACACTAGCTGAGGCCGCGACTTCGTCCGCGTAGAGTAGTTGCTTTGGGCATCTAAATTTGTTTCTGCAAACTTAGATGCCCTAAGCACATTTCCCGCTATCTTCGCTTCTATTAGTCACAGCGTAAAACATAAGTAACCCGATTTTGAGGTTCCATACTGGTGTTTTACTTATAACACTATCCAACATACACAAACTAAATAATGTCCATACGAGCTAATGTTTGGGAAACTGTCCTTGCCAAGTAATCTTACTGAGTCATTACATCCATTGTACAAATGTTCAAATTATCCTTTGGAAATGAAGTAATTCTATACTTACTATATTCTATTATATTCTATTCTTCTATACTTACTTACAAACATTTCAACAAGATGCTAAAAATAATCTTCAAAAATGTAAAAATGTTAATAAAGATAGGTATAATAGTTATATCAATTCGATAGCGTCCGGTAAGGGTGGTTTAATACTTATTAAAACCTAGTTTTCGTTTCGTTTTCGTTCGGCATTTCTATCAATTAGTTAAATGTAAAAAAGTAGTTATAGTAACGTAATATTATGATAAAAAATATAAGAATTATTTAACAGAAAATCAAATATATTTATAGAATCAAGTTATGTAGCTTCGAGCGAAGTTAATTCCGTCGTCGAATTTTTATCAAATTCCCATCCACGGGCCTCAACGCCAAATCAATCTTAAAACTGGTCTGCTTAAAGCCTTCGTCAGTCGTGAATTCATAATTTCGGACGCAGTTCGCCACCACTGTCTTCAGGAATGCCATCGCGTACTTCTTTCCTGAAAAATATTTTACATTAGCTTATAATAACTTAGTTTCAAATAGAGATACATATACGTACCAATACATGCTCGCTTTCCCGTACTGAATGGAAGGTGAGCATTCGTACAAGGAACATTTGGTGGCATCCATCTGTCAGGGTCGAAATCAGGAGCGCTTGCACCCCACAATCGTTCTGATCTCCCGGCACCCCAAAAGTTCAAAACCACTGCTGTACCTTTTACTACAGTGCAGTTACCTGGAATTACAAAAGACAGTCTGATAAAAATGTATACCCATTACATTGGTCAGTCTGTTCGTGAATAAATTGCATTAAAAAAAAATATTTGTTACGTATAGAAAAGCCATATACTGTCTGTAGTTTACGCGAATACTAGACATTAAAGTATAATTATTATAATTAGACATTAAGTAAATTTTAACGGCCTAAAACGCGAAATATATTAGTTAAACTTATTTACACGGGGAGCCTAACGATAAAGGGTGTCTCTAATGTCACAGTAAAAACTGCTACGCTAGCGCTATCTGTCCCGTCGTAGTTCGCCAAATGCTAACTCCCCGTGACCACGGCTCTCCAACGTCGTCTCAACGTCGGACCGTAGTTAAAATATTTTTTTAAATAAGTTCAACTAATATATGTGGGTTTTAACTGTTAAAGTGTTGTTCTGATTAAAAAGCCATTTATATTCCATGTTTCAAGTCACATCGCGTGGCTATAATTAATTAAATTAGATATAGTTTCCATTTCAAACGTCTCTACTATGTATGTTGTGAAAGAAGATCACATAGAGTTTTATTTAGTGGCAATTAACTACTTGCCCTTAAAAAAACAACAATGAAACGGACACAGAAATGTGTTCGTCCCACGCAGGGGACGTCCTTACTTAGTTTTAAGTCGCGATCAGCATATCTTAAAACTCCGACTACTGGCGAATACAAACGCAGGGTTTCATTGATTACTGCTTCACAGTATACAAGTTTGTGAAGGTCTTCTTTTTGGACATCTCGATCGCCAAGAACATTCTTTATCCTAGAAGTTATTGAATTTATTAATTCTAGTATTATCTATTACTTGTTCCTTAAGCACTAGTAAATATTTCAAACGTAATGTTTGTGAGAGACTAGCTGTGCCAGTGACTTCGTGCGCGTAGATAGACCAAAACCATATTAATTTTGTGCCCGTCATATCGTTCTCGCGAGTTAATCTCAAAATATAGACATATTGTCGCAAACATTCACTCCAATTAGCCATAGCTTAATGTTTTATAGCCTTCCTCGGTAAATGTTCTAAGACAAAAATATTTTTTCATTTCGAACCAGTAAGTAGTTCCTGAGATTAGCGCGTTCAAACTTACAAACCAACTCTTCAGCTTTATAATATTAGTATAGATTATTTCTTACTCAGTACAAAGTTTATCCTGAACATCCTTCCTGGTACCGATCACAAGGAAAATGTAGAAGAGGGTGTTCGCCACAGTCTCTTGTCCACCCACGATAACGGTGGCGGTTTCAGATAAAATTTGCTTTTCCGTTAGGTGAGGATCTGTCTCACTCAAGTCCAGCATCAAATCCAAAAAAGCCTTGGACTTCTCTAAAAGTTAATAACTCGGTCAGTGAAAATGCTCCAGCGCCGATGCAAACGTGCAAACAATACTGACCGGTTTCTTTTATATCGCTCTTTCCCAAATTGCGATCTTGTTTCTTTTTCCTTAATATCTAGAAAATAATCAATATTTTATGTATTATATAATATAGATTAATTGAGATCTAATTGGATGGTTTACAGCAGCCGTGACCATGGCTAATAAATAATTAAGTCTAACTAAATACTATCTGTAGTTAACGCAAATAGTACACATTTAAAAAACACTTTAACGGTATAAAACGCGATATATATTAGTAACGTATTTCGAAATTATTTTAACTACGGCCCGACGTTTTGGTTGCTTTACAGCAACCATGGCGTTTAACCGCCAGAGTTCTATTTAAATGTGTCCTGGCGTAAACACAGACAGTATTAAGTTAAACTAAATTATTTATTACCTATGGTCACGGCTGCTGTAAACCATCCAAGAAGTCGGCCATAGTTAATATAAATTACTATAATATATATCGCGTTTTAAATCGTTATATTTTTTGTCTTTTTTATCATAACTTAAAGTGTATAAAAGTTTTTGTTTACTTACAGTTAAAGTAAAATCGTGTAACACAGCCACAGATTCCGAGAGCTTCTTAAATCCAGATGTCAACCTGTATATCCATTCTGGATGCAGGAATACATTTGTTATTCTCGCCAAAATTAGATCCAGTGTTTGATGTAAAGCAGCATAGTATTTTTCAGCGTTAAAAGTTTTTGAGGCGCCGAAACTTACCTCTATATAAGAAGAAAAGTTTTTGAATAGCTAGTTAAAAATCAAAACGAATATAAGCTAATCTATTTTTAGACAGGTCTTTTGGTAATATTTTTTTTCGTCGGCATATATTTTTTTTAATTATTTTTCCTTCTTAATAATTCTTCTTATTAATTTCAAACTCATTATTTCCGGCTGTCACTCTAAATTTCATCCACTTGGCATGACTAACAACAGCCGAGTGATGTCCTTCCACAGCAAAGTTAGTATGTGTTAATTGTAACCCATGTATGTATTTTCATCGTATAATTCCTTTTTTGTGTATGTGTACTTTGGTATGGTTTAAATTATTTAAATTTAAATATTGAAAAACAATAAAAGCACGTTTTTAAACGGCCATATTGCTGTAATGGTTCCATAGAGTTTTTATTTTTAACCAAATCTTCTAGATACAGAACCGTATAGTAGCGGGTTCAGTTGTAAATTAATTAAAGAAAATGGTATATAAATACTGTCTGTGGTTTACGCGAGTAATACACATTTAAATAAAAACACTTTAACGGTTTAAAACGCGATATATATTAGTTAAACTTATTTGAAACATCGCGCCGTAGTTAAAATAATTTTCAACTAAGTTTAACTAACATATATCCCGTTTTAAACCGTTAAAGTGATTTAATAAATTGAATTGTTAATATGAAACATAGGTGTTAAATATATTGCTGTTACTTACTACAAATGGTTTCCAAAGAAGACAAAGAGACGTAATAAAACGAATCAAAGAAGTCTCCATTCGTTTCTTGTTCTAGGTTTCGGACTAATTTTTGCGCCTGTTCATTAAAAATGCCTTGGTACTGTTCAACCGCTGACCCGATGAACGCGGAGGCCACTTTCTTTACATTCTTCTTCCATAACCAGCCTGAACGACATTATTGATAAGGTATGCAACAATTTCCTTTACTATATTGCTGATCGGTTAATTACAGGCGAGACGAAGACTTTTGTGTCTTGTTCGCACAAAACTGTGTCTTCCCCCGGATTCCGAACCTAGGAGCTCTCACGGTTCAACATTGACTTGAATTATATGGGGCAGACATATTATGAGCGCTTTACCGATTACCTTTTATTCGGAATCTTTCGAACCCAAATTCATTCATATAAGTAAACCACGGACACAATTTAATAATCGCAAAAGATGTTTGTTTTTGTTGGCAGCGTAATATACCATTTTTGAATATCTTTATTACACGTTAAGCCTACTCTAATTACCACACGTCAAGATTTGACCTTATTAACTTCTGTTCAAGTACGAAAGTAATTTTGGCTGGTCCTTCGTCCAATAGTACCCATGTTTAGCGAGTAATCGGTTTGATCACTACCACGCTCGTCGTTCCATATATAATATATTTTTCTGAAACCTGTAGTTTGGTGTTAGGAATATCGAAATTCCGGGTCACAAACAACCGTCTACAGATGTAAAATCCGTTTATCATCGCGCTTTTAACTCAAGTGTTGATTTTCAAAAGTCCAAAATAAAATTAATCAACAACGCACCTTGCCTAAAGTTGTTCAAGGTGTTGTAAAAGTGTTCACCTTCCTTCAAGTGAGCCATCATGTCTGTACGTACCTGGTGCAAGTAGCACCCCATTCCCAAGCCAGATTTTAGCAAAATTGTAGTAAAAAGGCTTCTCCAGAAATGTGTTTGCCGCTGCCTTTATGTCATCCGGATTACTTAAGACTGAAATGTTAAAACTTCATGGTAATTTACTGGTACAGGGGCAAATATAAGGGGCTATAGATAAGTATCTATACTTATTACCATAGATTATAGAACAGATAAACAATACTTGTTGAACTATACTCTGTATTTAGGCTTATTATAGATAGCGGGGTTGGAAACTAGTAATAAAGATGTTGGTAAACAAGTATTTAATATTGAAAATCCGTAATTTATGCGAGTTATAAATTCAACCAAAAATCTTTAACGGTTTAAACGATGTCATTAATTAAACTTATTAAGAAATTATTTTAACTACGGCCCCGCGTTTCGGATGCTGTGCAGCAGCCGTGTTTACATCGCGTTAAACCTCTTAAGTGTTTTATTTCAAGGTATTTAATGATTATTTCAATTATAAATGGAGATTATATATAGCTTACTTAAGACTGGTAAAGGTCCGGCCCATAAAACATATGGCTTGTTGCTCATCTCAGCCATCTTCGACAACTCTTCATAGTAGAGAAATAGGTCTAGGAAAAATAGTAAGCATTTATACATTTGGTGATTTAAGTCGGATAACTTACTTTTTATGAGTTACAGTGTTTGAAATAATAAAATGAGTTAAATTTATTTATTTAACAATGCACATAATATAGCTTGGTGGAGAAAAGCAAGAAACAGGACAGAATGGGAAAATATGGGGGAGGCCTTTTGCGACGCAAACATACATTGCGCATAATAGTTATAATGTATTTTAAAGTGTCATAATGTAAATAAATAAAAAATAATAATTTTATAATAATGTATGTAATAAAGGCTTATTATTATTATTACTGTTTTAGTATTTTTAAACTTATACTTAATACTGGTAACAGTAATGGACGCTATATTTTTCGCATTGTCAAATAGCCCATTCCCAACGTGGGGTCGGGTTTCACATGTTTCTCAAAAAAATCTATGCCATGTTTCTAAAACAAGTTAGACTATTGAGTAACAATAATTTATTTCGTCTAATTCAAAGGCGTAAGGCGTATTAGCCCGGGCTAATAATATGAACGGTCATAAGAGACATCCAAGGTGATATTAATTTACACGAAACTGAAACTTTGTTTGTCTTTTAAAACACTATTTTTTGCAATTAGTCAAAATCCTCCATCGATAGACCGCATATACAAGGTCTTTTAAAGGTAACTGACTGACTTTTCTATACTAATATATGAAGCTGAAGAGTTTGTTAGTTTGTTTCTTTGAAAGCGCTAATCTCAGAAACTACTGGTTCAAATCGAGATGATCAAATCTTTTGTGTCAGTTAGTAAATTTAACGGGAAAAGTAAAAAATCGGGGAAAATTTTCATCTCTGTGGGTGTCCGATGCGTACCTACGCTGTGAATACGGTTCATATACTCAAAAAATATGCATCAAAGAATTCCTTTTTAAATGATCTAAAATAATGTCCGCGACACAATATGTCTATCTTTGAAGATTACCTTGCAAGAACGACGGAATGCCCAAAATAACTAATCTCGCGTCAGCGACTTTGTCGCGGACAAAGTCGCTGACACAGCTAGTTGTAAAGAAATGCGGGATCCCTCTCAGATCTATTTAAGATTTCTATCGACCCGAATTTTCGTGAACAAAATAATTACGATTGTGTGCGAAATTTTTTTATTGTGGTGTTGGCTAACAGAGAAAGCAATAAATAAAGTTTTCTTGGTTTGGATCTTAAGGTCGAAAATATTGGTCCCACAAATGTATGTTTGGTTTCGTCGAAGTATACCTTTTCAGGGATCAAAAGCAAAAATTTTTTAGTCATATAAGTTTATCGACTAGGCTAATTGTATTTTTTTCCAAACGCTGGGTTTATAACACCTCCGACATAAATAAGTGATTTCGAATTATAATTATTTAAGTGTTCCAATTTTAAGAATTTGTATTTATTTATGTAAATTATAAGTATGGTTAAAGCAGTAGCACTGAGCGCTGCGGATTCCGGTTCCAGTCCCGCCCGCGTTAATTTTGTTACATCTGTCTATAGTTTACGCGAGTAGTACTTACTCATTTAAATAAAACACTTTAATGGTTTAAAATGCGATATATTAGTTAAACTTATTTGAAAATGATTTTTAATAATATCGCGTTTTAAACCGTTAAAGTGGTTTATTTAAACATCTAAATATTTCTTTTAATTTATCTATGTTTATATTAACATATACTCACTGTGGGAGTCTCCAAATATTTTATAGGCATTCCCTATGAAAGGCCACTGCGGGTGCGAAGGTAAGTGGGCATAGTTCTTCCTCGCCCGCAAACTCACCAATATACTTACCAAGTACGCCAACAGTAGAACTATCAAACCTATTATCCATGGATTCATCTAAAAAACCAATTAATTACATCTTTATGAACGGGACGGTACATCCGAACCGGTGTCGATTACCATTTCTTACGTATATAATATGATTTATATTTTTTTATTTACCTAATTAATTTTTAAGTTTACTCCATTATGATGTTGTTGTTATATATCTATATGTTGTTATATCTTATAATGGCAATAAAAAGTTTTTTAATTTTAAGTCAAATCTTCAAGAGGGATGTTGAGAAAACTTTTTAAATTATAGATAGGTATTGATTTCAATTGATATCAAATACTATTTTTGTCTCAAATGATATAAAACACATTAAATATTTGAGCTATTATTAGTTGAGCTACATCTGTAAATATACATAATATTAAATGGAAACCTAACGTTCCTAGTATATTTTTGTAAATTACTCTTTTAAATTACTATTATATATATTAACTTAAGTGCACTTGAAAATTTTAATGAAATTTTTAATTTTCAAAATCGTATTTAAGATTGGGATTCGAAACCACGTACCACGCGCTATTGTAGAGCATGTAAATAGCACTTTTGTTTTATATTACACTAACATATTTAAACCAGAGAAGTTGTATGTGGGAAGAAAAATCAAACAACTTACATTCTAACCACAACCACTGACTGCCGAATACTATGGTCTGATTGATTAAGCCCCTTCGCGAAAACCTCGGTTATATACCACTCTTTGTAATATTAATATATTATACAAACATAGACATCTTTTTTATGTCGATAACGAAGGTTTCCTAATTCGAAGTTTAAGAACGGATTTAGATTTTTTTTTAATTTAATAGTATTTTACAATTACAAAATATAATTTAATCATTTTCGTAACTAAATTTTACCTAAACATTGTGCTAAGTGTTTTTTTTTCTTGTTTAATTTTAAGTCGTTTTCTTGTATAGCCACAAAGTTAAGCAAATGTCGACTGAAGCTTTTGCTCCCCTAAAAACCTTTGGTTTCAAAAGTGATTATCTTTAAATAAAACACCTTAACGGTTTAAAATGCGATATATTTTAGTCTACTCTAGTCTAGTACTAAACTAGTACTTTTGAGACATCTTAATACATTTTGGCTACAATGTATTAAGATGTCTCATTTTCGCAATTTGGCTTCAGCTAAAAAATATATATGAGCATATGCAACGTAAAAAGCGTCCAAAATTTTTACGAATTTCTGAACTTACTAGTATTGTAATAATCTTGTAGCGATAAATCTAATTTTAATGTATTGTTATTAGCTCTTCATAACTGAATATGATTACAATTCATAAGACGCCTATTAATATGCCTATAACCTGCTTTTATTTATTTTTCATTTCAGACACTATTAAAAAAGATTTATTATTTTGATAAACCACTTTTAACGCTTAAAAACGAGAAATATATTCCTCAACATATTTTTAATTTTACACGACGCCCGACGTTTTGCATTTGAAAGAGCCCTGGTCGCAGGGGAAACGACGTGCCATAGTAAAATGAATTAATATAAGTTAATCAATCTATTCCGCATTTTAAACCGTTAAACTGCGATTCAAATGTTTATTACTCCCGTAAATTCCAGAAATTTCCTTTCTCTTACGTGTGGCAGTGGGCGTACACGTACATGCACTGTGTCCTCGTATAGGCAATTAGTTTCAATCAGATAATCAGATTTTTTGTCTGAGCCAAACTGCTTCTTCAATCTCCCGGGATTAAAAACCAATACACAAAGCTTATCAAACTCATTTTAACGGTTAATATTTTAATAATATAACCTATACGAATAGGTAACTTTTTTTAATTTACAAATTACATATTTATTAGTAGAAAAATATCGATTATTTTTTATACTTCTATTTGGATATTTCTTTTTTGTTTATCTTTTTTTAGTTATAACATAAAAATATTAATTATATTTATAAATTGGCACTGTACGTAATTCAGATAGTGAATTATATATTAATTTATTATTTAGTTTATAAACGAATATAACAATCTGTGTTATCATTGAGCAAAAATAACGTATTAGAACTTTTTTCGGGGTCAATAAAATTAACTTGTGAGAATTCACCTTAGATTTGATGTCGTCAAAGATACTATAGACGTTTCATTCGGTTATATGTTGTGGTTGCAATGTTGTCATCAACGCGTGTTTGCCGACTGCAATTTTACAAATAGGTAAACAATCAATTATCTCTTAGATAACAGAAGATGTATTTAACCATAGGAACGACCCATCTATTCATTTTCTCATTATTTCAACGTGCATTTAAGGTTGCGTTGTATTGGAACGTTGCCAACCATAACATATAGTATTGTACGATATAGTACGGAAAAATACTATAATTTTTCAACACAAATTATAATTATGAACCATTTATGATATCTGCGAACGTCTGTTACATAAACTTTTGAGATGTAATTTTCCGTAAAGATTTTATACTTATATTTACAAAAATACTAATATCTATTTTGTTCCAAAGCTATATGACTGTTATTGCTTAATTTAGTACTTATTTTGTAAATTTGTAGGCCTAAAGGAGGTTAGGAAGACCGCTTAACATAAGTTTTTAAATATTTTTCTTTAACAATAATCTTTGGTCTCTTTTATTTAAAATAAAGCCTTAGCACTTAGCAGGAGACAGCTAAATCGTATTTATAAGGATCGTTTTAAGTAAAGATAATAAGTGTATTAAACACATATGTGTCACAAGAAAATCGTAATATCGGTTTAAATATCAACTGTATAATTAAATGTCATTTGTAAGTGAACGAATCAAAGAACCAGATAAGTTTGTCAATACGTCCGAATCAATTCAGTTCTTTGCGATCGAACAAGTGACCCCCGTTTAATATTAACGTCACTGGTCATAAACGTAGCGAAATAGAGGACACACTGCATTCTCTTCAAAATTCCATGTTTTTGGCACATTCGGAACTAAAGCTAGGCTCGGCTGAAGTCAATTCACTCTTTCAGGACCATAACATGGCTGAGACAAAATATTTGAATAGAATACAATATTTTAGCTATTTAGGGTGTAAAATAAGAGCATAAAACTAGAAAAGCATAGCAAGGTGTATAGATTTTCTATGATTTCATACGTTATTTTGACATTCATTACGAAAAATGGATTCAATAATAATTGAATAATGGATTAAAATTTTTATAAAAGGGAAAAATATTTCCCTTCAGCGTGGACGTTTAAAGGACTTTTTCATAAAGCATATCAAGTACAGACACTATACATTACATATATAAGTATTAATGCTAATTATCTTAGTATAAGCCTGTGCTTGTAACTACTCTGTGAGCGCTCAACCACAGACTAACGACGATACATCGCATCAGCTCTTTAGACATTTACAATTGACAACCTGAATATAACTCGAAATTCATACATTCAAATTCAAAACAAATAGAAATCGTACAGTGTTAAATATGTAAAATCTGGAATCGCGTTTTTCTAGAAATATTGAATTTGTCAACCGAAGTGATGTACTGAATATAATACATATTTATTTTCCTTTTACTTGAAAGTTGAAATTTGTTCAAAATCACAATGAACAAGAAGAGGAAGACCCACTTATTTGATTTGTACTGGGAAGATATTATTGTGGCTAAAATCATGCCCCTTTTATCTATTCAAGAGTGCTTTATATTCAGAAGCGTATCACGTACGTGTTTACAAATAGTAAACATGTATTTCTCTAAATTGAGATCATTGAAGCTTATGAACAAGGGGTTTTCGCCCCACACATTTAACGTAAGTAGAAATACGTATATATAACATAATATTTTATAAAATAAACCCGCATATATTATTATCTTCCAGGTATTTGGCATGACTTGCACCAAATTGAAACTGTTGAATTTAAGTAGATGCAGCACTATCACAGACGCAGAACTGATACCCATGCTGCGTCGTAACACCGAGTTAATCAACCTGAATCTAAGCCAATGCAAAAATTTATCTGCAAAGTGTCTCCAGCCAGTTATACTGTATTGTGACAATTTGCAAATATTAAAACTGGCACGATGTTCTTGGCTTACAACGGGCGCAATAGAAGCTCTTGCTCTTCATCAAAGTAAACTTGAAGATGTTGATTTGGCATATTGTATTTCAATATCAGAGAGTTGTATTTTGATATTTATAAAGAAGTTCAGACAGATAAAGACTTTGAACCTAGAGGGAAATAAACAGGTGACCGATAAATGTTTGTATACCATGTCCAAATATAGTAAGTCACTAAAACTCCTCAATTTGGGTGGATGTTGTGATATCACAGATAAAGGAGTGAGGTAAGATCATGCATGCAAACAATAGTTTGTAATATAGTCAATTTGTATGGAATACCATAAATTAAGTGTCCAAAAATGAGCTTAGACCAATTATTTCAGAATACAGTATGGTCCCTCTTGATAAGAATGTTTTTCCATCTCATTCAGAGTTTAATAAATATGAACAACATTGTTACAGGGCATTAGCTTTGCACTTACCTCAGCTAGAGGGTTTACTGGTGCGTGGCTGCACTAAAGTCACAGAAAATAGTCTGCAACTAATGAGAGATCGTGTTCATCTCGACAGAAGGCCATCACAAGCTGTGCCATTACCAGTCTATGTGCAAATTTAATATGGTTGTGCTTTTAAACAATGTAGTTTATAATAGAATATTGCATAGTTTATAATATATAAATGCTTGTATCCTTAATGTCCAAGGCAAGATTTATGGGAAGTCGAGGCGACCGCCCTGGACTACTGATATATTAAAAGACATAATCTTGTCTAACCACTATATCCATGATTCCCTTGACTTACAGGATGAATTATTGTTATTTTTAGTCATTATTTATTAGCAATTTGTATCTATCAATTGTAAAAAGAAATCTTTCAGATCTCATTACTTAAAATTATTATGTACAGTTAGGATTAATATATATATTTAAAAAAAATTAATAGGTTTGCAACGAATAGCCATTATTCGGAAAAAAAAATTATAATTTTATTTTAATTTTTTTATTTATTTTATTATTATAGCGCCAAAATTTAAACAGATGTAATTGTTTTTATGTTGCATTGCATTTTTAGACAAGCTTATTTCATAGATATTTTTTTTATTTAAGTAAGTTATTTTTTATCTGGACTGTTTAAATTAACAATTCATGAATTAACTACGCTTATAAATAACACGAATTAAAAATTTCTAGTAGTGGCGAAATAAAAGCGACTATATCAGGAATGTTAAATCTATGTAGGGGACTGATAAGATGAATATATAATTGATTAATCTTTATATATTTTATCAATTATCGAGTCCATATAACAAAATAGGTAAGTAAGTATTTGGTATTTGGCTGAGTACCATAAAAGATACCGAATACCTAAAATTCGTCGCAAGCCTAATTTTTTAATAAATAGTCATTAAAAATTTACTTTTTTATTTTAGTTACTGATTTGCCATATTTATCATGGCTTGCCATTTTTTATGACATTAGTCATGTCACCATATTGGTAGCTAATTGAAACAAGGTAACTAACAATTGCTGGTCCCAAACATAAAACATTTGTTTGCCATGTGCTATTGGGCTTATAGTGCGTATCTATCAATGCAGTTGAGCGTATGAGTACAAGATAATCAAGCAATAAGTGTCCTTGCGACAGTACGTTTTAAACTACTGGGTACTACAAGAAACAACAAACATATTATTTCACAAAATTATATTTTGTGTGATAACACCTGCTACAAGGTCTTATGATTTATTTATTTACAATATTCTTTATTCTAGACATTAGTAACAAATAACATTTATAACGTAAGGAGCAGATCTTACAAATAATTTACTGTATGAGAGCCTTCTCGCCAACGCAAAGGCTCATTAAACCAAACTTAAATTAATACAATTGTTAATAACATTTGGTAATAAATAACTAGGATAACACGAAAAATAACCCTTAAAATGCGAAGCGTAAAATAATTAGGTCATAAAAAGTATAGAAAATTACTTAGGCCTGTTTCCACTGAAATGGCTCCCTTATGATATCGCTAACTTCAACTAATACTATCACATGAATACGATTATTATATTACATACGATTATCCTAGAATCACCGATGGATCCTATACAGCCTTCCGTTAAGTAAAGCGGACCATATACAATATGTTACATTGAAATTAAGCATAGTTTGGGACGAGAAAGAGGCACTTTCATGAACAGATCAAACGAACCTATGATAAAATGACTATACAAATTCTGTACAGCGTATGTTACACGTTGATGGGAAAACAAAACAGCATATACACATAAAACATTAGGAATTCCAAACAAATTTTACACAAGTCTATTTCAAAAATTGATTGCACGCGGCTCTCCATACACTTAATACTTATCGTTCTTTGGGAGTTAAGAAATAATTACATGTTTAAGCACGCCCCGATTCATGAGTGTCCGATCAAATATATCACAGTACAGCGCCGATATCTAACGTGTAAAAGTTTAAAAATCGCAATAATTACCATATTTATTGCACTATACAATATGCTACACTTCGCGACGGTACAATACAAAATAGTCTTTAAACATTTATTCGGTAATTTTGTACTTTTCTCAGCATATTCGTCGGTTCCTTATACAGAAATTATCTACATACTCGGTACAAATGTGGGCGTATATAGACCGATACCGATTTAAATATAATTTCACCCAATTCATAGACCAAATACTGTACATAATTATGCATAAAACTTATTAGTTCATTAGATAAATACAAAATACATTTTATGTGCTACACGGCTTATAATAAATATTTAAAATGACACGTAAATACTAAAATTTTTACAAAGCTATATACACCCACACAGCTGCCGCACCAACAGCGAGATAACACTGACAAGGCAACTCTAGTGGTGTTATTAGTTTTCTATATATACATTTAAACTATGACATTATTTGTACTATAACTTAAATATACACTCGTTTTTGGTCAATTTCTTAGTTCCAACCACGTGAGTATTGTCACTTCACACTACACTATGTTTTTAGGGTGCCGGACCGCCTATGTAATCATTGAAATAAGTATCCAATATAAGACAGAAAGCTCGTGAAATCATCAATTAAAATGTTTCTATTTTATAAAAATATGTTAAATATTTAGTTTTACAATTGATACTTTTGAGTGCAAGAAAATAATAGCATTACAATAGTCCAGCTACCAATAGTTACGCTCACTATCACTGCTTTCGACACTGTTTCGGTCGAGGCTACCGACGCATAGTGGAGTTTAATGTTTGCATAGTAAGAGGCGGGGGCGGGTTAATGTAACCGGCGTACGCGTACACGTTCGGTTGCTGGGCCCTGGGGTCGGGGGCGGGGTATTGGACGCTCGGCTGAACATTCATCATCTGCACCGGCAGGTTGTTGAACTGCTGCTGCGGTACTCTATACCCGTTGAGGCTGTACTGGTTGAGTAAGTGGGTGTTCAGGTTGGGAGACATTCGGGAGCCCGGGCCCATTGGCACGTGTTGAATTTGGCTGAGGTTACCTGAAACACATTACATTGACTCTGTAAACGGAATGAATTTTTAAAAGCAGCCCCCCTTTAATCAGTGAGAAGAGAGTACTTTTTTTAATATAGAGGACAGAGAAGCATAAGGTCCACTCGATGATAGGTGAAACACCCCGGCCATATAATGTCTAAGTAAGATGCTCTGTCGACCTATTCTTACTTTGGATATTTGAAAAACCACAGACTGAAACCGAAACGCGATGATGGTTCGTGACCTGGATGGAATTTTGATATTCGAGTGGTACCCTTTTCATTTTTAGATTTCCAGGTGAAATCCCACATGTTTCAGAAAAATTCTAAATTGACACATGTTAGATCCGGTGGGGATCGAACCCTCGACTCGTTGCTAACATTAGACCAACGAGAGCCCGTCAAAACTGACAGAGGTGCGATCATTTTATATACGATATAAACTAGTACATACTGGTAGCGTTCCTGGTATTTCTAGGCGAGTCTGGCTGATTGTGCGCCGGCGCATAGTACTTAGGGGCGTGATAGTGACCACTAGGCGGTGTGCCAGCCTGTTGCACATACTGTAAAAATTCATAGTGCTTAATGTGGCATGCAGACACTTATATGCTGGACATTAGGGAGCAGAAAAACCTTACTGCTATTACCTGTGCTGGAGGTGTATGCGTGTGTGTGTGAGTGTGCGGCGGGTGCTGCGGCGCATCAGCCATTTGCTGCAACTTAGCGAGCGAGCAGGACGGGGCCCACCCCGCGTGATACTGCTGTTGCTGCTGCTGAAAACTTATGTAACCGCCTTGGTAACCTGCACCGCCTCCGGGCGCACCTCCTTGCATTACACCTAAAATGTATTACACAATAAGTCATTTCCATTACAGGCCATTAATTTTTAGGTAGCAAATAAATATATAAATAAGCACCGTGTGGTTGATGAGCCGGTGGTGTCGCACGATGTCGGGCGGGCGGCGTAGCAGCGCTGCGCATTGCCGACTTGCTCTCTGCACTGTTGCTGCTACCACTTGCAGTGCTGCTTCTATCAATTACAATACATTTCATTGTGTTTTCACATTAAGATCCTTAAATTCTATTGTTATTCATCTACTTGAAAAATAAAAAAATATCTAGTTGAAACAACAATATGTAAATTTTCAAGTGTTTAAAAACATAATTAAATCGTTATGAGTTTACCTATTACGGTTATTAATTTTCTGTTGCTTTGCAGGTTGATTCGGCTGGCTCATAATCGATGGAATATGTATAGATGAGTGCGGGTACTGCGGGCTCGGTGTAGGATGCATATGCATCATTGAGCAAGGTGAAGCGAGATCAGACCCTATACTAGTGGGCGACTCTAACCCCAGCTGGCTCACGTCCAATTCACACGCGGGATACTGCACGGAATGTACGGAGTTGCTCGTCGAATCAGGGGTGTACACTCCCATAGACTGCAGAGCTGGACTGACCGCTTCGCATAATTCCTCTTTACTTGTGTCTTTTGGAGACTCTTCCTTTTTATGCTTTCTATTCTTTTCGATTTCCACTTTATCAGAACAGGGTCCGTTTTGGTTGAATGGAGTTTTGCAACCTGGCGAAGTCAATATCTGGGGGCTCTGTTGACGGTACTCCGCGCAGCTGGTTGCGACTTCCGGCTGCTTATTCACTTGGCGTTGCATCATCTGTTTCATATGATCGCTGTGCGATTTTTTGCTGTCGCATTGCGTCTGGCACGCAGCTGTAGATTTTGACTGCTTCGACGGTTTACACTCGTTCTTTAGACATTCATTCTTCGAAGGGACCGTTTTAGTTTCTTTAAAGTGCGGAAGTTGCGTCGCGTATATTCCGCTCGATAAAGCACCGTACGCTATATTGTGGAAGTCTTTTTGATTAAATTTTTGCGGTGACTTTTGCATTTGGTCTAAATGCGGTAAATTGAAACCTTGAAACTTGTCGAGGTATCCCACTTGTCTGTTGTGATCCCACGTACTTTGTAGCGTTCGCGTCGGATCCCACGGCGGCCACTGCGCATACTGAGCCGTATGGTAATTAGGAATTTGATTCATGGCGTAATCCGCTTTCGACACTAGCTCATTGTCGTATTTAAACTTGGGCAGCATTTTATTTAAGTCGTTTTGGTCCGCCTTGGTGATTTGCGAGACGCACGTTTTTTCATGTTTGGCGGAGGCATTCTTTGCCTCACATTTGGTATTAGATTTTTCTTTCTTAAAAAAGTCTTGCTTCTTAGTAGGTTCGTTAATTTTCGATTCTGATTTGCTTGTGACACTTACAGAGTTAATCACATTTATAGGGACAGATGTCTCAGGCTTTCTTGCGTTAGGACTTTGTTCTGGAAAAAACATTTTCGGTTCAGGGGTACTCCTTGGTGTATCATTCTTTGATATCTTTTTGTCTGTTTTCTCTAACTTACTATGAGCCGAATTCACCCTTACATCTCGTAACTTACTCTTTTCTCTTGGTCTTTGTCCAAGATCACTTTTGTCCTGTGATCCCGATTGTATTATATTCATTGAACCACCCAAAGTGCTTTGTAAAGTATTATTGGTAAAATTAGGATCTAAATCAGACTGTCTGTCTAGGCCTAAATTCACAACGGCGTTGGCACTTTGACAGCGAGGTAAAAAATTGATATCAGTAACATTGGGCACTTTTGGTATCACTGGATTAACAACTGGTGATGATATAGGGTGGGGCACTTCTAATTTTGTTGTCGTTTTACTTATAACTGGCGTTGAATCCGGCATACTACCAAGAATCCGGCTTTGTTCGCTCGTTTTAATCAGCATTTTATCAGTTTGTACCGCCTGCGACTCTTTGCTGACTGTAGGTCTGTGACTCATGTAGGTTTGATGCATGGGATTTATAGGCTGTATAGTCATAGAGTTGCTCATGGTAGTCTGGTAATTTTGTATGTTTGGCTCTATTATACTTCTCGATATGACAATGTCATCCTTTCTCATATTTAATGTGTCGGTACGAAAAGTTATTTCGCTTTCCTCTTTGCTTGCTAGAGGATTTTGTAGTTTAGCACTGATGTCAACTAATGTATCCATTTTTAGGGGCTCAGATCTTTTCATACTATTTATAATGTCTCTATGAGGATCTAAACTTTGAATGATTGACTCTATTTTATTAGGAGACTTTTTCTCAGCCAGCTTGGAGTCATCCATTGTTTGGTGCTGTATAACTGTCTCTTTTCTTACATCATACCTTTTTTGTTCAATAACCTCACTTATTACTTTGTTTGGTGATTTTGTGGGTTTCGAAGCTTCGCTTATGACCGACTTGTCGTTTTTCTTAGGTGATATTCCGGTTTGGGACGAAATCGGACTGTTTGATTCACCCTCCACAACTATGGTTTCGATTTGTTGAATCTTTTGCACATTGGGGACAATCAAATCCATAGATACCTTATTCCTATGTGCTTCTTCTGGCCCTTTAGCATCCAACACAATATGAGCATTTTCTGTAGTAACAACTGGCATAACTTTTGATGGACTTTCATTTTCAACTACTTCCTTAGGTTTTGAATCACGTTTGTCGACGGGAACTATGTCATTAGGCTTTGGCGATGGAAGGGGACAGCTCTGACTATTATTATCATCTGATTCTGAAATAATAATGGTATCTTTGTCCTCAAGAATTGGTTTCACTGGTGATTTAATGTCGCCATTGGGGGTTGTTTCTACTATATTATTTTTATCATCTATTTTGTTTTCCACGTCCTTAGCCGTAAACAGGTGATCAAGATTGTCGGGAGTGGCACATTCACTTTTCTCAAGTACAGTTTCATTAATTACTTGATCTTTATCAGCCATTGATTTAGGTGAGTCCATGTGTATACTGTCCAGCTCCATATCACTAGTATGATTGTCAGTGCTATTTTCTTCAATTGGCCGCGGAGATGCAGGTTTACTGGTGACACTTTTTATATCTTCCCTTTCTTCAACGTCCATTTCATCATCAGCTTCACCAGAAGAATCTTCTGAACTGGCCTCTGAATGTTTGTCTTTTTCTACTATGTCTTCATTGTTATTAACTTTTAAGTTATCTTGTACTGTTGAAGGACTTTCTTTGATATCATTTAATTTTTCATTGGATTTACTTTTCTCTCTGTCAATTTTTGTTTTCTTTGTTGTGGGCGATTCAGATCTCTTTACTCTATTAGGCCTTTGGCGTTTTGTTTGCCTTCCTTTCCATGGTATTTTTCTGTTACTTTTTGCTTTAACTACAATACTATCTTGGTCAACACTTTCCTGGCTATCTTGGGTGTCGTCAGAAGCATATACAGATGGTTTATTGATCTTAGTTGTATTTTCCTGTATTTCATTACTTTCATTTTGCAAAGACCTAAAGGATCTCCTGGTGACGCTTTTGCTTCGTGGTCTTCTCGTACTTTCATCTTTGTTATCACCGTCATTTTCAGAAATTTTTCTGTTTGCTTCGCGTTTTCTTTTTCTACTCCCTTCACTTATATTAGGTGTCGTTTGATAAGTACTTTCACTATATTTAAGGGGACGTGTTCTTCTTCTACCAGATGAAGTAACTTCAACCGGAGTTTCAAAAGCTTTTTCTACAATACTAGCTTCTTCTACTTTAGATACAGGCATGTCGGGTTCAGTTTCCGTATGCTCGCTTTCCGTTTTTAATTCACCATCGTTTTCAGTTTCCTGATTGCCCGAATTCTCTTCTGGTGACCTAAAGGGATTTACTGTTGGAGCTAGTAATGGTGTCCATCTTAAACACTCGGGATCGATTTCTAGGCGAGGTTTCGCCCTTAACTTTTTCATGTGGTTATCAACTCGGTTCCAATCTACACATATGCCCAACTTTACTGAATCGTCACTGGGAATGTATCTAACAAAGCCGAGTAGTTGAAATGTAACAGCAATGTCATTCATGTGCATTCCAGTACTTAGTGCTATATCTTCGAATGTAAAAGGTTTGTTTCTATAGCCATCCAGGTACTCTAGTATAACAGATTTCCAATATGCGTGATATGAAACTCTGCCCAAATCTGACAATGGTTTTTCTGGGGTTCCAGGTTGCCCTTCTTCTTTCGATAACAAGTAACCTGCAAAAAAATGACAAAATATTTTCATTTTTATAATGTAAAGAAAAAATAAATAAAATGAAAAATAATTCCACCACTCACTAAAATGTATTAAAAATCGTCCGAATCCCTGTCTCTGGTACTGCGGCATGGTCATAATACATGAGACATTGTATTTCTGTTGACAATGCTTTTCCTTTGAAAAATAGCCAACTAAATGACATCCTTTATTGTCATTTTTCGTGAGGACATAGAATAGGAAAGGTTCAACGTCATAATACAAAGTTTTATGATCGAGGAACAACTTGGCCAGAAGGCACAAGTTTTGACAGTAAATTTTATTAGCATTTCCGTCAACTTCAAACACGGAGATATCTCCACAACGATATATTTCTGTAGCAGGAGGATGTCGCCATAAGCACTTGTCTAAGTGGCGAATGAGAACTGCTCGGCTTTTTGCATATTTCAAGCAGAATTCACACAGGAACAGCTTTGGTAATCTGCACAGAAAAATAAACACATGAAGAAGCATGATACAAGAAAAAAAAATTACGAAATCTATCTAATCTAATCTATAGGTGAAGAGTTCGTTTGTTTGTATGTTTGAACGTCCTAATCTCAGGAACTACGGGTTGGAATTATTTTTGTTTTAATTAGAGCATTTATCGAAGAAGGCTACAGGCTATAAAACATCAACCTGTGACTAATACAAGCGAAGAAAAGAAGCGGGAAATGTGAAAAATTTGAATAATCATCATATGAGTTGCCGAGGCGGACGCTGCAAAAACGGTTCAAGGTACCCAAAAAATGTTTGAAGGAAGGATTCCTCTTTAAATAATCTAAAAAAAGTCTATGTCTATCTTTTAAGATTAACCTGCTAAAACGACAAAGGGACGCCGCCGACGTCGTGGGTAATAGTTTAAGTTAGTAAAGATAAAGGGGTTCGCCAAAACGAATTTAGATGCCCATAATAAAATTCTCGTGGCGTCGTCCACGCTGACACAGCTAATAATTTTATATTTTTGGTTTCGTACCTCGCATATTCTTGTGGAAAAGGACTCGAATACCAGGTCTCTATCTCCCATTGTCCAAATTCGATGGCAGATGGACACCGAGTTGGAGTCGTACCCTCGATCTCCACGCCACCGGCAGCTCGTGCCGCTGAAAATACCTCCGCATCCGCTTCAGTAACTCCTGGTGGCAAGCGTTTGCCATCTGAAATTATTTACAACATTCGTTTTAAACACATACGAATGTTATTACTACTAGTCGACTACTTCTACTTTTAGACTGTCATTTGTGTTTTTTTTTTTATTAAACTGGTTTCATCTATTAGAACTTACAAGATGTAAATTTCTAATATAATACATACAAATGCATAACTGGGCATGCAAAAGCAAAACAAAAAACACTTAGTAACCATAATCGCACACAGTACATAAAAGGAATCGTAACGCGCGAGCGAAAGTGTATGTGTGGATACTACCGACACCCGAATCAATGCGTCCGAACAGAGAAAATACGCAACTCACCGTCCGAACAGGGAAACCATTTTGAATATATATATAATAACCTATTGACTGACGCCGCACCGCCCGCACGTTACCGACTGCGAGAACTAGTAAACGGATAAGAAGGTATCCCGCAATCGGAAAGACAGCGGAGCGACAGTAAATAAAGCCGAGAACAGTATCTCAACGACTCGTGTCCCGATTCGAAATACGTAAAAAGCAAAATACCTTACTCCCTGCGGGTGGAATCGAATCGGGCGCTGAGATACGGCTCGGTTTATCTACTGTGGCAGAGGCCGGCCATCAATCAGAGCGAGACGGATCCACCAAACACTTTCACCGCGCCACGAACCGATCTTACCCGTCTGATTGGTGGCCGGCTGCGACGCCAGCGCTACTCCGCGCAACAACTTTTCTGATTCTTCCTTCGCCAGGCCACACGACCTCCGCTTTGAAGCCGCTAAACTTCGCACCAGCGCGCTGGCGCTCATTTTTACTGTCGCTTTCTCTAAATCTCTCTCTTCGCTGCATCTCTCTTTCTTTAACGACGCTTGGTACCGCTTAAATGTACTTCGGGTCTCTTTGAAAACTTTTTTGTCTTCACTATCTTCCCGCTCTTTTTGGGGAATTTTAGCCCGAGATCGATGTCGCGACTGAGACCGAGAGGCAGTGCGTACGGAGTAAAACTCTGACAGGCCATCAAATAAAGTCGAGAGAAGTCTATCGCTGCATTTGCTCTGTCTTCTCCGACGTACCTCTGACGGCGGATTAGATTTTTGCTTATTTGTGGGTTCAGGGGTTTTCGGTTTTGTTTTGTTTTCTAGCAAAAGAGGCTCTTCTTTCTTTTCTAATTGTGCTTGCTTTTGTGCTTCTGCAGCGAATCCCCAGACCGTGGTCGGTTCCGTTGCAAGCCTTTCAAATACTGTGGGTAGCGTTTGCGGTGGTGGCTCTGTAATGGCAGAAGACAAAGAGTCCTCCGAAGTGGGTGACCTTCGTTCCAGACGAAGTTCGAGCTGTTGGACTCTAGTGACGCGGACACCGCCCCACTTCGAATCCTCCCAGCTTTCCCAATCACTGGATGAGTGGCGCCGTCGGCGCTTGACAAGATTAAATGCGGAAAAGCGGAAGAACTTTTGTTTCTCCTTGGACATTCTCTGTTCGGACGGAAGTCGGTACGAGGAGGCATTACCGTCGGAATGTGAGTCGTCGCTGTCGTGTCGTGGCGTCTTCGGCTTGCGCTTCTTGGGAGTTCCACCCATCGCCGACCTTGGGGCAGAAAATGCTAAGTTTTAAACATATATTTTAGCGTACTAGTCCAAATGTCTTTTACTTCAGATTAGCATTTAAAAGAGATAGTAATAAATGTTCATATTAGTGCCTTTATAGTTAAACAGTAATTCATCAGGAATATATCAATATAATGTCACCAAAAACTGTTGTTGATTTGTTAAGTATACATTATCTATCTTATTAACTCATATATTTATGATATCTTCTGTAATATTTTATTAATTTGAATGATATGTTAAATATTGGTACGTGAACTTATTGAAAGTTTAAATAATAAGTAACTTGTATATATTTGGTTTTGGTCCAAATTATATCACAAATTTAGTGGTAGTCAATAAAGCTCCAGTAGCCTTTTGTATATGCAAGTTTGAAGCCAAAACTACAAAGTATGTGTTTGTTAAGATGAGAAACCTGGCGCAGGCGTCGCAAGTAAAAGGTGGAGAAGCGCAACGAGGATGCGCCGCACGCGCACAGCCCCCGCACCTTGCCGCCCACTCGCCACGGACACCGCACACTGCGCACCGGCTACACTCTCCACAACACCACCGACCCGTCTAAAAAATAAAGAAAAAATATGTTTATTTCTATATATACTTTTGATTAATTCAGACAAGAAGATACAGAACCATTTTTAATTGAAAATGTAACATAGATGAAGTTAGGAGAATAGAAGTTCAGATATTGGATCTAACTTATTTAGAAAAACTGAAATTGACTCAAAATCCTGTACTCAATTCATTTGTAGGTGTTAGGATCCCTATTTACTTACATGCAAAGTAACAGTAGAAAATGTTACCTACGTCTGCAATAAATTTCAATTATATATGTGTGTATGTAATGGCAACCATATTATAATGTTCTTTAGCAGAGTAAATAAACCTATAAGAAATTAAACAAATTTATATGATGTAGAGGTGTGTAATTTATATGAGGAGAATGTGTAGAGGTAAGTTAGTATTGATTGCTCCTTTGTCTACTGAAATTGTAGTCATTTAACAATTTCTTGAAAAGTAGACAAAATAATTACCTTTATTGTAGTCAAGTTAGCATATTCTAATAAGTTCAAGCAGGTTGGATGTGCGTATGACTTGCACTGAGTACAGCAAATAAGGGACTCAGGAGAGCCAAGTCTATTTCTTGCATCAGTACCGAGACATTCCGCACATACAGGAACACCCCCAACTTGCTTCTGAAATCATTTCAAAGATATTTCCTTTTAATTTCTGTAATTGAACATTTTCTTGATTTTAAAATTATCATTCTTAATACACAAAAAATCTTATTTATTGTAAATAGCAGGGTGTAGTTAAGAACACTTTACAAACATGCTACATTTTTAAATGATTATTACAAAACTATAAACAACAAGTTTAAATAAAAATAAAAGGATTTCTAACTGGTATTATGTATAAAAAATTTACAACCATACTTAACATATTATATTAACTTTTAATCTAAAATAAGAATAGGTTACCTTTTCTGGTGATACAGATTGTTTCTTGTGTTTCTGTCGCTCCACACCAGCTGGTCTGTCTGCCACCTGGTAGTTGCCAGATAGATTTGTTAACAGACCTCTGGCTACAGCACGCTTGGCTGCAGCTCGTAGAATTGCACGCACATCAGTATTCTCCTCGACAGACACTTGGTACGCTTGGCGTAAATGCTTCTCAATGGATTTCAAGTTGGAACCATCTCTCTCTCCTAGCTCTCTTACTGCTTTTGCCACTATACGAGATATGTCTGCATCTGGCGCTATCCGCAGTATCTTATTTTGTACTCCACATGGATCCTTGTATGTGCTCTGGCCCTTGTTGTATACCTTCAGCACGGCACCATCCCGCACTGCCCTCTCCAACCGCTCGGAAACAACATCTTCATGATAGTTGTGATGCTGTCTAATGGCATGACATATGCGCTCTACACTGGGTCTTTGCTTTTGGGATCGTATCTTATGTATGGCCTCAAGAATCCATCGCTTCCACACTTCTTTTCCGACGTCGTCTGGTTCACTCATTTTTGTCTTAAATTATTTGTTACGGCCGTCTGAGTAACGGTACGGTATTGTTGCCCGAGTTATGTCAACACCCATCGTATTTTGGCGCCCTGAGCGAAATTCCATCTTATAGAATGGAACCTCGCTGGATGCGGCCTAAAATTGAGGCCGCGGTTTAGGACGCTAACTTACAACATGCGCGCAAGGTGTTCATACACCGATGACACATCGGGCCTCACAAGCGGGTTTTGGCGGAGGGAGAATCCGACGGCGGCCATCTTGTGACAATCACAAATTACGTATTGAATATTTATCCGCACTCAATGTAAATAGTACATACACTGTAATTTTTAAGGTTATCAAGTAAAGTAATGTTCACATCGTTTGTATTAATAAAATTTCAAAACACTTATTGGTACACCTAGTAGTGATGAAAAATCCTAGTTTGTTCCGGTTTTTCTCACAATGCGAAATAACAATACAGAATTACACTATCAAGTAGTCGCAGTTAAATGCAAAAATAAGATTTACGTTAAGTAGTATAACATATAATTCCTTATATTGTTAAAATATTACTAATTTATTTCAAAAACATTCACAAAACACCAACAAAAGGCTCTTCAAAATGGCTATCAAACCATCAATCACATTACTTGCTATATAAAAAAATATATGAATCGAAATCCTATCTTTTTTTTATTTATTTAAAAGATTTGGAACCTAGTCTATTGGCCCTTTTGAAAGAATTTTTGTTACATTTTATGTAATACCATATACTATGCTAATATAGACTGCAGATAGACAGAAAATATAATTAATTAACGATCATGATAAAATAGTTGCATTTCAATTCTTTTAATTTAGGTTTTATATGTAGGGCAATATTCTGAATAAGAGGTTTATAAATATTTTAAAAAATACTACACTAATACTACATGCAAATACTGTCTATAGTTTACGCGAGTAGTACACATTTAAATAAAACACTTTAACGGTTTAAAACGCGATATATTAGTTAAACTTATTTGAAAATGATTTTTTAACTTCGGCCCGACGTTTCGGATGCTTTGCAGCAGCCGTGGTCACGGGTGCTGCAAAGCATCCGAAACGTCGGGCCGAAGTTAAAAATCATTTTCAAATAAGTTTAACTAATATATCGCGTTTTAAACCGTTAAAGTGTTTTATTTAAATACTACATGCAGTCAATCAAATATAAAGAGAAAAGAGTTTTTCTTTTATTTAAACAGTAAAGATTTCTACTCCAAATACTACGCAAGGGTTTAACTTAAATGCAAGTTTTAAACATTATATTCTTTGCTTGAATACGTCTAATCTTTAGCAGAAGGTCTTTCCTTATGGCAATATCTCTCAAAGCTGTACTAGGAAATGTGTTTTTTTTTTATGCCTTATACTAACTTTTACCCAATCCAAAAGGGATTAGCAAAACGCTTAAACGAAATCTATGTAATTAAACCATTTATTAAAATATTGAGTATTAGGCAATTATCACACCAACCATCTAGCAACACTAGGTTACTAAAGCCAGTATATTCTGTATCTAATATAGACTGTTTAAAATACGTACTTTTACAATTTATCTACTATTTTGAATTATAACGTTGAGGCATTTCTCTCTCATTGCAGTAATTAGATGATATCTAAATAAAAAAAATATTACTTATTATGACTACTGTCTTTATTTGATATTCCCCGTAGGCCGTATAGGATATCTTTAGAATATAATACCTACTTAGAAATAAAAAAAGAATACAAATACATTTATTAGGCAGTATTTCGTGTATGTACACATGCCTACACTATAATAAATTATGAATTTTACCACATCACTTATATCTTTATTTTCTACGTTGGCTAAGTAGGTATATCACATTCTGTTTATTTAAATATAGTGTAGGTAGGTAGGTATACATATTTAATCAAGAAGTTTCAAACTTTTAGTGTTTTACTATTACAAACATATGTAACTATTACTAATTCTTGTTAAAAATGATATCTAAGAACAAATTTGTGATCAGGTAAGCGCTTGATTTATATCATAGATTGAAATAATTTGATTATTTATTAGAACGACTTTTCAAATTACAGTGCCTCTTCAATAAGTATTAGGATCAAAAATGGGTATCGTCAATTTAATTGTCAAACCAAATGAATAAATGAGTCTGCCGGTCTAAAAGTTGTACATAAAATAAGACATACCGCAGATGTATCTCTTTGGTTTAAGATTTTCACGTTTGACAAAGTCTTGTCTATACATACCTACTATGTTACAGAAAATGTTGTTTGCAACACTTTATTAATACTACTATAATTGTTAAGTAATTTAATCTATATCTAAAATAAGATCTATTTTGATTTTGGATACAGCTCAAAATTTAATAATGAACTATGTAAACAAACAATGCAATTCAAATATTTTATTACATCATAAGTACAACCATTCATCATTTTTTAATTATCTAACTTACAAAATATGGTAACAGAGGTTGAAAATTATGTTTATTTGATAAACAAAACTTTAGAAATATGTGATATAAGCATGAGTAAGTTACAAATATTTATATTACATTTTTTCATTACTTTTTTCTAGGGAGAATTCCATGAAAAATCATAGTAAAACACAGAAATGGTCAATTAAAGAGGAAGTGCCAAATTACAACTATCGTATTAATCCTGATGAATATTCCATTAGAGTTACTAGAAGCCTCAGTAAAATTATTGACTGCATTCAAAATTTCCATGTCGTTGAAGTGTACAAATGCATGCCCCTATTAGGGGATGAGACAGAAATACCCAATTGGGATATTCATGTAGCCCGATATGCCATTGTGTTTAAAAAATCCATTTAATATATAAACTTAGGTCTTTCAGGTAAAGACTAACATTACATGTTCCTAGTTGTTGTCTGTATAGTTCTATAATATAAACAGTTTCTAATACAATTTATCGATAATGTTAACTGCACTTAATATATACCTCTTTTTATATAATAACTTGATTTGCATTTTAGTACATAAGCTGAACTGACACTGAATAATGTTTACTTGTTTTTGGAAAACAAAGAACTATTACTTTTGACTATTGTGATTTAGATTAAGGTTAGATGTAAGATATATTATATAAAGACAGTTACATACAACATTTACTTCTTTGTAACTTGAAATAATTTCAAGGATCTAGAAGACACAAGCGGTCACAACAGCATTGCGGGCTTAAGACCCTTCACCCTTAAATAATGAGATTATTTAAGTGTTTTTCATAAGTGGTGTTTTTTTTTTTATATATATAAATATTTATGTTTTTTGTTAGTCCTATATTGATTGTGTCTTGAGAAATTGTATTTTCCACTTTAAGGAATAGTTTTGATTTCATGTTTAGTGTTCGGCAGTTGTGGAATATATGGTACGATTGTTATTAGTAACTAAAAACTTGTTTAAGATAGAATTTACAAATTAGAGAGAATTAATGCATGTTGATGAAACAGATTCTGCAAATTATGAGAGTTGAATAAAAATTATTCATAATTTGGTTCTTTATCTATTGGAAAATTAGTACCTAACACTAAGTATTGTCTTTATAATACAGGTAAACAATTGTGCTAAATTAGTATTGCTTTCAACTTCAACTTTTCTTAATTAACTATTGCTTTCAAATAATGTGTTTAGTACTACAAGATAATCGAAGAGATTTTTCTCACAGGCGTACCCAAATTGGGCCGTGAAGGATAGTTGGCCCTCCCACATTATAGTTAATTTTCAAAAAGACCTAAAAATATGATATTTCTCTCCTCTTGGTAAACTGGGTACACCTATGGCTCAGAAAAATTTTCTGAATTGGCAAAGAAGGAAATTACCAGATATTTGTAACAAAAACACTAACAATATCTAATGATAAATTGATTATTTTATTCTTGAAAATCACTTTCACCGCTGACTGTGCACCCAGAATGCTGTATAATGTGTGTAGCACTATAGATTCCGCACTTGACACAGGTCTCATAAGACTTCCCGAGCACCAACTGGCTGAGAAACCCACCTGTGAATGCATCACCCGCTCCATTGGTGTCCACAATCTGTTCCCTCGACAGGTATATGACTGGTATTAATGACAATTTAGTGCCTTCTACCAATATGACCGGGTCTTTTCCTTGTGTGATCACGACAACTCGTTGTCTTGAGTTATGTTTTGGCAGTGCAGCTGTCTTAAGAGCTATTTGCTTCAAATCAGTGTCCGTTATGTCGAAGGCATGCGCAAACGCTTCTGCTTCCTGAAAAAGAAAGTTTTTATTTTCTGTCGAGGACACTAATTCCACACTATTTTGCGGGAGTCATTGGATTATCTAAATCTGATCAGGTCCCTCAAACTTTCCAGTTTGTCATCCTTACTTAGGTAATAATTTATTGTCTAATGATAATTAAAAATAATAATTACAATTGCGGTGTATAAATGACATTGGATTTTTTATAAACTAGTAAAAAACAGGTTTCCGTTCAAAACAAAAGTATTAATTACGTAGGTATATGACGAACGAGAGAAAAACCTTGGTAGATGAATACGTTTTGACGATTATCGTGTAATGTATGATTAAAAATCAACGAACGTGGGCTCGAACCCCAGTAGGTTTGCCATCTGGTTTAATTGCGTTTCGGTTTCAGTCTTTGGATATCCCAATATCCAAAATAGGTCGACAGCGGAATTACCCCAGCCAGTTACATGGCTGGCGTTATTATCTGTCCTCTATCATAAAAAAGAATACTTACCGATTCATTGCCGAAGAGGACGTCAACATAGGGCATGATTTCTGCTAGGGGTTCCTTGAAGAACTGTGAAACGAAGGGTGCGCTTAGGTTCATGACGAACGTGTGCGAGTTCTCGTGCGCATGTTTTGCCAGCTGCATTATGGACTCCGGTGATACTGCTACGAAGAAACCCTGTAAGCAAGAAACGAACATTCAATCGATATGACCTTCATAGATAAGTTATAAACGCTTTGGCTTTGGCTTGTTATGGGCTCGAATCCCAAAAAAAAGTTTCGGTGGACAATGGCATGGAAGGCTGGCTCATAGTAGGCCTTTAAATAAAAATGGTCGATAAAGAGGCAAATTAATAATTTAAAAAAATGACGAAATTTTGAGTTTTCGCATGAGCAAGAGATCTGAAAATTTTATTACCACAAGTTTTAATGTTTAGAGAAAGTATAGTATAAGTTAGCTTAATTGTTTAGAAAATCATTAACATGTGGGCAACACTGATAATGTTTAGAACGGGCCAATTACAAATATTTCTAATAGAAACTTAGTTAATTTCAATTTTAGAACTTTTAGGTAAACTAATGGAGTGTTATTTAATGGTGTCATTTGTTTTTGTGAATTGGCGGCAAAACTCTTGTTACACGTGAAAATTAACGCGAGACACTTTTTGGTCAATGATTTATTGTGATCATTTATTATGACTCTTGTGGGCTTATTCAACAAGACAGCTTTGATATAAAGCCTTTTTTTTATTTTCTAAACATTTTCAAATTATTAAAAATAATAAATAACGTTAAATACTGTCTGTAGTTTACGCGAGTAGTACACATTTAAATAAAACATATAACGGTTTAAAACGTATTAAACTTATTTGATATTTTTTAACTACGGCCCGAAATAAGATTAAAAATATATTTACGTACCGAGGCGTAGAAAAATTTGGCGCTTTCTATGCTCCTTCTACACTCCTCCTTAGCCAGATGATCTGGTGTGAACTTCTGCGCTGCAGCCAGGTTAGCGCAAAGCGATCTATGGGTGCCTGTCACCAAAACAGCACATGTGCCAGTAGGTGCTTCATCCGTGACCTGGTATTGGACTTTTACCCCCTCTGCTCTGAAATATCGAGGCGATATATGTAAACTTTTACTCTGTCACGTAACGGACAATTTAAAAAGTCTAAATGTTTAAAAGAATCGATGGCGTGGTGTAATGATGAGACAGACTAAAAACAATTGAGTTACCGAATGAATATTTAAGATTTTTAATTTATACGAACATAATGCTATCGTGCGCAATAACATGTAAAAATAATAGTTTTCAAAGTTTTAGTTTACTTTTAACCGTTTAAAACATGAAATATGTTGGTCTACTTTTTTGGTGCTTGACTGATTGACTTTATTCGAAAGCACGACGTGCTGTGATTATAGGTTCGAGTACCGCCGGTGTATTTTTTTTATCTCGAATATATTTAAAATTTATAGAAGGGCACTATTACAAAATAACATTACTGGTGTTATGTATTACACAAGATACCCCGTTGATAACCCTTTCAAAAGATCTGCAATACAGATTCTTTCGTAAACTTGTTTGTTCGTCTTATGTTCGAACATTGCTATCAGCTAACACAATATTAACCCAAGAATGTGACCTTTTTCATTATACTAATAAATACACATCGAAGTAATAACAATTCTTATTGTATAAGAGTATCGCAAATCCAACATTTCATAGAATAAAACACTTATAAAGGTTTAAAATTTTGCAAATGTGGCTTCTCACTCTCGATTTAGAAGTAATACAAATATATTTCTGTAATCGATATCATCAAGTAGATAAAAGGTACGTTATTTTGTAAAATGCTGAGATTGCCATAGTGTTTTATTATTCCATCATTGTTTTGGATTCCGTATCAAAAAACCCTAGCTACGGATAACTCAACCTGATATAAAGTGACGAAAATTTCACATCTTATATAGGTACTCTATTGGATGATGGATCTATAACAACCGATATTAACATTTCTTTACAGCTGATGTAAAGCATCCGAAAAAAACGAGCTGTAGTTAAATTAACATGAAAATACATAACATAAGTTATTTCGCGTTTTTACATTTGCTCGATATTAATAATTGGTAACAAGAAGACACTTGGGATGGCTCTTTAGCAGGTGAAATCCCTTTGGGGGGCATGGGGGCGAAAACATTTCCGTCCCTTAACTCATTCGTTCTTTGTAACAGGCAAGTAGTTGATCAGACTTCTGTGTTCCCCTGGGATTAGAACGCAATAACGCAATGCTAGGCAATACGTTTAGCCATTTGGCTACTGATGGCTCTGCCAAGGTCAAAGAGTGCAACCTATAACCTTCGTGCGCAAGTCCGACTCACACTTGACCGGCTTTATTATTAAAGCAAGAGAGAAACAAAAGGGTGTATTGTTCATTCGAAATTTGTAACGCAAACAGAATTTATTTACGTTTCATTTGTTACAGTAATACTTTTTCTTATCAGCGTGAAAACATCGTGGTTCTTAGAGAAAGTCTACATTTCAACCTTTTCTATTTTTCATTTAGATACTTCAACCCAAGTTTATCTATACTTATAAAGCTGAAGAGTTTGTTTGTATGTTTGAACGCGCTAATCTCAGGTTCGAATTATACAAATATTTTTGTGTTGGTTAGAGCATTTATCCAGGAATGCTTTAGAGTATAAAACGCCGGGCTGCCACTAGTAGGAGCGAGGAAACAATGGGTAATGTGGCAAAATAATGATTCTTTTTTAAACGATCTAAAAAAGTGTCCACGACATTATGTGACGCTTATCAGTGAAGTTTTAGTAACGAATAGAAGCCTATTAATGTGTTATCAAGTCATAGTAATGTTGTATAATAATTCATATACATATATACGGATATGTATATGTGTTTAATAATCTGTCGGCTATATTAAATGACTGGCGAGATAAAGCAAACTACGATAACCAGCTTTTGTCTCCAACTTGATAATAAGAACAAATTATCTATTGTTCCTATCTAAATAATGTTATGATAAAACGGTGTCCATAGGTGGCGAGAGAAAATGGAAAAGATTCCAAACATATATTGGGCAAATTTGTTTTTAAATTTCGCTGTTACGTTTTGTTTTTAAAATGGTCACTTTTAAACACTGTCTGTAGTTTACGCGAGTCACATTTAAATTAAACACTTTAACGGTTCAAAACACGTTATAGATTAGTTGAACTTCTATGGAAATTATTTTGGCTACATTCCAACATTTCGGATGCGGCAGCAGCCAATAGGACAAATTGAGAAATTTATAAAAGGTTCTTATTTATAAATTTCGAAGAGAAACAATTGTTTTAAAGACGCGTGACAACAAATTTCAGCTTTAATTATATTTAAAAAAAAGACAAAATATATCATCGTATATATTAGTAGATAAACCTTTGGCTTAATTGCGTTTTTTAATTGTTTACAAAAAACCGCAGACTGCATAAAAATATAATTACACATTATGGTGGCATTAGTAATAAAAACAATTACTTACTCGGCTCGCTCTTTTAATATTTTAGCGTAGTCATCATTTCCGACGCAACCAAAATATGTGCATACATTTGGTTTCTTTAGAATCCATTGTGCTACTCTCAAAGAGTTTTGTACACTTCCACCAGCTATGAATTCAGCATTATATCTAGAAAAAAATGTCTTAAATTAATACAATCAATATCTAGTAATTTAAACATATCAGGCATTATTATTTTTTATCTATCGGGGACACCTGAGGTAGGCCACCAGTCCATGTTATCAGCCGACCATTTCTCCTTTTCCACCTTGCAGACATTGTGTACAATTATAAGTTTGAATTTTTTAATGAACATTTAACCCAATTGATATTTTTTATTTCATGATTTAACCCGATGACCTGCCTATTTTAGGCTATGTAATATTTTTTTACAATAAGGCCACACAGGTTGTCAATTATATAAAATGTCTACAAATTATATTCTCCACCTTAATAGAAGCGGGCACTATTCCAACTGGCTGAATACAGAGTTTATTAATAATAACAACAATTTTATTATTAATTTGATTTAATTTATTTATCCTTATCTACCTCTGTCCCAATTTTTTTCAGTTACGTGAGGTCAGAGGTGCTCTAAGGTATTTTGAAATTTGATTTCAGAAGTAGCTCAACAAATAAAAATAGTATAATTTTATCACTCAAAACTTTTTTATATACCGACTCTATGAGTAAATAGTAAATAGTTTATCAGAAAGGACACAAGTCAGAATTACAACTAGACACATAAATGTGCTCCCAAAAAGGGGGCGGCAGGATATTTTTAGGAAGCATAAATTATTAATATGCATATAGTAAAGTATAAAAAAAAAACTTACTTATCCATAAGTTCCTTATACAAAGGCATGTGTTTTTCCTCAGCCATAATAGCACCATCAGCTTGAAGATCATATTTTTTAAGTAAAGACTCATCAACAAGAGCTGATATATCGAGCAATGGATTTCCAATACCCACTAGGAGGCCTTCCTTATCACATATGCTGCGATAAAAAAGGTGTTTTTTATCAAAGAAGTATGTTTTTGCCTGTATTAAATTTATTTAACACAGTAATTTAATTGTTATGTCTGCATTTCAAAATGATATTTGCCGAGAAAACCTTTGAAACCAGAGATATGGTTAAAAATTAATGTTAACGTAAAATAAAGTACGATTAAAGCTAGAGAATATTTAATTAAATAAAAATAAACCTACCTATTAGACATTATGCAATAATAAAAAACGGCGGTTTAACTAATAAAAGATAGCACTAGCAAGCACCGTGTCCACTTGTAATGATATTTATTAAATTAAAATATTTTTATCTTTGCGACTCAAGAGTTACCGCATGTTATTCTTAACAACAACGCGCTCTCCTGACCTGAGAGTGAATAGTTGCACAGTGCAAAATAGGAAATATTCGTACAAAACATAACCTTACAAAGTAACCGATTGAAAACGCCAAACGGTATACTTTCTATCAAATTTTTGACAATGACAATTTACATAAGTAATTTACAAATCGTGTTAAAAACAGAGTACCCATATAAACTTTGCGTTTATATTATAACCTGTTATCAGAAGGTACTAAATCTGTGGGCCACCTGTGGCCTTTAAAGTTTAAAGAGAGAGCCCATGGCATTGTTTCTGTTTCTTTCATATGTTTTAATTTTTAACGATAGTTATTATTCATATACTTTGATCATACATTTAAAAACTGTTAAAATAATAATGAAGTAAAATATTTAATCTGTTACATTAAAATACATGAATTTTATTCGTTTAAGGAAACTGATTGACTATTGATGTATGATGTTAAATAGTTTATAGTTTACAATTCCATATTCTAAAAGTAATATATACGTGAGAAAGTAAGTTGGATTATCTTATAAACTGCTTATTATTTTACATTGTATACTTAAAATTATAGTAAAGTCCCGTTTAACCAACTTTAAAAACAACAAAATTAATTTTTACATAAAATATTACAATATGTATAACTGATGTGCTTTTACGATATATGTATATCATACACTATAAACGGATGTTAAATATTGTCGTACGTTCATGAACCTTTGTATTAATCCAACGGAAACTTAAATTGCATATCTAAATTTCAGAATGCCACGGAATTGCGATGAAGATTCTGGTCATAGTTCTTGCACAGAACAAGCACCCACAGTCAGCCCCCACATGGATAACTACCTGAAGTCTAATCACATATTTAAAACTAAGGAATATAGAGATAATGAAACAAATAAGAACTTAGTTGTCAGTACTAAACCTAGAAATAATATCAGCCTTGTGAAATCCCCAGATATGGGAGAGCCATTCCCAAGTTGTAGAATATCAAATGAACAAAGAAGACCTATTTTTAATTTTTTTGAAAACCCAAGAATGATAAATCCAAGTAATGCTCATTCTACATTAAATGTACCTTGTAACACCGATTTTCAGAACTCTAAAATTAAAATTAACTCTGGATTAGTTAGTGCATTAAATAAAGAAAATTTAAGTAAAACCAAACATCCTAGCAATGTTTTTAAAAGGTGTAAACCTGTACAAAGGGCAGCATCGAGGTTATATAAAGCTGAATCACTCAAAGGCAAGGATGCTTGTGTGGGCCCTGAGTTTATTGTGAGAGCATCACAACCAGCTCGGAATATTGATTTAACAGTATCTGGAATCTGTGAAAAAAGAGTTATTACAGTTGTTCTGTTGAACGGTCAGAAAATTGAAGTGCTATGTGACCCTAACACAATCACAGCTGGACAATTATTCGAAGCTCTCATACAAAGTGAGAAATATGAACATAACTTTATGCTTGGAATTGCTGTTCTCATAGGAGGCGATTTTATATTTCTACCTGACGACTATAAAATAAAAAAAATAGCAGCAGAGCCATGGAGTAAAAATCTAAACAAGAGAAAAAATAATGATGATGCTGTGTCATTAACTGTGTTTTTAAGAATAAAGTTTTTCTTGCCAAAAAACATAGCCAGTAATGTTCAAGGGGGTGATTGGATGTATCGGGTGTACTTGCAATTAAGAAGAGCTACAGTTGAGGGGCAAATGATCTCGACAATACAAAATCTCATATTATTAGCTGGATATGCTTTACATATAGAATTTGGTGAATTTTCATACAGGGAACATGGAACGGCTGATTATTTTCTGTTGGAACATTATTTACCAGAATCGCTAATCACTACTGATATGGCAGACATAAAACTTCGGATGAAAAAGTCTCATGAGTCAAGAAGGGGGTTAGAGAAAAATAGGGCTGTCATAAATTATATTACTTTGGCACAAACATTCAGAGATTATGGTGCTCATTTTTATTCGGCCGTTTGGGCTACTCGAGATGGATTTTGCAGAGATGTGTGGCTATCAATTGGACCTAGAGGTATCACATTATACTCTCGGACAAATCATATGCTGGATTCATCGACATCAAACAGAATTGTACTTCAAAGTTTGCCTTGGCATCATATCCATAATTTTTATCATAATAAAAAAAGTCTTTATATCCTACCAAATGCATATTCTGGTGTATATAAGATGGGAATAAAGTATAAATTGAAAATATCTGACAATAAGGCATACTTTGTCTTTTGGTTGGCATCATTACATCACAGACTATATTTAAAATTGTATGCAAAGGATGACTTTATTTCCTATTTAACAAATGCCCTCAATTCTCCTATTAGATCAGAGAGTCCTAAGAAAAGTGAAGTAAGTAATTATCAAGATAGTTATAATTTAGCTGTCCGCAACCCTGTAAGGGTACGTAGACCTCTTCGCCGAAGGTTACAAGTTGACTTGTTTGGTAATAAGAAATTGCAAAATAAAAAACCTGATACAGTGGAACTCTTTCAACAGATTTTGTCTGCAGAACTTAGTGACGAGAGTATTGTTCACAGTCCCACAAATGACATTGGCAATATGTCTAATGATGGATTGTCATCATCAGAAAGCAGTTTACCTCGAAGGCATCGCGTTAAAATGGGAACTAGAGTTTTTAATGGCATGAAATTTTCCTCAGCCAATAATCATCTTATATCTCCACAGAATAACATGTTCACAAAATCAGAAGGAGATCTTACAGCTACACATAGTGACTCTGATGAAATAAACTCAAGCCAAAAACAGGAATGCTGTGTAAATAGCATGAAATTGTTACCTGAAAGACCCTACAGCCAGAACATATGTCAATCACCGACAGCATATGTATTAGAGTCGCCAAAAGTTTACTCTGATGTGTTTAAATATGAAGTAAATGACTCATGTATGAATACTTCTATAATTGAAAGATTTGATAATATGGAATGTATACAAAGTGAAAGAATATTCGTAACGGCTGTATTAGAAAGGGATGAAACCAACGCCTTAGGTCTACAAGTTGCTGAAGGTTCCGACGGAAATGTTTATATAAAATCGGTCACTCCAGAAAGTCCTGCTGACCTATGTAAAAAACTTTTCCCAGGGGATCAAATAATATCTGTTGATGGACAAACATTGCTTAACTTGAAATATGAAAAATCATTAGCCATGCTACAATCTGCTCCCAAAAAAGTAGAATTAATTGTTCTGCAAAATGCTCTTAGAAATACTTCTGTTCATGACATTGTTGACAGTGTCAAGAAATCTAAAGGAAATTTTAGAAAAAGTGCAACATCAATAGATGCTGACCTAACAGATGATGAACTTTTGAACGAAGAGGCATTAAAAACTATATATGCTCTTATCAAACTGACAAAAGAAAAAGTGGTAGATAGAATGAAGGAGTCTAGTACCTTTAGTACATCAATATCAAATAATTTACAAAGGTGTTATTCAGAAAACAGGGTATATAATGAATCTGATTTATATGTTTCATCACAACAACAAACTCCTAAAAAGGGACAAAAATTTAATACATGGAGAGAGCCTTATGTCAAGCATAAGCGGCGACCACTGAGCTTAAGCATTCCTTCTGACGTCAATTTGCCTGATAATTACCTAAACGGTAGTGGTGAAGACTTGTTCAAAAACTCCTCTCTAAACACAGTTCAGTCTGTTTTAAAAGATGACGTAGGAGACAATAGTTCTCCAACATATGTAGCTTTGCCTCGTAATTTTGGTTTGAGCAGACGATGGCGAGGACCCGTGAAATATCCAGTGACCCCATGTAAAAATAGCAATACATATAAGGGTACTATTAGTGATGATGTTGTAAGAAGGCACTTTGTGTATGGCGCAGGCGATTCAGATGAAGATCAAATATTTTTGTAAAACTTACAATATTTTGTAAATACCTAGAGTCTAATCGTTTCTTCATTTGAATGTTAGAGATCTGATTATATAGTTTATGTAATAACAAATAGTTTATCTATTTTAATAAACAATGTATGACATATACAAGAGTTTTTAACTGCAATTCCTCACCCAACCTCTAAAGAAAAGCACTAACTGTTCTGGGTTCTAAGCCTATGTTTAAAATTACCAAAAGCGCCATCTGTTGTTTCAAAATATAAATTATTTTGTTAAAAATGCATTATAAACGTTATTAATTCGTCTTATAGTTATAAGGAGGTATAAAAATCTTTTTAGGATAACCTATCATCGCCCACAATTTCTTTTATCCTAATATTATGGACTCGAATTTCTTTTCCTACTAAAAAATAAATATCCACCAGAGAAGAGGAATTCTGAAAAAACAAATATCTGTATTAATAAAAATGCAGGAACAATAACTGTCCTTATATTTTCTCAGTTCAACGACCTTCATATCATTGAACAAGAAATAGTACCTTACATTCTAAAGGTTAATTAACCTTAAGTCAATGACCATTATTGTTTCTTTAGCCTTAAGAATATTGCTAATGCCAGTATTGAGGGAGAAATATGAATAAAACGAGCCAATTAAACAACATTATGTATTTAAAAAATAACCACTTGCTCCACTGAAGCAAATATTAAACTAAATAATTCTAAGACAGCTGTCTCTAATCTAACACAATCAGACTTGATAAAAATATATTCATTCACTGCACATATTAAATGCAAAACTCATACATTGCAATCTTACTAGGAGATAATTGTCTCTTTTATTGTAAATGCAAATTTCGAAGGCGGCTTACATCATTCCCCCCCATACCTCCCATTCCACCCATGCCTCCCATACCGGCCATGGGGTTTGGTTCCTTCTCCTGTGGAATATCACAAATCACAGCTTCAGCTGTTGTTAACAGCGATGCAACACCACTTGCATCAGTTAATGCCGTTCTCACAACCTTAGTGGGATCAATGATGCCCTTTTCAATCATATTAACATATTCATTGTTCAATGCATCATAACCAAATTCAGGGCCAAGGTCCTCCACCTTAGCAACGACTACTGAACCATCAATCCCAGCATTTCTTGCAATGGTCATGCAGGGCATTCTTAAAGCTTTCTTAATGATTTCTACTCCTGTTGCCTGGTCTGAGTTTGAAGTTTTCAGTTCATTTAGTACTGGAATACATCTGAGAAGGGCAGATCCACCTCCAGGAACAATACCTTCTTCAACGGCAGCACGTGTGGCATTAAGAGCATCATTGACCCTGTCTTTCTTCTCATTTACCTCTACCTCACTTGAACCACCAACATGCAAAACGGCAACACCAGATGCTAATCTTGCAAGTCTTTCTTGCAATTTCTCTTTTTCATATTCAGAATTGGTTTCTTGAATTTGGTCCCGGATTTGTTCAGCTCTTCTGTCAATGTCTGATTTCTTACCCTTGCCCTTAAGGAATAGTGTATCATCCTTTGTGATAACCACTTCACCTACTTGTCCCAAATCTGAAGGTTGGACATCTTCCAATTTGATCAGGTTTGCATCATCACCAAATACCACACCACCAGCAGCAATAGCCATGTCACTAAGAGTAGCTTTTCTGTTGTCACCAAATCCAGGAGCTTTAACTGCAGCCACCTGGAGACCAATCTTAAGTCTGTTTACAACAAGGGTGGATAAAGCTTCACCATCTACATCTTCAGCAACAATCACTAAAGGTTTCCTTTGTTGGTTAGCCATTTCTAAAGCTGGTATAATTGTTTGAACATTGCTAATCTTTTTTTCAGAGAATAAAACTAGAGCGTCATGGAATTCGACCTTTGCACCCTTAGAAGAATTGATGAAATATGGTGAAATATAACCTCTATCAAATTTCATACCTTCAATAACCTCCAATTCGTCGTTAAGAGTTTTACCGTCTTTAACAGTTATAACTCCATCGCGCCCAACCTTCTTCATAGCATCAGCAATGAGCTTTCCAATAGCAATATCACCGTTTGCCGAAATAGTTGCGACCTGTGCTATTTCTTCAGGGGTCGTTACAGGCTTAGACATCGACTTTAACTTGTCCTTAACAGCGTCGACGGCCATCATCACACCACGACGGATTTCGATGGGGTTCGCGCCTTTCGAAATCTTCTCGAAACCTTCTTTGGCGATGGCTCTAGCGAGTACTGTCGCAGTCGTCGTTCCATCGCCGGCTTCCTCGTTTGTGTTATTTGCAACATTTTGTACTAACTTAGCTCCGATGTTCTGGAATTTGTCTTTAAGTTCAACTCCTTTTGCAACTGTTACACCATCTTTGGTTATTTTCGGAGATCCCCAAGACTGTTCCAGAATAACGTTTCGGCCTTTAGGGCCCATTGTGACGGCGACTGCATCTGCTAGAACATCCACGCCCTGGAGCATGAGAGCTCTTACATCAGCACCGAACCTTACATCTTTGGCATAAAATCTAGATAATTGATGTGCTTTGTGCACTGAAACAGTTTGGCGTACCACACGAGGCAATCGCAACATCTTTTAAGTTAACTGAAATTCTGAAACTAGGATCTGATACACAAAACCTCGGAGCTCGACCTCGCTTTTCTCGAAGATTCTCACTGCTAAATAGTCGATCGTGAAACGTGATTTTAACTCACCGGTTGTAGGTTATGTCACTGACCAAAGAGAATAGAACACAAATACCTATTTTTGTTTCTTATCTTAAAAAAAGGCGCGCTTTCAATTTAGGATTACCATTACGTTTTATGGCATAAAACCTTTTTTTTATGATTGAATGAATAATTATAACTGAAATATAACTTTTTAAATCTGTATGGCAATTTTATCAAACATCTCTTTAGATTAAATACTGTTTAGACAAAAGTCTTGATTATATAGATGTAGAATATGAAGATCGTCAGTGAAAACGATATGAAAAAAAAACAAAAACTCGGCCCTGCTGTCAAATAGCTTATTGGAGTCTAATAAGATTATTTTAATTAACTTTAAATAATTATAAGATCAAATTAGTTGGTCTGTGGTTTCTGTATTCCTTCTTGGTTATTGTAGTCTTCTATATACTGTAGTCACAAAATTCGCTTCTTTAGTGATAACCATAGAGTACAATAATAGAATACGTATATTGTGATAACTGGGGTCTGGGGTGATTGTGATGATAACATACTTGCTCAGTGGTGACTGGTTGTAATTACCAGTGATAATTACAATTAATTACAAAAATAAAATCAGAGATAGAGATATGTGTATTAAACCATTTTTTTAAATAATTAATATAGATAGTATGTAGAAAGTGAAGTAAACAAAAAGTAAAATAATTCTTAAACATGTCTACATTAATTCAATCGTATGAACAACAGTATTCAGTTTTAACTGCAGAAATTACAGCAAAAATTGGCCGTTTGAAAGCAGGAACGAATGGTTTGTAAAATTTTGCGATAAAGCTTCACAATTACTTATTTACTGCTAATAACGTCATGTATTGTCTATAATTTCGTGATTAATGCATTTTAAGAATATAGTATCAATAAATGGATGGAAATTCTCTATTCAGTTTTTCTACATTATCATCAGCAAGCTTAATAATTTGTTTTCAGATGATCGTGATAAGTTATCCAGGGAGATACAGGCGAGCTTTGAAGAGGCTAATGATTTGGTGAGTGCTATAATAGTAATTGATCTATTTTAAAATATATAGTATTTTTCATTTTATCATGGGTATATATTTTAAAATAAATTGTATTTTTTTTTAAATAAAATACTTTAACGGTTTAAAACGCGATATATTAGTTAAACTTATTTTAAAACTTCGGCCCGACGTTTCGGATGCTTTGCAACAGCCGTGGTCACGGGGAGACTGTCGACGTCAAAGTTAAAGTTAAACCTGTAAACCGTTAAAGTGTTTTATTTAAATGTGTACTACACGCGTAAACTATAGATAGTATTTAAATTGTAATTGTTTACAGCTTGAACAGTTGGAATTAGAGTGTCATGGTACTGGTGTGAGTTCCCGAGTTGCTGCTTATCGTGTGGAACTCCAGAGAGTGAGGGATGAGTACCGTTCTGTCATGAGCAACTCTGTCACTTGTAAGTTTTATTTTATTATTATTGGAAGAACTCCTTATGCTATAATAAACCCATGGAGTCTCTATATGTATAATATTTGTAATAGAAATAGAATACAATATGTTTACTTGTATCTCTAAAAGTTTTAGGTTTATATTATTTATACCTCTTTATACAGTAAATATATTTTATATAGATAATATTGATGATGAGTATGAAGATTGGTCAGCTGTAAATGAACAACATCAGAAACTCTTGGACAATACGGAAAGACTAGAAAGGACTGGGAAGAATCTACATGAGGGATATCGCATGGTGCTGGAGACAGAGCAAATAGGTGCTGCTGTTTTACAAGATCTTCACCATCAACGGGAAACTATACAGCGATCTAGAGGAAGGGTTAGTTGTTTATGCAAATTTATTTGTAATAAGAAATCATGCCAAATTATTTTATAAGAATTTCTATCTGCAACATTTAAATTAAATAACGGTTTGAAACGTGAAATATATTAGTTTAACTTATTTACTGCTTTTAATTTTAATTTTTTTTTTAAATCTCCATAAAGGTCTGAATGAGAGAAATAATGAAACAAAAAATATTGTAGACTAATCAGTTGGCCTTCTTTAAGTGTACCCAAAAGACAACAATAATAATTAATAATTATATTAACCATTAATTCTGATGTGAAGCATCCAAAACGTGTTAAACCATTAAAAGTGTTTTATTTCAATATACTCTTAATGAATTTAAAATTTCATCCTACATGTAAAGATTAAGAAGGTGAAATAAATCTTTATGACAACGAAATATGAAAATTTATAAAATAAAATATACTTTATTCTCTTTAAAATTTAAGAAAATATTTAGATTTGTAAATTTTTTGATTGTTTGTCTGTCCGTTCGTCGGGATTCTACAGAGTGTTCACAAGAGCAACATAATGGAGAAGAACACCTATGAAACTCAGTCCGGCTTTTTTTAATATCCTTAGTTTCTTATAAACTAAGACATTGTTGTGAATTTAACCTAAGGAGCAATTCATATTACTGCCAGGCGGCCTTGTCATTAAAGAAATCGTTCAGACAACAATACGCCTTTTGAGACAATCTAAAATTTATAACTTAAGTGAATGAATAAGAAGTATTTGATTTAATATTGTTCTTTTCTGTTGTTGCAGTTAAGAGAAACGGATGCAGAACTGAATCGTTCAACCCGTCTTGTTAAAAATATGATGATGCGAGCACTGCAGGATCGACTAGTGGTTGGCTTGGTGCTCGTATTGATCATCGCCTTTGGAATATTAGGAGTCTATTTCTATGCCACCTAGCTAGACTTGCAGCTAGGACAATGCCAGGTGAATATTTATGAAGATAATTAAAAAGATATATGACTAGAACAGGACTCTTGCTCTAACCAATTGAGCTACCGTATCCTATCACACTCACATCCCCATATCCTATCACACACTATCCTACACATCATCGTTGGATTTTTTCAATTTATTGATACTTGTACCTCTCGTCCAATGGTCTTGTTTTTTTGCAATCATGTGCTACATGTGAAAAATATTAAAGCTTTCAAATGTTTAAAGATTATCAGAAAACTACAGGTTCAATGCCTTTAAACCTTTAACCGCAAGGTATTATAAATAGAATAACTGAACTTAATGACCGACAGAAAACAACTGAAATCCAGTGTTGCCATTCCACCTGCTGTTATTCTCAACGTCTTCTGTGTGTTTGGCAATATCAATAATATTATTTTTTGGTTCCCAACATCAAAATTCTCCCATTGACTGTTGTAGACAGCTCTTTCGAACACAGTTGAAGCATCTATTAATTTCTGCCCAGCGAGGCATTCCATGAATATTAAGACAAATGTGCAGGTGATTTGTAGATTTGTGTTCTCGACTCCTCCTAATAGTTCTGATATAATGGAGAAAATTATGAACATAAATTCAACTGCCTTGGTCACACGAAATACGCTCTCGAACTCCTTAATGATATTTATGTTCATAATGTGAAAGTAAATGATTTCTTTCAAGGTTTCATTAATGAAAACATTTTTTATAATTTCTTTTGAGTTGTGACTACCATGTCCATGGTGGGTGGTGTAGAATAGCTCGGAATTTCTCCATAAGTTTTGTAGTTCCTTACTGAGTGCGATCATCTGCGATTCGACATAACCGAGGATGACTAAATTCAGCGCCGTTATGTTCGCGAGGAATAGAGCGCAAATATACACACATATGCCCATGACTACATATGCAATTTCGTAGTTCGGCGAAACGAACATTGGATCCAGTCCTGCAAGACATAAAATCTATACTAATATACTAAAGTTGAAGAGTTTGAACTACTGTTTCGAATTAAAAAAAATATTTTTACCAATAGGAGTAAATAAACCGTGGAAAAAATGGGGAAAATTAATAAACCGTTGCGTGCGCTGCGAAAACGGTTTAAGATACCCATAAATGGTTCTCTTTTAAATGATCTAAACAAATGTCCGCAACAGTATATTTCCTTAATTATCTAGCTTTTTTAATTTGCTAGAGCAACGGGACTCGCACGACGTCGTTGATAGCTATAATTTATTAAGGTGAAGAGTGGGTTTGCAACAACAAATTTTAATGGACAAAATTCCTTCCACCGGGTTGTGATGAAAAGCTGGAAAACTCAAGTAGCAAATATAATTCTGATTATAATAGATGATCACCATAAATGATATGATTATCCTCGGGAAGGTGTCTCCCAGGTATCGCTAGTGGAATGAGGCCATAAAAAATCGCATTGACGATCATGGCGACCCACACCACAGTCGCTCGCTTCTTGATGTACCTTAAGTGAATGTGTAGGTTCTTTGAAAACGCGTTTCCGGGCTTCACCAGTTTGTTGAATTTGATGCAGCTCTCGATAAGATTTTGCATGTCCTTCCTGAATACAATATAAATTATATATTTCCATTTAAATAAAACACTTAAACGGTTTAAGCGCGATATATATTATTAGTTAAACTTATTTGAAAATTATTTTAACTACGGCCCGACAATTCGAATGCATTGCAGCCGTGGTCACGGGGAGACGGTCGGTTTAACTAATATAATACATTGGGTTTCAAACCGTTAAAGTGTTTTTAATGTTTAATAATCGCGTAAACTATAGAAAGTATATATTTCCATATATATTTATTTAAAAGTGTGATAAGTTGACGGCCGCGTTGGTCTAATGGCTAATAATCAAGGAGTCGTGGATTCGATCCCCACCGGATCAAATATGTTTCTATTTTTTTCTGAAATATGTTGGACTATGCCTGGAAATCAGAATATTAAATGGGTGGTAGGAATATCGAAATTTTGTCCGGGTCACGAACCACCTTCCACAGAAAAAGGCGTGAAATTTAGTCGCGATTCGGTTTATCTGTGGATTTCCGTTATATGGCTGGGGCATTTCGCCTCCCATCACGTGAACCCCAAGCATGTCTGTCGTCCTCTATCCAAAAACAAAGTCTAGCGGCAATTTAGAGGCGAATATCAAATTATAATATGTACTATTGCCGTTACCTAAGGAACGTTTTTATACCTTTAGTTTCAAACATGAAGTTATACAAATTCGGTATCAAAAGAATTACAATAAATTTAAATTGTGGGACTGTGGCGATTTTTCTATTGCCTTATTAAATAATTTTATTTTTAAACAGTTTTATTTAGCTCGATCCGTACGGAATTTTTATTTATGTGGGTCAAAATTAGAAATTGAAATTATAGCACCTTCCCGTTGTCAGATTGATCAGAAATTTGGTACACACATTTAATTTAGATGACTTTATAAATCCAAGATGGCCGCCGATACAAAATGGCGGATTACATATTTTTCCTTAGCCATCCTTTTTTTAAAGTTGATACTTGTTTGTATACGAGGTTGAATAGTTTAAAAAAATCTATGTATACAAGTAACGTACTTATAAATTATCATATACAACATGGTTATAAATGATGGCTGGCTGCAAACCACTAGTGAAAACATCACACAGGCGGTGACAAAGTCCCCTGTCTCCGGGTACCTCACGATCACAAACCAGAACATGGAGAACACATAAGCGTAGTAATAGCATATTAGGCTCGCCCACCATAGGAACAAGACCAATATGTTGATAGCTGCAAAGACATTAAATTAGGTACGATATAGATCTTGTAGCAGATATCTCATAGCCGAATAATATCGCGCAGGATTCGTTATGGTCTTAGTCTAAGCATAGTAGCAGAGTGATCTCATATCAAAAAACGTGATTTTTAATAAGGATGAAAATAAAAAAAGATAAACTATTATTTGTGTAAAAATTATGGTAACAATTTTCGGGCACTCTGCTTTTGTAAATTAACATTTTTAGACTATGAAAATATAAATAACTCAAGTCATAAAAATTGCAGTTAGGCTACTCTGACTCTAGCGGCCTCATATGTTCTAAAACTTAATTATTAAACTGCTATTGTCTAGCATTGCGTTAAGCACAAGGGTTCTAAGTCGTAATTCCTGGGCAACAATAAATTGTTTTTGTTTTGTGTATTCTAATCGACCTGTATGCCCCATGCCACACTTATGGAATTTTATATATACCAATTGAATTACCATTTGAAATGCAGTCTTATTTTTAAAATCTCTGCTGACGTTTGTAGATCACATAAATAAATTTTAGTCTTTACTTACGTTTGTTATTGTTTTTCATAATCTTAACATTTGCAATTCTCAACAGACAATCCATATTATCTAACATTGTGGGTAAATCGCAATTGTTCAAGTTAAACTTGCGTATTTTCTCCATGATAATATCATTAAACGTATTTCACGATTTAAAATGAAATAATTTGACCCATTATACGAAGTGTCGTTTATACCTCCCGGCCTATAATTATAAAAACACTAATTTCTGCTATCGACAAACAAATTTTTCGACGCGTTGTAATTTAATAATCGCATACGATTCATTTTTCGCATAGTCTACAAAACAAAATAGTTGTATTTTTGTGTTTTTCCTATACAATAACAAAGTCGGTAATTATTTTTTTATTTCATATAATAAGCGCTGATAATGCGTAATAAAGAAGCTTTCATTTAACCATTAACCGAAGTGTGTTGTACGTTGAATAGCTGAACTTAGCCACGGAAAGCATGCAACTGTAATTGAGTACTGCCATCCCACCGGCTGATATGCTCAGCATCCTCTGCGCTATTGGCAGCATCGATAAAATTATTCTCCTATTTTTCACGTTGAAGTTTTCCCACTTGCAGCTGTAAACAGCTCTCTCGAAGTTGCTCGAGGCATCCGTCAACTTCTGCCCGGCCACGCACTCCATAGATATCAGGACGAAAGTAAACGGTATTTCCAGATAGGTGTTCTCGATTCCGCCCAGCAGCTCCGATATGATGGCTAGGATTATAACAGTAAATTCGATGGCTTTCGTCACCCTGAACACGCTGTTGTACTCTTTGATTATTTCAATACATTTAATGTGAAAACATATTATTTCTTTTAGAGTCTCATTTACAAACATATTCTGCAGTTCATGTTTTAAACCGTGTGATGGTACATGGGGATGGTCACGCTGCTTGCAAAATTCCTCCGCGTTCTTCCACACGCTTTGTATTTCTCTGCTCAGTGCGACCATTTGAGCTTCGATGTACCCGAGAATGATTAGATTGAAGGCTGTAATATTTGCCATAGAGAAGACGCAGATGTACACGCTTAGAGCCATCATCACGGAAGCGATTTCGAAATTTGGTGTTTCCAACATTGGCTCTAAACCTGAAACAATTTCGATAATGGTAATGAAGTAACTCGGTGGTGCAGCGATAGCGCCCTCTTACTGAAAATCGAAACAGTTTTTTTTTTCGAAATTGAAAGAGGCTTGCTTTTTGGAATGCTTTATTCTACTGCTGCTAGTTAAAAGTTTTATTAAAGTAAACTATTCCTGTAGTGTTTGTAAATAAAAAAGTTATATTAATTAATTAAAAGGTAATTGAAGACAAATTATAAATATAGATAAGAAACATTCTTGAGCTTGGATTTGACGGGTTCGCTGTACTTCTAGTAGCAATGTTTGGTTAATACTTAACGGACTGACATGTTCAATTACAATCAAATATAATCAAATTACATTTCTGAAACATTTCCTCTGAAAATCTGGATATTAAATGAGTTCGTCTGGGTTATAAAACACTATCCACGGTTGAAAAAATCGTGAATGTTAATCGCGTCTCGTTTTAGGCTGTGGACTTCAAATATCCAAAGCCAAAATAGGTCGACAGCAATGCTGTTTAGACCTTATATTGCTGGGGTATTTCTCCTTCCATCCAGTGGACCCTATGTTTGTCTATTCTCTTCTGTCCTTTTAGTAACCTAACCTTTTAGTCCGGATTTACAAATGCCCTAATCGAGGGAGGATCTTAAATAAATATTATAGGAGTGTGTTATGCATACACCAAGTAATCTTTCTGTCTGTCCCGAAATAAAAACAGGTATATTCACCATAAATCACTTGATAGTCTTCGGTAAGGTGTCTTCCTGGTAGAACGATTGGCATTAAGACATACAGGATCCCATTCATGACCATGGTGATGAACACGACTGTTGCTCGTTTCTTTATATACCTCAAGTGGGTGTGAAGATTTTTTGAGTACACGGTCCCGGGTTTTACGAGCTCGTTCAACATAAGGCAGTTGTCTATCAGAGACTGGACTCTCTTTCTGTCAATGTGAATTTTAAAAAAACATTTGCGGAATTAGAGCTTCACACTTAAGAAGAAGTATTTTCGGATGATCAAGAAGTCGATGTACTGTAACACGCTCACTTATTAGAACGACGTCATGGGGTAGATTCCTGCATATAATTTTAAAATCTTGTAAATATCTTTAACGGTTTAAAACGCTCAATATATTAGTAAACCTTATTTAAAAATTATTTTACTGGCCTTGCAGAATTGACTAACGGTGCCTTCGCGTTTGCCGGTACGCTATGTATTGGAATCTAGAGTTTTTCTAGACACAACTTCGTTTGGTTACCTACGACGCAACTGATGGCGCTAGTAGCAGTTATTTACTTTGACATTAGCGAAACCCTTTAGTGTCCCCGTGACCATGGCTGCTGCAAAGCATCCGAAACGTAGTAATAATATTTTTTAAATAAGTTTAACTAATATATTTCGCGTTTTTAACCGTTTAAGTGTTTTATTTATATGTGTACTAAAATTTCTTTTCGATCCCAACTCCTAAAATTTTTAATTTATTAAATCATAAATATGAAGTACCCACTAACTTGTATACGATCATGTGGAACATTGTTAAGAAAGAAGGCTGGCTACACACGACAAGGGAGAATACCACACAGGCGGCTAGTAGGTCCCCAGTTTCCGGGCATCGAACCAGCACGAACCATACCATGGAGAAAACATACGCGTAGTAATAACACGTTAAACTCACGGTCCATAGTATTATAGCACTTATGTTAATGGCTGTGAAGTAAATTTATTTTATTTTTAATATAAACTTGACAACTGGGCATTTTGTAGATATATTTTAGTGAAAAATAAAAGAAAAATTAATTTAAAATAACATTTATTAATATTTACTTTTATTTTGTTCTTAATGACTATTATAATATATATTATTGAGACCCAGGTGACAGACAGACAGACAAACAGCGGAGTCTTAGTATCTTTCTCATCGTTTAAGCATTAAAAAAAGCAAATTTTTCTTTGTTGCTTGAAACCTGATCAAATGTTGAATTATCGTTTAATATAAAAGGCATTAATAAGGTGAAAAAAAAACTTACGTCGGTTATTGCTTTTATTTATTCTTACATAAACCAGTCTCAGCATGAAGTCTACATTCTCAACCATCGTCGGTAAATCACAGTATTCTAAGCGAAATTTACGAATTTCCATTTTCGTTGCTGATGCTACTTTTCTTTAAGTCGATAATAGACGCTTTCGTCAAAAATAAATTTGTAGCAAAGTTAATGGGGGGTACGTATTTTACCGCGTGATAATTACCAAATTGCTAAGACAATAAATTAAACAACGAACTTTACTATGGCATATTTAAATAAAAAAATAATTAAATTTTTTATTATACTTAAGTCGTAAAAAAATATTGGAATGAAAAATTCTTGATATTAACAGACAACTTAAAACTGCTCGAACAAGTGTAGCTTTTAACAATTCATTTCAAAAACAATAGAAGCTTGAGTCTTTTCTTATGCGAGCGCGGTTGTGTAATTTAAAGATGGTATCAAAAAGGTCAAATTAAAACAAATATTTGTTCAAACGTTCGAACGTTGGCGTATTATAAATATTCTTTGTCCATAAATGGCATTATGTGTATTTTTGTCCCGCGGTTTTCTTCGTAGTTTTTTTTTAAATACTAGCTGTGCCAGCGTCTTCGTCCGCGTAGGATAGTTATTTTGGGTCATACACTGTTGCATTCACATTTTTTAGATAATTTAAAGAAGAATCATTCTAAATAAGTTTAACTCAAATATCGCATTTTAACCGTTAAATTGTTTTATTTAAAAAGAATCATTATTTCATACATATGTTTTCGGTACCTTGGGTCGTTTTAGCAGCATATGCAACGGAAACTCTCAAAGATGAATAATTTTCCCCGTCTTTTCCACATTTCCCACTGTTTCTGTGCTGCTATTGGTCGCAGCGTGATGTTTTAAAGCCTAAAGTCTTCCACAACGAACCAGTTATGCCTGAGATATGCATTCAAATTCAAAAAACAAACACTTTATATATGAGGCCGCTAGAGGCAGAGTAGCCTAACCGCAATTTTATGACTTGAGTTATTTATATTTTCGATTTTGATCGAAAATTGTTAACATAATTCTTACACAAGTAATAGGACAAATTAATTTTCGTCTAAGTTAATTGCGCATTTTTATTTGCCTCCTTACTCAAAATCATGTTTTTTGTTATTAGGCCACTCTGCCTCTAGCAGCCTCATATTAGAATATATATTACGCGTTTTAAACCGTTAATAGTTTTATTAAACACGTTTAAAATTACTTTCATCATAATAATGTCTATATTTGTCACCAGTCGTACTTGTACGTGGAGGGGAGTGTCCTAGCGCAGTGGATCTACTACCTGTACCTGGGCATCATGAGGCTGCTTCCCACAACCATTCGCTGCTTCCTGCTGACCAAAATCGTGTTGGCCGTGGCCCGCTTCAAGTGCAAACTTATCGGCAGGAGTTAAGCGGGTTTAAATAAATAGATCGACAGCGCGTCATTGTGTCAAGTGGAAGCTTGTGTGTCCTCCTCATAAAAGGTAAAGAGTTCGTTTAAGCAAGGTAAAACGGCCTAACAATGATTTTTATATAGCTATTATAGAAATGACCACATCATGATGATTGTAGTGTGTATATGTTCGCCCCATACCCCTAATGGGGGAAACGGGAGTTCACTTTGAGTATTAATAAATTTGAAGAATTATGTGTATTATATGTATGTTGTCTTCACTCATATCCATGTTGTATATTTAAATAAAATTAAAGTATTGATGTGAGACTGTTTTAAGTAACTTGTAATAGTTAAATGGCCTATCTGTAAAAATTAATAGTTAGAATAAATTATATAATTAAATCATATTAATTGTTGTTATTGCATTAGGACATTGTGTAATTAAAACTGCACAAAATTATATATTAGAATTTATTTCGACATAATATATATTTAAACTGTATCTGGTGAAACTTAAAAACAATAAATGTCGTTAACACTTAAGTTAAATTAAGCTCATTTTCAGCGGGCGTGTCTTCAGCAACGCTCTGTCCCATTGAGATTAATTTCATTTTATATTCGTTTATTTTCATGTCCTGAAACAACCAGTTAATGTTTAGAGGTGTTTCAATACCAAGCGGGTTAGTTTTATCTCACTTATGAATGTGAGTTGTGTTAGGTTAGGGTCGTGTTTGATTAAATGGCGTGGTAATAATCAACGGGTCTAATTAATTAAATTAATTTATGATTTTTATGCAACACGTTGGACTTCGTGGTAATCTGGATATAATGGGTTTGAATCGAGATCGATAGCCCATCTTGCCGAGTTGTCTTATTATATGGCTAGGGCTTATTTACCCTCCTTCAAGAGAACCCCACACGCTTGTGTCTTTCTCTAGTTTTTTTGCTTTGGCTTTGATTTTGGCCATGAATAATTGGAAATCCACAGACTGTAACCGACAGGCGATTAAACTTGACAACGTTTACATCTTATTAGCCAGGTGATTCCGTGACCCAGACGAAATATCGATATTCCAATCTTTACTATCCAGCATTTCCAGATGAGTGCGACATGTTTTTATTGGAAATACGTTGGACCCGGTGGGGATCGCATTTAAGACCCGTCAATTATTAGCAACACCTATATCACCACCATTAGACTAACAAGCCCTTCAATGTGTTACAGTAATTACTACTTGCCTGATCTGCGAGCAGTTCCAATAGATCGTCTTGGTCTTTGCGCATGTCCTCTTGGGCCTTCTTCGTTCTGTCCAACTCCACTTCAGCTTGCTGCTTACTGTCTAGCGCGCTTCTCAATTCACTTGTTAATCTATTTACTTCCAAAGTCAGCGCCTGGACTCTGTTTTCGGAATCTGAAAGGCGTTGGTCGGTATTTGCAGTGGCCTGGCTGCTTTGACTATTTTGGCCTGGCGTCGCTTGGCTCGACTGATCGGACTGGCTCGAATGGTGGCTTGGCAGTTTGGCTGAGGCTTGCGCTTTTAAAAGAGTGTTTTCGTCTTTTAAAAGAGAGTTTGACGCTATCGAATCGTTTAGAGCAGCCTGTGAAAGAATGGCAATAATAGATTTAAAATATTAGTAAAAGAGTGTATTTAAATAAAACACTATAACGGTTTAAAACGCGATATTAACTAATATATATAATTTTTTACTTCGGTCCGACGTTTTGGATGCTTTGCAGCAGTCTTGGTCACGGGGACATTTGCTGCTGCAAAGCATCTTATATTTTCCACGTTATAAACTGTCAAAAGTATATTATTTCAATGTGTACTACACGCATAGGTTGTTCCTCGTATTCAGCTTTAGCGTAGCAGTTTTAATCTCAGCAAGATAAATTTGTCTTGTTAGGAAAAATAGGAATAATTAAGCATGTCCGCCTTATACTTTACTAATTCAAATAGGATTTCAATTTATATTATTACCTACAATTATAATTATTATTTTTAATTGACGTTCTTTTGAAATTACCTTATTACTTTAACGTATTGTTAAATGTACATAAGCAATTTATATTGTTTTAATATTGTTTGAATTTCGTGTACCTGTAACGCGTTGTTCTGTTGCATTAGCCCATCGAGTTGTTGCATTAGTTCTTGCAGACGGGCGTCCTGTTGCCTGATGAGAGTCTTGTACTGCTCCAGGTTGTCTTCTGGTGGAGGCTGCTGGTCCTCACTGGAATGGTTTTCTTGGTGTATAGATACACTTTGAATGAGGACGCCTAGAAAAGATCACCTAACTTAATATTGCATATACACTGTTGGTTTCATGGATATTAGTAGGAACTAGAAATCCAAATGTTGTTTAATTTTCTATTGATTGAGATATAGCATAGTGTTGAAAGAAATTGTGTAAAAATGTTACATAAAAGGTAATATCTTAACGAAAACATGCAACATCTTTTTTTAAGTTTGAAACCCTTGTGTAATCGGTTAAGCTGTTTAAGCGAGAGAGTTATAAACAAACATGAAAAAACATACAACTTGAGTGTAAGATAATCTCTTACAATAGCAAAATATTATGTAACTTTTTGTCAAAAATAAGCAAATAAGGGTCAATGAAGGCAACATTGACCCTTTATCTAGACATAAAACAGTCTCAGTAGGATTAGAAAGCTCCCCGTTAAAGCCACTTACTCTCTAACACCTTGAAGAGCCGGCAGAATTCATAATCAATAAGTATTTCGGGTGGAATCTTAACCCGTAGTTGCGGATGCTTGGCTGCCTTATTGTACAGTTCGTGTTTGGAAACTTCGCTCAGTTTTGCAGTGAAGGTCTCCACTCCGATACGTTTAACTAGAAGTTGCTTCAGCGAGTCCTTGGTGTAGCTTTCTACGGAGTCATCGTTGAAGTGAATGCAGATGGCTAGTAGGAACGCAGAAAGACCTGAGAAAAGATACCAACTCAATTGAGAAGTTGTTCTGTAGGTGTGGCCATCACAAATGGATAATATGATCAGAAACCATTGGGCGTTCCTCGATGAGAGACTGTAGAAAAGCCCAAGTAGATTTGCAAAGTGGCCAACAAATTTTAAGCACAAAACAAAAAAAAAGTCATGTACAAAAATTATGGAATGCAATGGTCAGCGATCTGTTCGAGGCAACCCAAGATAAAAGAAGAATTGTCCACTGGAAAACTACAAAATACAGCATCAAATCAAATTTTTTTAAAGGAAGAGGGCCAATGTCAATAACACTTTTATAATTAAAATAACAACTATTATCAGATTATACTAAAAAGAAGTAGTACCTTGCAGTAAATACTCGTTGTCGTCGTGTTCGTTGGAGCAGGTCTGATTGACTAGATATCCGACTCCACCAGGAACCTGAAGGAACGCACTGACCGCTGCTCCGCAGTAGCTCATCCATTGCGACAAGAGCATCAGTAGTGCGACCTGATATAAAATAATTTTACTATTAGGCATTTTTAAAAGTGCAAAATACAGTAATGACCGATGTTGAAACGACCTGCATTCAAGTTAGGTTTTCGAACTCTCTCTGCAATAGATTGAGTGGATCAGGAGACTAAATTAACTCAACATCTATGATGCTACTGTTGTGTATCATATTGAGGAAATGGTCGAGACCCACTTTGCAATTACGATACAAGTCGGTTTGCAAAAAGACTACAAAAACCTATACAACAAAAAAAAAATCTTGGTTTTTAATGTTCTGTACCAACACATAAACCCAAATTAGTTTATGATACCCTATTGATCTAATCTATATTGTCTTTATTTCTTGGAACTAAAATAATATAACATTTAAAGACTTGCCTTAGACTGTAATTTGGTTGTCTGTTGGAGTAGCAATGTACACTGATGTAAGAGAGAAACTGGTGTACTCCCAACATTAGTCGCTAACAAAACTCTTAATAGCTGTTCCTTCTGGCCTGGGTTATCAATTAGCGCATGCATCAGAGCAACTGCTGAAAACCAATTGGACAAAACATCTGTAGAGAATAAACCGCCGCATAGTAACTGGCCGCTAGTCAAGGTGGATACATCTGTTGATGACGGCAGAAGAGTTTGAACAAGTGATGCTTGGCTCAGTTCATTGTGATAAAGGTAACATTGGAAACAGTAGAGAACTGCACATCTGAAAATTAATAATTAACTATGGGTAATTGACCTAATTGTAGCAATGTAAAGCTAATAATTAACTCAGCTGGAACCTTGAGTATATCTAATAATTTTCTATTAAAATGCTAAATGTTTAAAAACTATTTTTTTTAAATAAGTATATCAAAATTCCGCCCGAGTCAAGAACCAATATACACAGGTGAAATAGGTCAACAGCGCATCTTCTTTAGATGTTAAATAGCTGGGCTATTTCAGCTACCATCAAATGAACCCCATGCTCTCTTCCTCTATCATAAAAAAAAGTTTGCTTGTGGCTTTTGGAATGGACAGCAAACATAAATCAACAGAGATTTTATATGGCTAGCGTTCCTTTCCCCTAGTAAACCCCTCGTCTGTCTTATTCGAGGAGATTCATCTGTGGTGGAGACTTAAATACTACATAAACTTATCCATATTTACCTTAGTGAGAAGGGTTGCTTTTCATTAACCATTGACATTAAAAGTACAACAATAGCGGGCCGTGGAGGATTTGAGGGTGCCATGATGTTTCCCATAAAATCCTGGTTAGCTACATCCCCACGGACAACTTCTCCAACTGTATTTATAGTCTCAGTGAGAATATCAGCTGGAACTCCACTAGTCATCAAAATATTACAGAGAGCATCCAACAGTCCTACATTTTTCATTATTTTTTGACAGCTTGATATTATCTGTGCAGAATTACTTGGCGATACTAGGGTCCTGATAATTTGCAACATACAATGAACATTGGAAACCTTTTGTGGAGACCATCCAGCATCATCAGAATCACTGGGGGTGTTAAACATGGGCAGTGTTTTCTGTATATAACTTCCTTCCTTGAAAAAGTTGATATTGCTACTGTTGTTTTTCAATAAATTCAGCATCAACAACAAACAGTCTTCCACTATGATACCTCCGTCAGAATAACCCTCACTAGATACAATCTCAAATAAGCGGTCAAATGCATTTTCAAATGCCACAATTTTTTGTATGTTTGCATTTCCTTTGGTTAACTTTATAAGTAAGAGCAATGTTTCATTGCGAATAACTTCTCTGGTGTCCCCGAGCAAGTCCATCATCTTTGATACTCCCATTGGTTTAACTAGTATGATTTCTTGAATGTCCTTAGTTCTATTTGTAAGAAGTGATGTAAGCAGCTGAACAGTAGAGAGGCGAACCCTGAAGTCATATTCATCTAAAAGATCTAATACCAGTTGAATATTATGTGGATCTTTTATGAACATTTCAGTAAATTGCTCTCCTATATTCATTGGAACATGAGGGTTGTCTTCCTCTTCTTCAAACTGTGACGGTGACATGATATTGTTGAGAGTATCCAGAGCATAATTGATAGTCTCATTATCAGCACGATCCAGTTCTAACACCTGCAAAGAATTTAACATTAATGAAAAACGAAATCCTGATCCAAAAGTTTCGTTGTTAAGAGTCCAGTAGGATACCTGCTTAAGAGTATCAATTCCTTGAGCTCCAACTTCCACTCGATACTTTCTTGACATTGCCTTCAAGGCTCTACACGCATCTCTACGATCTTCTAACAGAGTGGAATTGTTCACCCGGTCCACTAGCCTTTCCACCTATATATACAAAATAACAATGCTAAAATAATGTGCTGGGAAATCCAGTAAACAAAATAATAAACTTTGTGTATTTCAAGGCTTTTACAATAGTAATTATATTAATATTTTTGTTATCAATATGCCACTAAATTACTTACAGTTTCCGCACCAGACGGTAACTGACCGGGTTCTGATGCACCTAATACCGTTTTCAAACCACTTTTAAAGAAATCCATTTTTAATTTGTTTATACCGTCTTACCTAGATCATCAGTTATTAAAATATTAATGATAATCTTACAAAACACAGGGACACATTATGTATGCGCTACATCATCACTACATTTAATATTAAAAAAACTAATCCCACGTCAAAGACAGACATTTCGCGAATAATACAGTATAAATACAACAATTTATGTTTACATCACAGACTAAAATTACATATGTCAATGTCAAAATAAGACAACATCAAAACAAACTGATCAAACAATCGTATAAACTTGATTGATAATTTAAAACAATTGAAAAGAAAGTAGCTTTAGCTAATTAAATGTGCAATATTTAGTAAAAAGTACAATGTCTACTGATTTAGGAGCCAGTTTCAACGAACAATATGTGAATATAAATACTAAATTGAAAAAGTACGTGCTGCTTCGAAATCTCCTTTTCTTGAGTTCAACAATCTATACATTTTTTATTATTCTTCTTTTCAGACGATTCATGCGAAGGCCTAATATATCTGAAGCTACTAACGAATTTATTGGACTTGCAATCCAATGTGAAAATTGTGAGCAGCCAACATTTGCTGGTCAGACTTACATTGGTGCTGCAAAGTGTGAGGCTTCTGCTGGAAATGTATTTGGTGAAGCAGAACACTATTTGGCTGCTGCAAGACAATTCATGAAAGCTGAAAAGAAATTAGCATCCCTTAAATTTGACAGCCCTGATAGAGAGAACTTAGAGGTAATGCCGTTTTTAGTCTTTATAATGTAAATCTGTTTCTTGATTCATTTCAATTTCTTTACTAGTAGTATATTATTGTTCATATATTTTAGGCAGCCATAGGTTGTTTTTTACAAGCACTAAACAAGTACCCAGAAAAATCGCCTCTACGGTCATCTATCTTTATGGAAATAGCTAATGATTTGTTGGAATTGGATCACAAGTTAGAAGCTATAGCATACTATGAACAGGCTCTGGAAATAATACAGGATGACTTTATGAAATTGATGTGCTTGAATAAGCTTTTAAATTTGCAAATAGATTGTGGTAAGAGTTTTTAACATAGTATTAAAGTGAAAATTTAATTAATCTAATTAGCCCTTTTTTAATAATCTAACAATATTAACAGGAAAACTAGATTCAGCATTACAAACTGGCAATTCCTTGATGGATTTAAAATGTCACATCCCTGAAAATATGATAGAAGAGTAAGTAAATACCAATTTAAAATTTTACATAAATAACAATATACTATGCAAGTAATGGAAGAAACAATTTATTTAATTTCAGAATACAAGTCACCAGAATTCTATTGGCATTAATTGTTGATTTAAATAATAAGAATAGACCAGATTCCCTGAAAATGCTGTTCACAGACCTACTCAATGATGAAGACAGTAACTGTAAGTTACCATAACTTAACTTAAAATCTCACCAACTTTACCAAGAAATAAAATCATTACGAAAGTTAACTGGCTCTCTTGATTATTAGTATAGACACCTAAAAAAACTCTTACAATTGTTAACATTAAAAATAAAAAAATGATTTCTTGAAAGAGTAAAATTTGAATATAATGTAATGTTATACCATAGTCGTTAAAAGTTCTGAAAATGATTTCTTTTCCACAGTAATACCATTTAACCCAAACTTCAAGCTAAAGCTGCAGTCAATAATAATATCAAGCAACATGAATGATCAACAAGCACTAATAACTATTAGTATGGAAACTAAACCTTATTTAACGAGACAGCAGTGTGATCTTTTGGAAATGCTGATTCGTGAAAAGCAACAACAATAGATTTCCACAAGCTATGCCTGCAATTTTTTGTGGAGTAGTTATTTTGGGCTACTCAACTTTATAAGTTAAGTTAGTGACATCCGCGACCCGTTGTTCTTGTGACTTAATCTTAAAGATAGACATATACTGTCTGGCCATTTTTTTAAATCATTTTAGGTAGAATAATTTTTTTCATATTTTTTAGTTTCTTAAACAAGCCTACAAAGTTGAATAATTATTCTTGCTTTTTCAACTTTTCTTCCATTAGTCGCAGCCTGATGCTTCATAGTTAGGCTAAGAACATCAGCCTTTCTTGATGAATGGTTTAAGTAACATTTTATTAATTCAAACCTGTAGTTTCTGAGATTTGTGTGTTCAAACAAACAAAATCTGTAGCTTTATATAAGTATACATTAAATTTCTTACTAAATAATTATTCATAGTGATCTCATTAGAATATACATTTAATACAAATGTAGAAAGTAAGTTGAACATTCTTTGTAATTAAAACCCTCATGACAATGGCTGCTGAAAAGCATTAAAAACTGGGTTGTAGTTTAAATATCTTTACTTTTTAAAGGTCTTAGAACTTGCACAAATCTGTTATATAATTGTTTTACTTAAATGTCATTGATTATTTATAACTTGTATTCTTTAATTTATGTTGTATCAATAAATGTAAAAGTTTATCATTATGCATTTATTTATCCCTTTCATATGCAGATTCATAATATAAGCATTTATGCTTAATGAAAAGTATTTGCCTCAAAAATTTAATACACAAAGTACAATTAAGACTTTTTATCAATACTACTATTACTTATATCCAAATCCATAGTAACTTTTATATCTCCAAAGATGGCTTTGTTGTCAATGGGCTCCCTTTCACTGACCTCCAATTCATTTCCAAAATTGGTTGCTGTATCAATAGCTTTATTCTTTTGAGAATGTATCCACATTTCATCAAATTCATCATTGTTTTCAGATTCTTTTTCATTTGCATTAGGTTTTTCAGCATTTGACTTTTGCCAACAGTATTCAAATGGGTAACTCACATTTCGATTATCATCTAAAGCAATTTCAAAGCGAGATGACAAGGAGTTGTATGTGGTATGAACTCCTTCTAGCAAATTGACATCCACCTCCTCAAACCCAGTTATGTGCTTGAATAGTTCGTCAGCTGTTTTTATGTTCTGCACTCCCTTCTTTTCAAAGAACTGAAAATATATTAGCAATGGTTATTTCTAAACTGCAATAAGAGATAGAATTTTCCAAACAATATTAAAATTAAAAAATATTTATTTGTGACGCTCAAGAGCTTCTTGTTATGCTTAGTTTAAAATTATTACAAAACAGTTAACTCAATGGCTCAACTTACATTAATAATATTTTTACAGTCCCTCAATAGGAACTCCAACCCACTGGGGTGATCTGGCTGGACGGACTGTGAGACATCAATGAACCAACATTTATTCTCCCACCACAGAATATTATATTCAGATAAATCAGCATGTACTAAGTGGCCAACATTAAAAAGTTTATACATTGCCTCTACAATCTCATTGTATACACTTTCCCATTGCTCTGCTTTTAGAACAATGTCTCTTAATTTTGGAGCTGGTTTGTTCTCTTTTCCAATAAAAGACATGACAAGAACATGCTTCTTCAAACAAATCATGTCAGGACAGTTCAGTCCAACTTTTTGCATTCTCATCATATTATGCATTTCTTTTTCAGCCCACATGTGGACAATTTTTCGAGGGTTCTGCTTTGAAAATCTATCCTTGAATCTATAATCCGCCTCAATGTACTTGTCTCTAGTTTTAAATTCATTCAGAGTTGTTTTAAAGACTTTTATGGCACACTCCTTGGGAATTACCAGGTCTGGGTAGGATTGATCACCATTAGCATGAAGAACAACAGATTCTTTACCAGTAGAAATAACCCCATTTATGTCCTCCAAGAGACCATTATTGATAAGTTTGAACAGAATAAGTCTTGTAGGTTCATCCAGGCCCATTTCAGCAGTGGCTTGACTCTCTTTCCTATCTAACATCTTATGTTTACGGGCAGTGTTCCATCTGGTATGTTCTTTCAATTGATTAAACACATGGTTGGGAAGTTTCATATCAAATCCTGCACCATCTCCAGTGCACACTTCAGGTGGAAATGCCATCACTTTACAAGCATTTCTACGGCCATTTATAACACTGTCATGTTTAGTAACCATTTCACCATCTTTCATAATGAAACCTCTTTTTGGTATGCTTGCAAATTCTTTTTCATTGGTCTCGAATCTGTCCCAATCCTTTTTTTCTACAATTTCCTCATCAGATTCCGAATCATAAACCAAATGTTCAGGAACCATTCTGTAATTATCATACGATACAGAGACCTTTGATTCTCCGTTTCGTTTCTTTTCGACTCGCTTGAGTTCTTCATCGTATTCTTTATCAAACTGACACTGTAAAACCTTGGCTATAATCGCATCAGAATCGCAGTATTCTCCTAAAGTTGACTCGTCGATTTGCTTTAAAGTTAAAGATGACACTTCATTAGAATCCGAATTTGTAATGTGGAAGTCAGATATCTGCTCTGCAAACCTTAGTTCTTCCTTCACTTGCAAGCCTTTGGCATATTCTTCAGACATGATTTCTGATAAGTTTTGCATATCAGCTGCTGGTGCTGATACTTTCCATGGGTTCGACATCGTTAGAAAAAAATTTTATCTCAGTTTAAATTGCAGGAGATTATTGTTATAAAATTAAATAGTAAATAATATTTGATTTGGTTTAGGCGTAATTGGCAAAAGATGTTAATTTCACAATATTATAAAATATTTTATATGTATGTAGTAATATCTATCAGGATCAATTTGACAATTGACAATAGGGATGTAGTCAGTAGTGTAGAGACGAGACGTCTCGATCATTTATTTTTCATAATAGATAAAAATCATGAATGCATATTGTGTAAAGAAGACTATTTAAGTACATATGTATTTAAAAAGTGTGCAATATTGAGAATTATTTTTGTAACAATTAAGTGCTTGACAGACTATAAGTTTACGTGGCATGTCTAGAGATAAAAGATGTATAATTAATTCGATCGCTAAGAATCGAATCAATCGAAATCTATTGACAAATGGTCCGATCCATCGCCTCGGGTATACGAGGTTCTATTGTTGGGTTGGATTGTTGAATTTGTATTATGAACATATTATCTAAAACTGAAAAGAGAAATAGCTGATCTCTCCTTACACAACTTAAGTCTATAGATTCACTTATTCTTTTATCTAAACTTAAATTACTTTCTCCCGCTCGCTCCACTTCCAGACTCACAATACAAAAACTCTCCTCTTTTTCGAACTAGTTACCGCCTTCAGTTCTTCCCTTAAACTACGACACTTTTTTAACTCCACGACCTTGATCTCTTTACTCTAATGAAAAACGCATTATAAGCTTCGTACAGAAGTCTTTTTTGACAATTCTGGTTGAACCTTACACCCAAACTTTTGCTGCTGTTGTTTTTTTTTCTCTTCTAACTTTAACTGTGTATAGGATCTCTTTTAAGTGTAAAATTGTACTCTCTTCGTTGTTCTACAAGTGAAAACTTCTCTTAGCTTTACTATTCTACTCTTCCTGTTCTAAATTATTTATTACTGTTAGCTGTTAAGTTTTCCTAATATTATATAAATAAAATAAAGTTATCCATGCTCACAAAATGTGTATGAATAGCATTTAATTAGACCGAACAGTTACATATACTTATTAGATCATAATCATAAAGCGCTGAATCTAGATATGAAATTTATTTTCTATTAAAATAGCATGTAAATTAAACCATTCGGAAAAATAAGTTTACTAAAGAGTTATCAGTTAAATAATGGTTCAGAATTAAAACAACAATATTTGATTTTTTACTTATAATTTAAAAACATTTTCACTTTGCAGCCTTTTTGCCAACCCGTGCAGTTGCTTGCTGTGCCTTAAGGACTTTAACAATTTTTTGTTCTTCAATAAGGAAAGCTCGCACAATACGCTGTTTAACACACTTGTGGCACAGTACACCTCCGTAAACACGTTTCACTGTTTTCTTACGGTAGCAGAGTCTGGAACGTTCAGCTGGCCGGGCAGGTTGGATACCTCTCAATTTGCTTTTGCACTGGCCACATCTTGGGATCTTCTTGGGCTTTTTGACATATTGATATACAAGTCGACCACCAGGAGTACGTACTCTGAAATGATAAATAATGATTAAAAGAAATGCCTATTCAACCTGTGACTACTATTAAATCCTATTTAACATTGCTCCAACACATGTCAGGTATCAATACTTTTGAAAATATATTTACAAATATTTAGTGGTGCAGTAGGAATGTGCTAAGACCTAAATAAATTATAGTATACATATCTGTTGTCAAATTATGACATTAAATTCCAAGATAGAAGCATACTATTAATAATAAAATTACACTTAACACTACAACCCGTAATATTAAACTGTTTGCATTGTATGTTTACAATACTATTAAATAGTTTGTTTAATAAGGCTTTACCGTATGTTGCACAAATTATCAAAATAAGTTAGGTAAATCCGATATTCACAGCGCTAAAATACGAGTAAATAAATATTTAAGGTTAGAATATAACTAAAATGTTCAATTTAGTAAACGTATTTAATTTAAAATTTAAACCAAATTTGTGTCAAACTTTCTTAATCGGAAATCAAATTGAACATATTATCTAAATCACCTTAATAAGTATAAATTCCAACTTACATCCTCCTCTGGTTTGACTTGGTATTGTACGACAATCGTCGTCTAAACGTTAATCGCTGTACCATTTTGCAGCTGAAATATGAAACAAAATAAACTTAACACATGAAGTAAAAACTATTTCTGCATTAGCCGATAGTAATTTTATTTGAAATGTTAAGATTCCATTAGATTTATTTATTCCATATTTTTGACCGTACCTATTTGACAACTGCTGAAAAGAAAAGAATAACAAATCTTTCGATATACAATAATCTGGCAACACAGTAGTTACGACAGACGAAGCAGGGTTTTTAGTTTTTACTACGGTCACCACAGATATGATATACGGAAGAATTGGATATTAGATTCTCATTTTCATTTACTTATTAAAAAGTAATTAAAATGTTTTTATATGCCGATTTTCTTAAACGATCACTGTAAGGTTTACTTCATTGAAATGCTTTGTTTATGGAGATCTGAAGGAAAAATATTGTCTTCTAATAAATAGTAGTTTTATAAACATGTCGGGTTCAAATGCAACGATTTCGTTAAATCTTTGTTTGATTAAATGATTTATGGTCTAAAATTATACCTTTGCATATAGATTTAGAATTTTAAGATTACATTTGTGATCAATTAATTTTTATTCGTAATACATTCTGTGGTAAAAATTCAAAATGGCTGCTTTTGTGTAATGTTTTGTAGTGATTGTGTTTTGTATTAGTTTCTTGTGAATTTAGTGATTTTTTATCAAATATGGGTGAGTCACGTAATATATTATTTCTTGCAATTATGATAATTTCAACGTAATATATAGTTCCATCAAAGTCTTGTGACATTATTCAAAGTCCTAGTAATCGCCAAAGGTATTTTCTTTACATAATTTTAGGAAATAATTGCGTATTTTGTGTTTTGTTTTTATTTTGATTTTGTACTATAGGTTGTTAACGACTGAAATCATAAAATAGCTAATTATATTATCTCCTTTATTGATATAAGTAGGGCATGTTAGGTGTGCAAGTGTTTAAGGCAATTGATTAGAAAAACAGTGCTTATAAGAAAAACAAAACACCTGGATGTATTACTCTATCATCTCATATGTTATGCCATCCTCTTCATCTGTTTATTACCAAAGAACCTAATCCAGTTTAAAAGAGTATTTATAATGATTATACATAAATAATAGAACATTATGATGAGAACACATTGAATAATACAATATGATAGCTTATGTGTTTATTTCGTAAAGGTAGTTATTTTATAAAGCCTTTGAATGTAAAGTAAAGGACAAATAAATTATTAAGTTGATATGTATAAAATAATTATTTTTGTATGTAATGGAAGATGATGTTATTATAAAATATTTCCTACAGAAACTAATTCTAATGATGCATTATTATCAAAGAAGATAGATAGCTTTATATCACAATATTCCACAATATGCAATAAAACATAGACTAAATGTTGAGATTTTTTTTAGCGCTGATTATATTATGTATAGCAGATATACAACTTTACAATAATATATATTGAAGAAAAGAATATTTCTAATGAAATCTTTTAAGATATGCTGAACCCAAACTTTATTTAATTATTTGGTTAAAATAAAGGCTTATCTGAATTTCTTATTAATTATTAATAGTTTACAGACCAAAATAAACTAGAAAATGTTTTTTTTTAATGTTTACTACTAACAGAAACTATGGAAAATACACATATATATGAAAATATATATATATAAATATTAAATGAATTATATATATATATATATATATATATATATATATATATATATATAATTCATTTAAAACCAGTATTATTAAACACTCATATCGCTGCCGTATTTATACCTGTTAGAAGATTACTAGGTTTACAAAGAAGCTGTAAGCATATTTGATTTAAATAACGAACATGATTCTATAACTCTTGTTTTAGATGTTCATTATTATAAGAAAATAATTATATTTAGTATTTGTATTTTCCAAATCCAATTTAGTATTTTCCTTTTTCAACTAATTCATGAGATAAATTATTTGTTGATTCCTAATAAATAAGTGGTAAAAACGATAAAACAGATAGACATACTATCACAGACATTTTATGTATCATTTAAGATTCTTTTATACATATTTTTTGGTTTTCATTTAAATAAAACACTTTTTCGGTTTAAAATGCGAAACATATTAGTTAAACTTATTTTAATTACGACCCGACATTCCGGATGCTCTGCAGCGGCCGTAGTTACCGGGTTTTACTTGAAACGTTTTCGCAGGGCACGCAAAGATAGTTTCTCCTTATTTTTCTTAATTTCCCCTGTTTTTCTAGTTACTATCTCTAATATCTATGACACAATATATTTATATACATATAAATCTGGTTTTGATTACAAACCGCCTTAAATAACATAAGGATATTCTATGACATGTTCCAATCCTAACAAATTAGATATTTGGAGGAGGTTTTTTATGACTGCCATGTTTCTTTTGAGGTGTCAGAAATAAGCCTTTAAAGGCGCTTACGTTATAAGTTCAGGCGGTTCGAGGAATTCTTCGACATTGAGATGGGTCATTTTTAAATAACAATAGCGGGATGTCAGGGTTGCGTCTATAAGTGTTAGTATTATCTTTTTTAAATACTCAGATAAGGCCAAGAGCTATCAAAATACAACACTAGCTGTGTCAGCGATTTCGTGCGCGTAGAATAGTATTTTAGGGCATCCAAATATGTTTTAAAAAATCTCGTTGTAATCTTTATAAATTTAAGCTAAACCACGATGTCGGACGCGTCCCGTCGTTCTTGCAAGTTAACCTTAAAATGAGACAGATAGCGTCGCGGAATTTTTTTAGATCATTCAAAGAGAAATCATTCTTTCATACATATTTTTGGGGTATCTTGAACCGTTTTTGTAGCGTACGCCTCGGAAACCCATAATGATGAATAATTTTCCCATTTTTTTAACATTTCTCGCTGTATCTTCGCTTGTTTTATTCATAATTCTTCAAAACATACAAGTGAACAAGTTGATGTAAATTATGAATAAGTGGAAGTTATTACCTTTCTCTTTGATTTTTTATTTTTATTCAAAGTATTATTTTATTTATAATCTACTAATTTCTTATAAACCTTTTGGTCTTTAATAATGTCTGAGTCGTGAGGTATTACTTTAGATATTGACAACCCTAGCGCACGAAGAGCGCCGGAGCTTGGTTTTTCTTTTTCAAAGGCGCAAGTCGCGACCAACACCTCCAAGCATGACAATGCACTTGTCCTTGGGGTCCCCCTATTCTTTGATGCAGTGTGATAGTGTGCTTGTTATAACTTTAAATGTAGTCTGCCAAGTTCTTAAGTGTAAACGAATCCGTAATAGGACCATAGAGCTTTAGAATTAATAACATACTTTACCAACCGTATTTATAGGTAAAAGATATATATTTAAAGATAAAAGTATTTTGATATTTTCTTACTAGGTAATTCTTTGTAAAGTTATTTCTAATTTAAATATCGAAAATAAATTGAAAAAAATTTTCGACTCGGGCAGGACTTGAACCGGCATCGTCAGCTTTCCGTGCTGTTGCTCTACCAATTGAGCTACCGAGTCCTACGCCTCATCTTCGAATTTTTTCAACTTATTGATACATGCACCTCTCGCGCAATGTAATTTCAACCTTAACACTTACGCATTAAAAATTTTTTCAATTCATTTTCGATTTTTGAATTATATAGTGCCTTCATGTGCAATAACATGTGAAAAATATTAATGTTTTCAAGTTATTTCTACTTTACTACTACAGGAAATTTTGATTGTAAGAAGTAATTAATTTTAAATTTATATACTTTTACTACTGTCTATAGTTTACGCGAGTAGTACACATTTTAATAAAACACTTTAACGGCTTAAAACGCGATACTAGTACGCGAACTAGGTAAACTTATTTGAAAACGATTTTGAACTTCGGCCCGACGTTTCCGATGCTTTGCAGATCTATAAAACTATATACTTTTATTATTTATATGATTTTTTTATTGCCAATAATACATATATTATTTGTTTCAAGAAATCATATTATTATGGAACAAAAAGTTCTCCCTTTCCTTAAATTCCTGCCGCTTAATATGATCGAGTCGTAAAATCTCCACCGTGAGTCCGTGACCAATCTGGGACGATCAGTAATGTGTCTCTGAGATCATTTTATAGTCGTTATGGATATTTTTTGTTTCATTAATAGCTTACACAAAAAATCGACATATATCATCTACCAACACATATGTACCCTTTCCCAGCAGTGGGGACGGTCAAAGGACAGATAATGACGATCATAATTATATATAAGTAGTAAATATCATAATATTTTAGCTTTTGTATATATAGCTATAAAAAGTATAAAAGCAAAATTTTATTTCCTCCCCGGTGAGGCATGGGGCAAAAATTAAAGGCAAATGATCATTAGATAGATTCTCTGTTTCCCCGGGATTTGGACCCAAGTCTCCGCGACCTCAACACAATGCTAAACAACACGTTAAGCTTCCGAGATATGAGGCCGATCCGCTGAAATTTAGAATTAAAAAAATATTTAATTTATCATTGGTTGTTCATAATATACCTAGTTAGGTACACTTATGAACATGAATACAATAAAAATAAAACACTATAATAATTTACACTTACTAATCACTTCTCAAACCAATCGCGTAGAACGAACGAGAAGAACTGGCAAGAAACTCGCCGCCACACTGACAAATGATTGTTACAATCCTTACGCACTGGAATGTCTATACTTCAACATCTTCTTTCTTAGAATCGGTTTCTGCAAACCCTAAGCATTCTTCTCATTTAAATATTGATTTCCGTCATTGTAACCCTTCCCAAGCAGTTTTTAACATGCGATTTAAACTTATTTATTGGCAGTGCTTGCACTTCACTAGGAAAGATATATCCAGATTTGAGCCTCCACATTGATTCGGGCTTACGTCACTGTTACAAACGACGTACAAATACTCGTACACGTACGTTTACGTGTCGTTAACCTTTACGTAAAATACTAAGAACGTATGTATTGTTTTAAGTGTACAGTTTACGATCTAGGGCGTTACCCCTCTAAATCTGGCTATTTGTTGAAAAACAATACATTGTTCGGCGTATTCAAACACGATATCAAATTCCGATTGGAAATCCTTGCGAACTCTTGCCAACGTTTGTAAGCCCTGCTCGTGTTCTTATAGTTGGTGTAATGTAGGATGATAAGTATGAACGGCGAGGTATCACAAGTAGAGCCTATGATAATAATCCTTATGTGACATCAAACTTGTACAGTAAATATTTCTTGGAATAAAACACTTTTAACGGTTTACAACACGATTTTAAATTTAATACTTTATTTAATATAATTCGCGTTTTTAACCATTAAATCCCTACTACAACAGAAAATACTTTGTTATGTTGATTTAGAAGAAAAGTGATAATAAAATGGCCTTGCGTCAGCATAAGAAATAAATACTATACTATTCTACACATATTTCTTCCTGTTTAGTAAATACATAAGTTTTAAATATTTGTATACCTACTTTAATTTTGTATTCTTTTGTTTCGCCCACATTGTAAATTTAATTTTCCTCTAAATTATTTTTTGTGCTGCCTGGAAGAAACGGTTTGTTAACGATTAGGCCGCCTTGAATTTTTAAACATATCACGATCTATTCTATTTTAGAACATCGTTCGTTATTGTTGAAATGTCAAACTTACCATCCTGTATTAGGCGACGTACGTGTTGTTTATTTAAAAGCATTTAGGAGCGCGTTTTAAACAGAAAACGAGAGATATTAAAACAAGACTCGGTCGTGTATACAATGCAGTAATATGCGTTAATTGCTCAATAACAAAATTGTAGGATAATCTCAAAGGCCCAATTGGTAGTTAGTATTGCCTGTAGTTCATGCATTTATTTAATAAAACACTTTTAATTAATTATAAAGCGAAATATACCTTTTTTAACTACGAAATCTCTAACCTTTGCAACAGCCGTGATTACATAGATTAATTTCGAGTTTTAAACCGTTAAAAGTGTTTTTTTTTAAAGGAACAATATATTTTCAATGGTATTATAATATTCTAATTTGGGAAATGTGACGCTTTGTCCTCGCGATCCGGAATGTCTATATTCCCATACATTCTCATACCCAGATTTTCCTTTCAATTGATTTAAGAAATGTAGTGTATCGAATGCGGCGTTCGTTCCGTCTTCGGCTAACTCGATGGGTTGCTACACGTCGTTTTTTGTTGTTCAGGCGTTGCAAACGAAATTATGCCTCGTTCGGCGCCGAACGGCCGCCTCCGCTCGTCTTTTTACCCAGCTCGCGTTCGATTTTATTATTTTTATTTAACACCTGCGTCCAGTAATCTATTCGACGATCTCCCGAACGCTTAACTCTTTTTGGGCGCGTTTTTGTGTCGGGCCCGCGATATATTATGTGTCGGTGTTTTGTTCGGTCGAAAATGTCGTTTAATTTTCTTCACTGGTCCGTTGACAATCGATTATGATTGCCCTCGAACGAATTCTCTTTCTCGTCCGTTTGTAGTTGGGTTTTTGCTTAGATTTTATTCGTATTTTATGTTTTCGGTGTTCGGTTACAGTCCAATTATTTTTCGTTAAGATTGTTCTGTTAGTAGTATATACCTACGACAAATCATGTTATTGATGTAATGTAAGAACATAATCTTATTTTATACAGCAAACACTTCAAGAAACCAGTAATTAGTTTCTTAACATTAAAATATCAATATTTTATCCTTTCCTTTCGTTCCGCTAATAATAATAAAAGGATATTAGAGGTATTTTGCCATCGACTGTGTCCTGGTGTGGCAGAGGCGCCAGCGCAGTGCGGCCGACCTTGTTATCGCGGGGCACATTCTCGTAAAAACAAGAGTCAAATTAATAAATTATCTGGAAATAAGACTTTTATTTGTTATGCAAATGACGTCACTTGAACGTACGTTGTATTATGATATATCTGTTCACGAAGTCTATAGATATACCACTAGCTCCAATTCTGGACGATGGACGCAGAGATTTATAATGTCCAGTTCTTTTGGATGAACCCTAGAAAAATGATAATCATTACATAGTATAAAACAAAGTCGCTTTTTCTGTCCCTATGTGCGCTTAAATCTTTAAAATTACGCAACAGATTTTGATACGGTTTTTTACTAGATACAGTGATGCATGAGGAAGGTTTTTATATACAAACGTTCACACTTTTTCTATAGTGTGTTCAGTATTAGCGCAGCCGGGGCGGGTCGCAAGTGATTTATTAATTGCAATAATAACCCGTTGTACATCAGCCAGACATACCATTAGACCAATTCAATCGTATTTTAGAAATAAACAGAACCTGTCTTTTCAATATTTTCTAAATAGCTAACAGGTATAATTGCCCGACGCGATAAGTATAAGAACGATAATAGCTTCTAACGAGTAAAAACATTTGCCGTATCAATATTTCTCAGAACAGTCACTTTTACGAGAATGGCAATTTTTCTATCGTAATTGCGACCTCAATCCTTATCTCGAAATGGACTTAATTAAATATTGTAATTGGATTTTATTATTCTAGACCACGATAACTGAACGTGAATGGCAAGTAGATAGGCCGCGCCGCTTGCCTCAATGGGACTATTTTTTACCGGTATTTGTTTTTTTTTTAATGACAGAGGAGGACAGACAAGCACGGGGTTTACTTGATGGTACCCCCGGCCTATAACATCTTAACAAGATGCGCTGTCGATCCAAATCCACCGACTTCACGGATTTTTCATCTGTGCACGGTGGTTCGTGATCCGTACGGAATTTCTATATTTCAACCACCCACCGCCGCCTCTGTAGCCAAACGGTTAAACGTATAGCCTAGCATTGCGTGAAGCGCGAGAGATCCAGGATTCGAATCCCAGGGAAACAAAAAAATTGGTTCGGTTAGACCAAGGAGCCCGTTTTTACAATTTTCTTTAATACGTACAATTTTAATGATGCTTATGGACCGATAGTAATAGAATGACTATTCGAATTTAGATAAACGGATCCAGCTACTGGTAAATTACAAAATTACGGTCACTTCGGAGTTGGGTTTCGATGTTTTAATATGTGGGTACACGCTGAATACGAGGTATAAATTCTCCCTTTGATTGATAGCATTTGTGTCATTATAGTGATTACATCAAATGGATGACTTGCTACTAAGAAAGCTTTTAGTTGGGGGAAAGCTTTAAATAAAAACGGAGAAACGAGTGGTCTCAAACTGTATCTAAATGTCATTAGAATCACTAAGTCTGGATATATCAATTCGACTTTTTATCCATAACTCAATGCGTTACCATTGCGGTGCATGTTAGGTTCTGGGTTTGATTTGCAGGCAGAAACTCTAAGGTGCCAATATATGAAATTTGTTATATTAAATAAATAAATGAATACATGCGTAGGATAGTACAGAGTCTTAAATAGGAACAGTGTATGTTTTTGTATGAAAGCAATGATTCCGTACGGATCAACGACATTACCATTACGTTATGGTAACAAACCGCATCTACCTGTGGCCGTGGGCCCAGCCGTAATTGGTATTCTGATGCCGTATCGAATTATAAAATAAAATCTCAGACTAAAAAAAGCGTCTGTGGCGCCTGCGCAGGTCTCTCGGCGAGATGTTTCGTGCCGCGTACATTACACCTTTAAGTTTAAGGTGCTAAGGTACAGTTTACTAGTGGACCGTGCAGCTTATGAAACTTATAAATCAAATCGAACCCAAGACCGCGTGTTTTTACACTAATGTACATAATTAACTAAACGTCACAAACGTGCCTTTCTTTCTTATTAGCGAATGATAACAAATTATACTGTTTTATGAAGCTTTTCGCTAAAACCATTATTATAATATAATAATCTGTTTTTTCGGTCGGCATCAAACGCTATCTTTTTAAGCGTGATTTGTTCGTACAATAAAGGTATTGTAATTCTAAGCATTATTATTTTACTTTTATTTAAGTTCTCAACAGACAGATAGTTTCAATGTTACTCACTAGATGGTGTTAGTAACCTGAGTTTTATTTTATCACAGATTATGCTAACAGAATGTATTGTGCTATTGTAATATGATCTATGGTTATATCTCTACAAAAAATAAGTACTCAATCATATATGCGGCAAAAACTCGATGCAGCATGAATAGCATTTGATTGACGTGCTTCGTTAGAACTCTTCAAAGGTTACTGATGATGCCCATGGTCATACAATGATGTCGATATTGATGCCGGTATGCTATTTGGGTACTGTACATTAAGTTACTCTGTTTATGTATAGTAAATAGGCTCAAAGCAGCTATGAATTCCGCCATAAGTACTAGATATAATAAAATTTTGCTAAATGTGGCTACTTTTATTATTTCTCTAATCTATACTAATATTATAGATTATATAAATGCGAAAGTAACTCTGTCTGTCTGTAAGTCTGTCCCACTTTAACTCCGAGACTACTGAACTGATTTACATAAAATTTGGTACACGGATATTTTAGAGCCTGAGAAAGGCCAAATAAGAGTTGATAGGGGTTGAAAAAGGGGATGAAACTTTGTATGGAAATTCGTGGTTTTTGAAGCTAGAACAATAAAACTTTCTTCTTTGGCTTTTTGGGAATAAGAGTGCGAATGGCGGTGAGAGCGGGAGTGAGTGTAGAAATAAGAGTGCGAGTTAGAGTAGGAGAGTGTTGCGGCAAAGTAAACCTTACAACATAGATTGGCTGCCTTAAATGCGCCCTTACATAAATTAATAAACAGCCTAAATAATAAAAAATTGTACCCCAATGCACTATTTCACGCGAATACAGCTAGTTATTCATATTTCTTTATTATGACCTCAACTTAAGTACTGCTTACTTATCTCAAACTTTTATAGAGCATAAAACGTCGCTTTAATGAAATTAACTTTGTAAATCCGTTTAAATTGAAAGCGGCACCGACAAAGGCGGGTCTTATCGCCGGGTGACAACTTACAAAATCTTTTTAATTACGAGCAGCTTCCAGCGTCTCGTGGGCCCGATCTTGGTTCGATCACTCCCACACGTATATACGCTTTTGTTTTTATTATTTCTCGCCGTTTTGGCGATCCTCATAAATAAAAAGGCTAAGTGCCAGTCGGACTCTCGCACGAAGGGTTTAATTGGATAAAAAAGTACCTAATTATGAAAGATTTTTGTACCCTAGTACGTTGTAGCCCTTTAAATGTTCATTCTATTTTAGTTCTAGTGTATTTATGAAAATTTCAAGTCTCCATTATCCACGGTGATACCGCCAGTGTAGCAAGTTGGTAAATACGTGTTGCCTAGCATTGTGTTATGCGCGAGAACTCCTGAGTTCGAATCTTAGGAAAACAATAAATTGTGTCCATTGGTGTTCCATAAATTGGTTTCTGAGATACTTCTCATCCATTTGAGGTGATAAATATTTTTCACTCGTCTACGTGTGTACAAACTTCAATAAATATTCATATAGCAAATGATAGTATTTATGTACTTATTACAATCTATATCCATATCTTATTATATGAATATCAAATCTTTCTTGAGCTATGACCTAAAAGGCCAAAAGGGTTCGAGAAATTTCGTCTCAGCCGACCGTGTATACAACTCTCATCAAAATTTATGTAATGATACGTTTTCTCGAAGTGTTTCGATTCTTTTTTACTTGGTGGAATTTTCCCGAGTGCGAGCGGGAGGGCCGAGAGGTGTAGGTCAATGGTTGCAGGGATGGTGTGAAGTCCTGTGGCTTCCAATTATTCTGACAGCAGTGGTCGGCGCGCAGGCGCCTCGCCCCCTATCGCGGCTCGCCATCGATAACACAAACCGGTCCCGTTTTTCGTTTATGGACCTTGGTATCTCGATACTCGCCCGTTTTCGGCTACAATCAGATAGAAAAAATATAAAAGCCGACGTACTGCTGTATATTTTTACTTTTGAGCGTTCGAAGTTTAAAACTTTGATAGCATAGTAATGATTATTGTTCATTAAGATACTGTCAGTGCCCATGTGCAATTTCATTTTTACGATTACGCCGTTTTCCTTTATTGTCTCGGCAGTCATATTAATCTCGGGGAAACGATAAATTGTTTCGATCGGGTAGCAGTGAGTAGGTCGCAATGTCGACCCCACCCTCCCAGGCCCCTATAGGGGGAGATAGAAATGACCTTTTTAGTTATTATCATGCTATTTTTTTTTTTCTGGTATACGCTTTCTTTCCATGTCATTTGCATTGCGCAGGATTTGATTGTTCGGTTTATATGAAGAGTGATCAGCAAAGATTATTCCCACATGACACCATTCTGCGGGCCGTGAGATAATCGCGAGCGGTAGTGTTCAAACATGTAGCTAGGTCCTTATTAGGACGAGGTTTTTTGCCTTCGCCCACCGCACTTGAGGACGTGACATCGGGTGCATGAGCTGGATCGCTTACTGAGAACGAAGAACTTTTTCATACCGCCCTTGCATCGTTTTCATGATAAATTTTAGGAAATGCAGCATGGAAACGATATCGTGCTTTTATAACAACAATAAGAGTGCTTTTATTCGCTGACGCGATTTTAGATGGTTGTAATGAATTCGGTATTATAAAAAATACTTAAATTTACATCATAATTTAAAGGTAAGTACTTTGACCAAAGGTCTTTTCTAATTTCTTTTACTTTTCCCCATCTTTTGATTCCTCTTCTATCCATTCGGTAGATTATCTAGTATTTTACTAAATTTATAGTACAGTAATTTAAACGGTTTACTTAAATTATATGCTATAGCTATGTCGATAGTTTATATTAGTTCAAAATGCGAAATATGTTAGTTATCCTATTTTTTAATTGCTACCTGGTGTTGTTAAAGATTTTCAGGAAATACGGTTTGTTATAAGTAATATTAATTTTGTTTCATTTTTTTACACTAAAATTTATTCAATTACTTAATAGGCTCTGAAATTAAAATGTTAGTGTGTAATGTTTCTACGTTGTCTGAAACCCGACAAGGCGGTTATAAAGAAAATAGAAGAACCGTTCTCCTCCCTTTTTTAGAAATATATGATGCATTACAACTGCATATAGTTTTAAAAATTATACAAGAATTTGCATGCTCATGTTAATTGCTTTTATTCGACGATTCACACTCCGCACTGCCATTTTTGTTTTGAAATAAAAGCAAATAAGGTAGCCGGAAACGATGTCCCTAACTAATCGGTCCCGTTCGTTGTATAGGGTTGCGTTAACTTTTTTATATATCATTGCTTCATGTTGTTATAATTGCTTAACGATGATTCATTGATATTCTAGTCTAAAATGACGGCTGCTGCAAAGCATCCGGAACGTCGGGCCGCAGTTTAAAAAAATTGACAAATAAATTTACCTAATATATCGCGTTTTAAACCGTTAAAGTGTTTTATTCAAAGGTCTGCAGTTTACCCGAGTAGTACTCGGGTAAACTACAGACCTTGCTTCATTTTGTGTTAAGTTGTAAATGGATTTTTCAAAATAGCTTATTATTCTTTTGTTTAACGCCCTCTCTTATCTTATTTAAACGTCTGACTCTTTATGATCTTCGATTGATTTTATTATTTAATTAAACACCGACGTGAAATAAATTAAACGACAACGATACGAGACGAGACACACTTTCCTAAGCAAATCTACGAATTCATGTCACGATAAGCAACACGTTTTTAACTTGTGCTCAGCGGTTGTGGAAAATTTTACTCCAACCGATCGATCACTTTTCTTCGTCGGCAATAATAATCTAATAGGACAGCTATTACCCTTTTGTCTTGTTTTTGTAAACGTTGACAACCTTGATGCTTGGGTCTTATGAATTATCCAAGCACTAGCCTGTTGGCGACTCGGTGGCGCCCGCGCAGGCGATACAGGCGTACGCGACAACTGTAAACACGCCGAGATAGACGAAACGTTCGCTTACGATCGGCACTCTGTAATTTTGCCAATTTGTCCATTGACGTTGTCATGTTGGATCTATGAGGAAGCAGATCTAGCCAAGACTATATTACAACCTAGAAAACTTCAGTCTTAATTTCTAGCTTACAGTTTTTCGAATTTATTACCCGCGTATGTAAAAGAACATGCTGTATATCAGCGTTACTTTTTACCCTTCCTATGATTCTCTAGCAGCAACAATCGTTTTCTCCATATAAGTATCACTGTGATTAATGACACGTATCTTTCGTAAAAGGACTTTGGTCTAGTGGAACGGGCTTTTTTCGTTCAAAGGTTCGATTTTGTGTCTTCCATTCGCTCGGTGAAGCTATAGTGAAGAAGCTAAATGTTCTAGAAGTTAATAGGCAGGCCCAGTCCCAGCTGTGGGAATATTGAAGTGTTTAAGAATGTTGCTGTTTGGAAAACCGTGTGACTTACTATAACAGTGTACGTAAATGACACTGGTCACATAAATTCACTTGGAAGTCAATTAATGCTAGTTAAGGCAATGGTGGCTGTATTTTAATGGGCATTGCGATTTATTGCATTCTGTATCGATGAAGAGTTGGAAATATTATCATTGTTTTTCCTTTTGCGTAGATGACGGGCTGATAATCGACGGACCCTAAGTTCTATTTCCGCCGCATTTAATGTTTTAAAAAAAAATATTTGTCTTTACAACTAGTTTCAAATCAATAAGGTATCATACCATTCGTATATACAATATTATATAAGGTATTTCTAACCTTACTATCTCGAGTCGACGACGAAACGTTAAGAGACAAAACGAGTGACTAATTAGGTTAGGTTATCTTATCTGTAACTTATTTATTCCCAATATCTGTTTTCATTCACTAAATGTATTAATAATTTGATTACCTACTATTATTGCAACATGAACGTTAATTTTGCAATAATAGATCAATAAATACCAATCAGAGATGGTGCTGCCATTAGACTGATATGATAAAGAGGTAGATTTGTATTTTATAGGGGTTCCTGAAAATCTATAGTGCCCATTTAAATTAAACACTTTTGACGGTTTCTAAACGCGAAATTTCTAACACAATAACTTCAACATGTTAACATATTTCAAGCTTACTTTAACTATGTTGCAACATTTTCAAATAGATGGCGCTAGCGTAGTAGATTTGACCTTGACATTAAGTACTCCCTCTTCATCTTCAGTTCCCCCGTGACTACGGCATAAAGCATTGAAAGGTCGAGCCGTAGTTAAAATAAATCTTAAAATAACTAATATACATATTTCGCATTTCAAACAATTAAAGGAGATAAATATGCATCACTCGTGACCGCAGACAATACTATAGTGCCAATTTTAAATCCCTCGACAGCTACTTTCACTCTACGTAACACGGGCTATATTTTTTGCTAGACAAAATTAGGGATCCTTACTAATGTGGTGACGGTTTAAAACGCGAAATATATCGTTCATGTGGAATAGTAACTTTGGGTAGACGTTTAAATTATTTAGGCTGTTTATTTATTTTACAAAATGAATAAGACATATGTGTGACACAATAAAGTACAATGTTTTACTGCAGTGAGCTTATTAAGGTATTCATAATAAGTATATCCATGGTACAGTGTATTTTTCTATGCTTATTTGAATACATTTTTATAGTTATATAATTATTATATAATTAGTAATTTCTTAGCATTATATAATTAGTAAGTTCTATAAAATTTAATCACGATACATCCACATACCTTTTTATACCCCTTACGACCTTTTATTCGTACAGCAAAAGGTTTTATAATGCATGTCATTAAAAAAGCGCATTTAAGGCGGGCAATGTGTGTCGTAAGTGTTACTTTGACGCAGCACTCCCACTCTCACCTCACATCACTCGCACTCCTAAATTCACTCCCACCTCACATCACTCTCACTCCTAAATTCACTCCCACTCCTACACTCACTCCTTCTCTCACTTTCACTCTCACTCCCACTCCTACTCACTCCTACTCCCATTTCCAAAAAGTCTAAGTAGAAAGTTTCATTGTTCTAACTGCAAAAACCACGAATTTCCATACAGACTTTCATCCCCCTTTTTTTTTACTTGGAGGAATCGACTCTTTACCAAACTTTCATCCCCTTTTTTAACCCCTATTAACCTTATTAAATATTTTTTGGTATTAAAACGTAGCCTACGTCCTTTTTCAGGCTCTAGAATATCTGTGTAAAAAAATTCATTTAAATCAGTTAAGTAGTTTCAGCGTAAACGCCGGACAGACAGATAGACAGACAGATAGAGTTACTTTCGTATTTATATTATTAAGTAGTGATTAGTTAATTTACTTTTATTTATCTACGGCCCGAGGTTTTGGAACCATGTGTTAACTACAGACAATACTTAACCGACCCGTACCTAATAAAACTCTAAATAGATATACTAGTTTACATATCTCTAGTTAATACAACTGTCCACGATTTTGTGCATGTGGCCTATGTATCAAATGTTTATTTACACTTGTTCCCAACATAGTCTATACCTATTCTCCAACTTCACTGTATTTTCTCACATCAATTGGAGGCGTTACCAGGAATATGTCTCCCTAGAACAATGAAACATCAAAAGCGATGCAGTATCAAAGAACGTATAAACAACTATCTTTAGATTCTGGCGAGGAGCATTCTATTATAAGGATTGGGATCTAAGGGACTTTGCTTTTTAAGGTTCTGTACGATAGGGAAGGGGCGAGATGATAATATTAAAAATTCTTCAGAGTCTATCTGTCTTTCTATGTCTACAGACTGTCGAGAGATTGTCAGAGATTAAAAACGTTCGACGATACGGGCGGGACTCGAACCGGCATCCATAGCATTTCGTGGTTTTAAATACTGTCTCTAGTTTACGCGAGCATTATATCATTAAATTTTTATTAATTAAATTTATATATAAATAAACAATTTTTCTCAAATGCCTTAAAAATAATTTATAAATAAGTCATTTCTCGTTTTAAACCGTTAAAAAGATGTTTAATCTAATTAATGCCGTCATGTGCACGTCATGTTTGAAAAATAAATTTTGCCCAACATACTTAAATGGTAACCGACAATAACTAAAATAAGTTTATATTAAGTTTGTGCACTTACGAATGTTTAATGAGTCAATAAACGGAACCCTTCGCGCCTATGTCTGATTTGCAATTGTTTTTATCAGATCAATTTAATATTTCAGTTTTCATATAATTCCAATCCCATACAATGTTGGTCTGCAATGTTTTTGTCGATATGTCGTCGATGGAGTATTATTAAAATGCGTGTATCGAGTTGAGATTGATTTATCTTTTCGCCAAAGAATGGTTCCGTTTTTATTACATCCATAAACTTGACCGAAGCAATCTTGTAACAAGTTTTGAAATTTATCCAAAGCTGAATCTACAGACTGGTGACCCAAACGGTCAATGCGTTAATTGTAATTATTATATTTATTTGATGCTTAATTAATGTTTAAAAGATGTTAATATATGTTTTATTAATTACGTACTTACTTATTAATACACTGTTCA